GGGGACGGGAAGGGAGGCTTGAATATGCAATTCCGAGTGTGATGGGGTTTCACTTGTACGAGTAAGGCCACGGACGACGGCGTCATCTACTCGTACGTGTCGTGTACTCGTATCTATTCTCACTCCGTACTCGTCGTGTATGTGAAAAGGTCAACCAGGACAGATTGGGGGGTCGGGGTTTGACGCCATCCGGACAGGTGGTTGCGTGAGGGATAATAATATCCAATTTCGGCAACTGACTGACGGTGGCCAGGAATATGATTGGTCGAGGATGGCATGTACGAGTAATTATTGCTGCTAGTAGGTATGTACGGAGTTGGGGCCCTCGTGGAGGGAAAGAGTCACGTGCTGTGGAGGTTCTTTTTGGGGGGTTTTTTTTTTTTTTTTGCTCAACTGTAGTTGTGCTTAGGTGATCAGGGAGTGAGTATGACAGAGTAAGTATGACGGAGTAATAAACTCCGGAGCGATTCATGCTGCTTGTAAAGGTATCATGGGAAAGAAGAAAAAAGAAGGATAGTCATGATAATCATCATCATCATAATAGCAATAATTAGGACAAGAGAGAGAGATGTAACCGTATATGGGGAAGAAGAAGAAAAGATGGGAGAAGAAATATAGAGAAGAAGGACGGAGAAGAAGATGGAAGAAAGAAGAAGAAAAAGGGGCAGAGGCAAGAAAGAGAAGAGAGAGAAGGAAGGAAAGAGGAAGGAAAGAAGAAGGAAAAAAGACTTGGGCCTCTAACTCTTCTGACCCGCATGACGCAATGGAGAATCAAGACGTACCGTCAAATCCGTAGTCCCGGTGGTGGCAATCGGCCACACCGACGCCCGCGTATTGCACAAATTCATCCCGACGACCCGGCCGAGAAATCCGGATCTGCAATTGCGAACTCGGCAGAGTTTTTTTTCTTTCTTTTCTTTTCTTTTCTTCTTCTTCACTCGGGATTATCAATCCATGCATGATGGAGCATCTCGTATCGAGACGTCATTGTCCCAGACGAGTAGTAATACTTATCGCGTACCTGTACAAGAGCCAATCCTTTCTCACTCTGTCATCGTCCGAGCATCGACAGTAGGGTCCGATGTCAGAATTCGACCGTGATCGTATCTAACCTCGCTTATACACAAATAACAGATACGTACATTGATTGGTATGGAGAAAACACAGACACACATCACCCGGTGATGGCGCAAGATGCATACAACGCCGACCGAGCCTTGCATGCCATCTTCTGGCCGGACCTAGTTTCAACTAATTAATACCCCGTCACGTCGGAATCCTTCAACCACCGAGATCCTTGCACCGTAAGGGCCGATAATACTAAGAATGAAAAAAATGGGGAAAAAATTGAAAAAAAAAAGAGAAAAAGAAGAAGAAGAAGAAGAAAGCTACCGGCCGACCGGCCACTGCTCCTCCCCCATTAGATACGATTGATAGACTAACAGTAATATCTGGTACGTAGAATCGTCCGCGGGAGTCGGCGCCTGTCAGACGTACCGTGATACACAACCGCAGCCGGACATCGCGAGCGTGGGTAGCGCCGATGTCGTGATCGACCCATGGTTCCTGGGGGCGTATGCTTTTTTTTCCCTCTCCCGTAAGCTGTAAGCGAGACTATAATCATATTAATGAACGGCTTTATTGCCTGCTAAATTCCCTTTCCCTCACGGTTACGGCCTCTGATCCCCCCCCCTTCCCCATTTGCCTGATGGCGGCGATTGCGCAATTTCGCCCAGACTTTGCCATTGCCGCCGTTCATCCCGTTGGGTAGGCGAAGCTGGGGCCTTCTCCCCCCCCCCCCTAAGGCAGACAAAACATGTAGCTGTAATACACGGATCCATCTGGTGTAGTTCAGGCCCTAAAAAAGTTCAGTGACGCTCTCTTGGATAGAAGTTCCCCTTGCAATAAGTCTCTTTTCATATCCTTGCCGAGCCCTTGTGCCGTCCCGAGCAACCCAGGCTACGCCCATGCCCACACCACACACCCTTCCTCCTCTTCTCATTCTCGCATATTGTCTTGGTCACAGCCAGGCGTCTGACAAATTGCAGTCAACCCCCTTCTCCTTTTTTCCATCTCTTTCCTCTCTTCCTTCTCATACATCTCATCTCGTCTTACCCTTTTCCCTCTCAGACCCTTGTTAGCTTCAGAGATCCAATCTTGAAAAGCAAGCAAATCAACGTCATCGTATAAGAAAAACCAAGAGATCGGAAAGGGACCTTTCCTCTTTCAACATACCTTTTATCCAACAGAACCAACCACCCGCGTCTCCGTTTCGTCCAGGAGCTGGAGTTATCAGAATCTTCTCAACCCCCTCGTTTCGTCTCGACCCCTCAACATAGACTCTCCCCTCCTCTTCCTCCTTCATCCACCAACAACAATAACAACAACAACAACAACAACAACCACAACAAACTTCCTCTTCTCCCCCTCATTTCCTCGCCTCTGTCTGCTCCGCACACAGGTATACCCTCTCTCCTCAAGCACCATGGCCTCCGCAACCATGAACAAGTCGACGTCCCAGACGTCGTTTGCCGACAGCACCAAGCTGGACCGCAGCGAGCTCGACTCCGGGTACACGTCCGCACAGTCCGACTATTCGCCCTCGTCGTCGACATCATCGCTTCCCCTTGTGTCCCTGGCCAAGCCTCACATCGCCCACCTCAACGACCAGCTCGAGAACATGCACCCCATGGACATCCTCCGCTTCTGCAAGATCATGTTCCCCAACCTGTACCAGTCGACCGCCTTCGGCCTGACCGGCCTGGTCACCATGGACATGCTGTCCAAGATCCAGAAGGAGAATCCCGAGTCCCGCACCGTCGACCTCATCTTCCTCGACACCCTGTACCACTTCAAGGAGACTTACGAGCTGGTGGACCGCGTCCGCGAGCGCTACCCCAACGTCCCCGTCCACATCTTCAAACCCGATGGTGCTGAGACGACAGAGCAGCTCGAGGACCTGTACGGCAAGGAGCTGTACAACACGTCGACCGAGCTGTACGACTGGATCGTCAAGGTCGAGCCCCTTCAGCGCGCCTACGACGAGCTCAAGGTCAGCGCCGTCCTCAACGGTCGTCGCCGCTCCCAGGGTGCTGCGCGCGGCTCTATCCCCATCATCGAGGTTGACGAGGAGCGTGGCATCGTCAAGATCAACCCTCTGGCTACCTGGTCCTTCAAGCAGGTCAACGACTACATCAAGGAGAACAACGTCCCTTACAACGCCCTCCTCGACCGCGGGTACAAATCCGTTGGCGACTGGCACTCCACCAGCCCCGTCAAGGAGGGTGAGGACGAGCGTGCCGGCCGCTGGAAGGGCCAGCAGAAGACTGAGTGCGGTATCCACAACAGCAAGTCTCGATACGCCCAATTCGCTGCCGCCAACCCTCTCAAGAAAGCCGACGTCGTCAAGTCCGGCGAGGAGAAACAGCAGCAGGAACAAACTCGCAGCAGCGAGCCCGAGCTCAAGAAGCAGAAGGTCGAGGAGCAGCCCAAGGTCGTCGAAGCCATGTCGGCAAAGGTCATCGAGGAGCAGCAGCAGCAGCAGCAGCAGCAAGAGACATCCCAGACGACGCTAGCCAACCCGAGCGCGGTGGTGGAGCTCATGGCATGAATGGGCCAAGGCACAATCTGCCAACCCCTTGATGAATCTTTGATGTGTGTGTTTTATACAGCATGATCTGTAGCATTTGCATAGGCGTTTTGATTTCGGTGTTTGAAGGAAACAAAAAAACGTTTGATTGGGATTGTCGACACAAGAAAAACGGGGAGACTGGAAAGGTTCGATGCAGGAGATCAGAGGAGGATATCATAATACCATCCAGTCCGGGGCGTTTTACCGGCTTTGTATTTGGAAGGATGAGGAAAGGGGGGCCTTTATACCAGCACAAGCCCTCGGCGGTCACTTCTCCGCCCTGGTGAGATAGATCAGTGTTAGATGAAGAAGAAGAAAAATGACCGTTAAGAAAGAGCCTTGTGTGTGTCATTTGCTCATATGATGATCGTGAGAAGTGGAAGAGAAGAGGGGGCGGAGAGGAAGGAAGGAGTGAATGAGGTGTGACGTCGTGGGATATCGGGCAGGTGAGACACCCCGCCCCAGATCGATTGATATTAGCCTACTAACAAATTTGTGCGACTCCGATGTGACCCCGCGATAGTCATCTATCATAAGCTCTTTTTCGCTGCTTTCTTTTTTTTTAGTTTTTTAGTTTTGGCTACTCACTACATTTCACCGCCCACCAGCAAGACCAATCTGATGTGTAATTGATAGTCACGCACAAACCCACGCAAAGATGCAGGGCCTTCGCACCCCACCGGCACACTTCTCCACAAAGAAAACGCGGATCCTGGACCAGCTGGCCGTCCCCGACGCTGAGTACTCTGACGCCTCACCAAAGGGCACCGTCGACGAGGGTATCCGCCATTTGATTGATCAGATCAACCAAGTAGAGGGGTTCGTCACGACTAGCAGCTGTGCCGGCCGTGTGAGCGTTTTTGTCGAGGGGCAAAAAAAAACACACGATGATAGCCCCGAGCCCGATGGCGGTGGCGAGCGCCAGCAGGTGGCCGGTGTGGGAGGCAAGGGAGCCGGAGGCGCATGGCTATTCGTATCTCATGATGTAGTCGGGTCGGGGGACTGGATCAGTGCTTTGCAGCTAGAGGAAGGTGGTGAGGCCAATGTCGGTTTGGCAGAGCAGAGGCTGATCCATTTCAAATTTGAGCCCATGGTAGGTTGCGTGGCTTTAATGCTCTCACACCTTCCTTGCCGATTTTCCTTTCTTTTTCGCATACCCGCACAGAAATATGCTTGTCAGGCTGACCGACTGCAACAATACAGATCCTCCATGTCCTCGCGGCCTCACCACCACACGCACAACTTCTCATCCGTGCCGCGCTCCAAGCCGGATTTCGGGAGTCAGGCGCCGTCAACCTAACGGCCGCGTCGGCAGACGACCAGCCGACACCTATGGTGGCAGTGCGATCCATGGGACTGAGCTTCGAGTCCCTCATAGGCAGCCAGGTTGGTCCCAACGCCGAGGGGGGACGGCGACTTCTCGTTTCCAAAACCTATCTCGAGACCCTCATGGCCATTGCAAACGAGCGGTTCGCCGAAAACGCCAAGCGCATCACCCGATTCCAGGATGCCTTGAGCTCGGTGCTCACTGACCCGCCACCTACCAAGATGGGCGCCGACGGTACAGCTTGGGAGAATGCTGCAGTCAGACGGGAGCGCAAACGGGTGGAAGGTCTGCAGAGGCGAGCGCAGCTGCAGCGGCAAAAGACGCTCGATGGTATGAGTGAAGAAGAGGCGATTGACATAGCGAATGCACTCTCAGGACTATAATGCATACAAGCCTCTTTTGAATTCTTCTTTGTTTTGACATCTATGCCTCGCACACTGTTCGTCTATCCACACACACGCAAACATCCGCACAACTTCCATGTACACCTCCTCTTTTTCTTCATTTTTATATCTGTACAATATGACGAAAGGGGTGGACCAATGAAAAAAAAAAAAAAGACATGTTTACATGAGTTTTTGAAGAGGGAAAGAGGGGAGGACGCAGAGGGAAAGGGATCAGAAGGCTCACGCCGTCACCTTGTTCACCCACTCCCTCTCCATCTTCCTAACCTCGGCCTTGAACTTCTCCACCTCGTTGTAGCAGTCGAGCGGACGGCGGTCATTCTCCGTTAGGCACCGCACCATCTCCCCCCTGGCGCCCTCAACTTCCTTGGGCAGGTCGCGGATCTGCTTGCGAGCCTCGAGCTGGGCGCGCAGCTGGTCGAGCTGCTTACCCACGACGCTGCCGGTCATCTCGCCGCTATTGTTGCTGTCGGTTTCGGAGATGGAGGCGAGCTTCTCGCGCGCCGCGGCCAGGGCCTCGTCTTGCTTCTTCTCGAGGGCCTTGAGCTCCTTGGCTACGCGGGCCTGAATCTGGGCTTCGATAAGACGGCTGCGGGAGGCGTCGGTCTACAGTCGTCTCTCGTTAGAAAGAAAAAAGAGTAGCATATGTGGAGCAGATCGGGCGAGAGGAAAAGGGGAGAGAAGAGGTAGGAGCTTCTTGGAAATAGATACCTCGTTGGTAGACTGTAGAGAGTCGATGAGGTCTTGCGACACAGTAGGACCTGAGCTGTTTGCGGACAGAGATAAAGAGGGAAAAAAAAGTCAGCGAGGGAAGCTTTATCGGAGGACCGGGTGACGGGAAAGGTCTGGTTGGCTATGGCGGGATTACGAGGACATACGCCTTGAAGGTGTGCGATTGGGACACCTTGGACTCGCTGGCACCCATCTTGTTGTATCGTCAGAGGTTCAATCGACAGTCGTCGTTACGGTTGGTTGAATGGGGACCGGGAAGCTCGTGAGTTTCCGGGGGGGGGAGCGCAAGGCGCGATTCATTTGTCGTCCCGGCAATGATCCGGTTCTTAGGTGGATTATGTAATTCTACCAATCCGGGCTACCCTATATGCTGACGCCTGCGCTTCATGTGACGACAACACACGATGACCTTATAGACGCTGATATAGTGATCTCTACCTGTATATACGTCCTAGGTCATTATGTGTGTGTCTTATTGCTTTTTTTTTTACAGGAAGGGCATCTATTTACAAAGCTATTTATAGATATGAGCCTCTGGCTGCTTAGTCATCCAATTTGGGTATCACACATAGATTGACGGCGGTAGCGGCGGCGGTTTACACGAAAGGATTGGCATCATTCGGCTTCAAGCCATTGTCAACATTCCGAAATCCTTAGACGGATGGTTAGAAGAAGAAGAAGAAAAGATTGCGAGAGAAATTAGTAAAAGGCGATCTCAAATCCCTGGTACGGAGAGGCAAAAAGGGAGAATATTGGTTTCGCCCGGGATTGAACCGGGGACCTTCTCGGATGACAATGTTGAAGAACAGATGTTAACGAGATGCCATGACCAACTAGACCACGAAACCAAGGGTTCGATGGGCAAATTACGACGCCATGAGGCTCAAAAGGCTGCCTGGTGATCCGTTGCTGGCGGAAAGGCTACGCATGTACGAGTAACTTGATATTCACGTACATGTAGTTCAAGGGGTCATGTTCCTAAGCTTAGCTCTGACAGTGTAGATATGGTGGGTGCTACGAGAGCAAAAAAAAAGAAGAGAAAAGAAAAGAGAGGACACGAGACTCAAAGGGTCGCGATAGGCGTGTGCGTACAACAAGAGGCACAGTAACAGTAGCACAATGATCATCTATTTCCAGGAGGAGCCTTTGGGTACCAGATGCGGCGATTAGTATGGCATGAGGGAAAGGAGACTGCCCTGTGTTCCGAAGTTTTTAACACAGTGAAGGGAAGTGTGCTACAATGTCTCCCTGGGAGCTCTCTACGGAGATGATGTGAGCCGGAAGGATGGCATGAAGAAAATCACATAGTCGACTTCATTATCCAGGGTAGTAAGGAGTTTAGGGACACATGTCAACATTTCCATAGTAGTTTTAGCGGAGGCGGAAGCGGAGGGGTTCCCGCCAAGGTGTGTCATAGTTTCGGCGAGAGCATGTTATCACATGTTATCACACTGAAGGCCGGGAGCCCGAACCTGTTCACCTAGTCTTTGGGCTGCTTATCTGTTAATGTCAAGTCAAAGAGGTAGCCGCTCGACTCTTGTGGCATCCTACTCACCCCATATCCTAGATGAAATAACCCCGACTTTGCCTCATATATATGGAGTATACGGAGTAGACTGTCGACTACCTTGCCCTCCTAGGCCATGTTTTCATACGTTGCAGGGGGGGGGGGGGGGGAGGAGAAAAATAATGCTAGACCCTGCTGAACCCTTTATCCTCCGCTCTGTCTGCCTCACAGTAGAGACTATGCAAACCATCGTCAATGGTAGTCAAGTCATCAGATGGAACTGACCGGGCAGAGAATCTGAGTGGCACCCTTGCTGCCGTAATACATATAGGCACTGATGCGACGTTATAAAGAAATTGCGTGGGAGCGCACATGCGGTCGGTTTAGGGTTGTCTCCTTGAGAGAGTATCATCGGACGGGGGAGCTGAAGTTGGGGGTCTTGTCTTGTGGGCCCTGCCAAACCCCGTCGGCCCTCTTGTTCAGGGATTGAGGTCGGCGGATGAAGTGAACCATTGACTAGACGGAGGTCCTTGGGGGTCGATCGTAGTCATGCTCCTAGAATCCCTCACTTCTTCGCTGCCGTCACCCGTGGTAGATGACCATCGCTATCAGCGGCACCGGGCCCACTCTCGGCGTGAGGAATCGGGGGTCTGCGTCCGTATTGTGCGTGCGCGTCATTCTTCTCCTTCTTCTTCTTCTTCTTTTTTTTTTTTTTGGGGGGGGGGAGGGTAGAGTGTCGGCCCAGAAATCATGTCGTCTGATGCAGGTTACATATAGAGTATACAGTCGGGTGGTTTGTTGTCGTCGTGGCGTGAGAATGGAAGGTTGTAGAACAGCAGAGAGATGAGGGGCATGGTGATGATGATGACGATGATGAATGGGTGGCTTGAGTGAGCTTCATAATAATGAAGAAAAAGATGACTAACAGTGAATGGATGTTTTCCTATTGACGGTCGGATGTTTCATGCCTTAGACATGGAGACTGATGGAGTACATGTAGGATGAGTGGCTAGGAGGCTCTCAGTGGATAGTACCCCTGTAACATGCCGGGAGCCACAGGGGCTAGTTTCAGAAACATCCAGAGGGCCATGGCCAATCAGAGCGTATATAGCGGAGGTCTATGACAAGCCCAGGGGACGGCGGGTTGACTCTAGCCCCCTAGGTGCTGGGAAACGTCTCTTCCCTAGAGTGTTTACGACTCCAGACCTCCCCAGGGGTGGATGGACGTTCTACGGGGATAGGGGGGTATACGAGTAATACGGGAGAAGACGAGCCCCGCAGGAGGCCCAAGTAATATCTGTCCAAGTAATCTGTACAGATTACAGATTACTCCGTACTCGTCCGTAGGGTGGACGAGAGCCAGTAGATCCATTGCCAATGCTTACAGACGGCGTAGTACGGAGTACACTGAGAGATATTACTGCTAGAGGTTGCACCGCTACAGAGACTTCGTAGCACCAACGCTAGAGCTACAGAGAGGAACGGCAAGCTTTCGCTCAGGAACAAGGATGCGCGGATCGGGTCAAAACGTTGTGTCTGGAAGGCGCTGGTGGAATAGGAGGAGGAGCTGGGCCAGATGTTTCAATCATCTTTTCTGTCCTTGGGTCCTTGAGTGATGCGGATACTCGTACGACGACTGCATCTGGTTTCAATCTATCCCCATCCACTCGTATACTCGTAACTTGGAGGTATCCATACCATCTGACTCCTCCTATAGACTGTTCTACGAACATACGACGTCAAAGAAAAGCGATGCATGCAGCCAATCTTAACCGGTGGTGCTCTATGCCATCTTACGTCTAGGGGGTGGCCACCCTTGGACCTTGGTACTAGGCTTGGCTACCTGGCAGATCCAACAGGGGGCCATGACCAATTGTCAGCGCCCCCCAAGTGCCATGCGGCCCAAAGAGGGGAAAGGGGGGGCAAGGTTCGGACCAAGGTGCCAAGCAGCTGCACAACTACATGTACACTGGAGTGTTATACCCCGTAATGTCACTATGGCGTACCGCTGCGGCGTATAATATGTGATAACACGCTATGTAGCGAGTAATAATACATTATACCGTCATGATGGAGGAACAGGCACCAGTCGGTTGTACTCTGGTGAACTCCCTGATGCACCCCCCGGTGTACCTCCCTCCGTACCTTCCTCGAGACCTCTCTAGATTGCCATTGTCGTCTCTCCTTCCCTATCCACGGTCTATCATATACCACATGTCTCTCCCTCTCCCTCGCCACTTTTTTCCTCACCTTGTTTCTTTCTATCTCTCCTCTTTTTTTTCCCACCGCTTCCCATATCTGTTTGTTTTCTCCATACATGATCAGCATACGTCGTTATTCTTCCGGAAATCCCACCATCCATCTCTCGTCTCGGTTTGACACCCATCTCACTTCACTCTTATATGACCCTTTCACTATCAGACACCAACCGGACCGGCTGCTAGACGGCCCAGCAGAATCTAAACCCACTCTCCCTGTCTCGCGTCGACTCTCCAACGCGTCTGCCAACCCATTCAAATTTCTGCGATATTGGACGTCCTCGATCGACGGCCCGCATAATTGGAAACCCACTTGCCAATTTCAAGCCTACTGTCCCGGACAACACAACCGTGTCGACGACTAGGGACTCACCTCACCTCCCTCCTGCTTCGATAGCATCGAGAAAACGACCACCTCTTCAGCATTATACAGAGCCAAAACTGCACCGTTCCCCAATCATGCCGCGCCGCGATCGCCTATAGGGTTTTCCGTGTGCTCTCCCCGTCGAAGAACAGGGGGCAGTCATAACGCTGCCTGCCTGCCTGCCTGCCTGCCTGCCTGCCTGCCTGCCTGCCTGCCTGCCTGCCTGCCTGCCACTGCTGATACCAATCGAGATACCCTGATATCCAACCGTCACTCGTCTAACCCGACCGCTGCTAGAGATATAATCACCAAATCATGCGTGACGCAGGCCTTTTGCTGCCGATGGGCACCGCCCCCGTCGACGCCTTAGCCGGAACTGCCACGATAGATGCGCGAGACCAGCCTGCCTCGACAATCACCCCTTACTACAACGACCTCAACGGTGTCAACCAGACGCTCAACATGCTCTTCAAGGACACCACCTGGTGGTCCCTGGGTATCGCCGCCCTCGTCGTTCTCACCATCCGCCTGGGCCAGCTTCTGTGGTCTCATGTGCGCCTCATGGTCGCCATGGATATGCCCCGAGACAAGCAGCAGTACTGGAAGGTGACGCAGTGGAGCTGGACGCCTCTCCTCAAGAAGCACCTTCTGTACGCACCGCTTTTCAAGAAACGCCACAGCTTCGAGCTTCGCATGTTCCGCATCCGCAATCTAGGCTCACTGCCTTCACGCCTACACACCATCCTCCTGACTGGCTTCTTCTCCAGCAACCTCGTCTACATAGCATGGCTCGACTACACCGTCGTCAACAAGTACTCTGTATGCGCCGAGCTACGCGGCCGCTCTGGCACCCTTGCCCTTGTCAACATGGTGCCTCTCATCATCTTTGCTGGACGTAACAACCCTCTTATCGGTCTGCTGCAGATCAGCTTCGACACTTACAACCTGCTGCACCGTTGGCTTGGTCGCATCGTTGTCCTCGAGGTCGTCCTCCACACCATTGCTTGGCTCATCCCTGCCGTCGCCGACCTGGGCTGGAAGGGTGCCTTTGAGAAGCTGTTCGGTGGCTGGTTCTTGGGCTCTGGCTGGATCGGCGCCATTGTCATGGTGCTGCTCTCCACCCTGTCCCTGTCGCCTATCCGTCACGCCTTCTATGAGACGTTTCTCAATCTACACATCATCATGGGCCTCGTAATCTTCGCCTGCACCTGGATCCACTGTGCCACGCCCGCAGACATTCCCGGTGGACTGCCTCAGCTCCCCTGGATCATCGCCATTGTCTGCCTTTGGTGCGCTGATCGTGTGGCCCGCTTCATACGCTTGGCTTTCGCCAACTGCACGTCCAAGGGCTTCACGGAGGCCATCTGCGAACCTCTGCCCGGCAACGTCACCCGCGTCACCATGCACCTGCCCCGCCACATGAAGGTCGATCCAGGTAGCCACGCCTACCTGCGTTTCTGGGACGTCAACCCGTGGGAGACCCATCCATTTTCCATTGCCTGGGTACAGCACCGAGATGAATCCAAGACCTCGATCGCCCCCATATCGGAGAAGAACCCGCTGGCCTCGCTTCCTACCAAGACGGGAACACGGACATCGATATCGTTTCTCATAGCCGCGCAGGAGGGCATGACGCGCAAGCTGCTGGACACGGCACGGCACGGGGCCTCCGTCACGGGCAAGCGGTCCTTTCGCATGCCGGCCGCCCTCGAGGGGCCATACGCCGGTCATCACAGCCTTGACTCGTACGGCCACACCGTCCTGTTTGCCGGCGCCACAGGGATCACCCACCAGCTATCATACATGCGGCACATCCTGCACGGGTACAATGCGGGCACCGTGGCCACCCGCCGCCTGACTCTCTTCTGGGTCGTCCGCGAGTACGAGAGTCTGGAATGGGTCCGCCCCTATATGGACAGCCTGCTGCGCATTCCGAACCGGAAAGACATTCTCCGCATAAACGTCTTTGTCACCCGGCCCACCAATGCCCATGACATCACCAACGCGGGCGGCACGTCGACCAAGATATTTGCCGGCCGGCCCAACATCCCCTTCTTGCTTGTCAAGGAGGTACAGGAGCAGGTCGGTGCCATGTGCGTCACCGTCTGTGGACCCGGAGCCATGGCAGACGATGTCAGGGCTGCTACCAGGGCCGTCCAGGGTGACAGCGTCGTCGATTTCATCGAGGAGAGTTTTACCTGGTGATTCTTTTTTTCTCCTAGACACTCTTCTGTACATTCCGGTTGGGCACCGTACATACTTGGCCGCTTGCATTTCCAGCCCCTCACTCCTTATTATCATTATTATTATTATTATTTCTTCAATCTCCACAAAGCGACACTTGTTTTATTTGTTTTTTTTTCTCTCCGGTTTTTTTCTTCTCAATCTGTTTTCAATATTTATCAAGGGCGTTGAGCGTTGTCAGATATCAATAGCATCCATCCTGATCATAGAGGATATACAATTTTTTTTTGTTTTTTCTCTTTTTCACCAGGAAACATTTTGGTTCCATACATGACGCACAAAAAGACTTGACAAATTAACATGAACCCTGAAACTCTTGCCATGCGTGGTGAGAATGTGTAGATTGTCTTGATGATGCAGGTATATTGTAGATCGCTATATGCAGAGACTGGTGAAGCAGAGTGTCAAAGTGTAACGCCGTCCTTGTGGCTTTTTTCTCCTTACTTTTTCTTTCCTTTTCCTTTCCTTTCCTTTCTTTTTTCTTCTTTCTTTTCAAACCAGAAATTTCTATGCCAAAGCTTACGCCAACAATAAAAGGGGGAGAATATTGAAAATCAGAAGACAAGAGTGAGGAGGGTATTCATGCATCAGCACCAGCAGGCAAGGTCGGCAACCCGACATCCAGACCGCGGAAACCCTCCTCGACACTCCAGTCAGGCTTATTAGCGGTGCCGTCCGACCCGTCCTTGGGGCGCAGGGCGTCACACGCGGCGCCGACGACGAGAAGGCCGGGAGGGCGGCTGCCCTCCGCCTCGATGGCCTCTGCGACGTGGCGCAGGGTGGTGCGGATGACGCGCTGATCGGGGCAGCTGGCGCGCTCGATGACGGCGCAGGGGGTGTCGAGGGGCCAGATGGTGCGCCGCCGCCCATCGTCTCCGACGGGGACCCGGGACTTTTCCCTGCCCTCCTCCCCCTCCCGACCCTGATGAGCAGGCGTGTCGAGGTGGGTGGTGAGTTCGCGGACGAGGTCGGCGATGCGGTGGAGGGCCATGAGGAAGACGACGGTGCGGGTGGGCACGAACTCTGGCGGGGTGGGGGGTCTGCCCTTCTTGCCGGTGCCGGTGCAGACGAGGACCTGGTCCGCCACGTCGCGCTGGGTGGCGGGGATGTCGGCGAACAGCGGGGCGGACAGGGCGCTGGTGATGCCGGGGAGGACGACGAGCCGGTCGGCGGGGACGCCGTGGGCGCGGAGGAAGGCCACCTCCTCGCCGCCGCGGCCGTAGACGAAGGGGTCGCCCTGCTTGAGGCGGAGGACGGTCCGGCCGCGTCGGTAGGCGTCGAGGGCCATGTCCAGGAGCTCCTGCTGGGCCAGCTCGGCGTTGCCGGGAAACTTGCGGGCGATGGTGACGGGGGTGCGGCGCGGGATGAGGTCCAGCACGCCGGAGGGGACGAGCTTGTCGGCCAGGATGACGTCGGCGGCCAGGATGGCCTTGTGCGTGGCCTGGGTGAGGAGGTCGGGGTGGCCGGGTCCGCTGCCGGCGAGGACGACCCGTCCGACCCGGTTCCGCAGGCTCCGCAGGTTCCGCGGGGGGGCCTGACCCTGACCCTGATCCCGGCGCCGGTCCTGGTCGGACTCGACGGGCGCGGCCTGGCGGCCGGTCGTCGAGTCGTAAGACCGGAGCATGTCCTCGACGTCGGCGTCGCCGACGCTGGCCAGACGGCTGAGAGGCCAGTACTCGCACACCTGGCTCAGCCAGCGGATCCGCCTGGTCCGATCCTCGTCCTCCGCGTCCCCCGTCACAAGCTTGTTGAAGTGGGCGTCCTGGCCTGTGGCGTCGTCGAACTCGCCCACGGCCACGGCGGCGGCCGGCTGATCGTCCGGCTTCTTCCTCTGCTCGGCGTGCTCGGCGTCTTCTTCCTGGATCCGCCGGCGCATCTGGCCGAGACGAGCGCACGCGGCGCCTAGGTTCTGCGGGAGCGAGGCCGCCACCTCCCGACGGATGCGGCTGGCGAGCTTGCATCCGCGGCCGTTTGTGGTGACGCCAATCTGTAGGGGTCCGTCGGTGTGGGTGGATAGGAGTGTGATGGTGCAGAGGTGGGGTGCGTCGACGACGTTGACGGGGATCCGATTGCGCTTGCAGAGTTGAGAAATGTGCTGGCCTATTTTTATTGTTTATTCATCATGTCAGTCAGTCAGTCATTTTTTTCTCTTCCTCGATCTATCAMAWRAAAAAAAAAAAAAAAAAAAAAAAAAAAGCGTGRAAAMATGGGAAATGCCAATGAGGAAAAAAAAAAAAAATCGCTTACTCTGGACATCACGAGAGCCAGACGTGACAAAGACGGCGTCGACGACGTGGTCGACCTCGTTGCGTCCCAGACGAAAGAGATCGTCATCGTCAAAAGACTTCTTCTCCCATTTCACCTCCCCGTCGTCAACGCGACGCTGAAGGGCGTAGTGGAGCTCCGCGTCGGCCGGGGCCACGATGACGGGGTGTGCCCCCGCGGCGAGGGACTGGGCACATCGTGACGAGGCGAGTGGGTTTGTGCCGATGATGAGGTGGATGTTGTCTCGGCATTGAATACCAGCAAGGAGGGAAGACATTGTGTATTTTCTTCTTCTTCTTTTCTTGCTTCCCCCCCCTCTCCTTCTAATTCCTCCTTTTGCTACTCTTTGTCGAGTATGTCTTTCTTCCCTGAGTTGTATGTCGTCTTTCCCAGGTTGGGGAGGGTTTTTTCTTTTTTTTCTTTTTTTTTTGCCTGTATATTGTATATGTCTTTCGTTTTCCGTTCCCGGAAAGGGGATGTTTGTGGGAAGGGGAGTTTCTCGTTCTATTTGAGCCGACGACCCTTCAAAGAGTCCAGCTGCTTGTAAATAGAGAGAAGGGGAGCAGAACAATTCCGCTCTTATCGATTTTGAGTAGACGTTTGCCGTGACCTCGGGTGATGTAATATAATGTGTATACAGCAATATCACGGGTATACAACAATCATAATGGGTATAATATAGACTGAAAAAGAAGAGAAAAGGACGAAGAGAAAAAAAAAGACAGAAAAAGGAAAGAGAAGAGCAAGTCCCTCCGACCGCGGAAACGTCAGTATCGGTAATGTCCATGACACTGATTGTGTGCTTTCTTTCCTCCGCGCTACGCCAGAGGCTCTGTCTTCTTTCCGTCTCCGCCGCCGGCCGCGCGAACAAACCGAAGTGGGAAAAGAGAAAAAAAAAAAAAGTCGTTTGCGCCTGCCGCAGGTGGCACTTGCCTCAAGTTGACGCCATTCCGCCCCGAGCCGGTTATCGGACCAATGACAACAATTTGATTTCGACGACTTTCTCATTCCCTTCCTTTTTCCCTTGTTCTTTTCTCTTCTCTTCCCTATCCATCTTTTATCCTTGACCCCCGCGCTCTTTTAATTTTTTTTTTTCCTCTTTTTTTTTTTTTCTTCAAAAAATGGTCGGACACACTAGAGTCCCGGAGATGCATCGTGAGGAATTTGGACCTATCATGGTGTTTGTTGGCATCGGGCGCACCACATACCGGAGATGCATTCTTCCCTCTTTCGATAGATAGCTCACTGTAAGTAATGATTCATCTCTCTTACTATGCGATATCTATCACGTTATCCTTCAGCTATGCATCATCATGACCTTTTATCATACAGCTCATTTTTCGTCTAATGTACATTTTCAAACCATGCCCCCCTCTGCGATATAATTTATGACCATAATACCAGTACAGGACCCCGATAATGTTACAAGTGCTTCTTCTCCTCTCCCCCCCCCCACTTCTCTTCTCTACCTTCTCTGCCTGTCGTCACCCTCTACCTCTTGAGCCATCTCCTCCTCAATCTCGGCGACCTCCTCCTCCTCGGCTCTCCTGATCTCCATAATCATCTCGACCTCCTTCTGCTTCTTGGACTTGGGACCCTTGTGCTTCTTCTGAGGCGCAGCCCCGTCGGGCCCGTCGCCGAGGCTCTCCGCGATGCTCCTGCGACCCTTCTTGGACCGTCCGGCCTGCCTCTTGGCCATCTCGTCCGTCTGCCCGTGCCTCACGTCGCGCTCGACCCTCGTCTTGGCGCCGAGCGCCCAGAGGTCACCCCATCGCGACTTGCGCGCGTCGTGGTAGGCCGCCTTGCTGAAGCTCTTGGGCACCGTCCACCGCTCGATGCGGCCCTCGGGCGTGCACATGTCCATCGTCACGTGGCCTTTGCGCTTGAGCGTCGGGAGCACCATGCGCGGCAGCGTCTGCATGTCCGGCGGCGTGTCCGACTTCTCGTACCCCCGATGGGCCGCCTCGGTGGCTTCGCGACCGGACGGGATGCTCCGGGGACGGGATACGCCGCGCTGGACGGCGACGTAGCTGAATTCCACCTCGCCGTGGTTGTCCGATTGCTTGCGCAGGAGCTTGGTGTTGAAGGCCGGCCGCACGAACCTCTGGCTGAAGCGGCAGAAGTCCCGGCGGCCGTTGCTCTTGCCCGGCTCAACGTACATCGGGCAGGTGCCCTGCGTGGTGCAGGGGGCCAGGATCTGCCCTGGCTCCGGCTCGCGGTGGAAGGTGGCGTTGAAGTCCTCGGCGGCTACGCGGGGCTCGCCCGAAGGCGGCAGCATGAAGCTGTTGATCATGGTGTGCCGGGCGTGCGCGACGGCCTCGAACCCTCTGGGGTGGCCCTTCTCCTGGATGACGAGCACGCCGCCGTCCTTCTTGAGCAGGTGCCACAGGTTGTTGAGGATCGCCTGCCGCCGGTGGCTCTCCTTCTCGCGCAGGAGCATGTGCGACGCGATGATGATGTCGAAGCTCTTGCGCTGCGGCTGCTGGCCGCCGCCGTCCAGGCGGGGGCCCCGCATCTCGCCCGAGTGCTCATAGTCGGGCATGCGGGGCAGGAACGTCGTGTCGTCCAGCAGCTCCTTCAGACGGCTGCGCAGCCGGTCAGACCCGCAGATGACCGTCTTGCGGCCCTGCGGGGGCTCCGTGTGCTCGCCCACCGACCCTTCCTCCTTGAGCAGCTCCCACTCCGCCCGTAGAATCTGGTTCCACGCGATCAGGCCGGCGCCTCCGGAGCCGGCGTCCAGCACGCTCACGCCGCCGCCACCGCCCTCGCGCAGCTTCGATCGGAGCCACTGGGGCCCTACGCGCTTGCGCACCTCGCGCAGGATGGCAGACGTAGACGCGTAGACACCCGGCATGAACCCCGCCATGAAGGCGTCGGCCTCAATCTCCGTCATGTGGCGCTGCGTCGCCAGCAGGCCCACGCCGCCCATGTGGCCGTTTCGGTGCGAGGCCAGCGTCTCCGACGACAATGGTAGCCCCGCCCCGCCCAGCGACCTCTCGGCTGCTGTGCGGACGTGGTCGATGTGCGTCCGTCGGAGCATATCCGAGACGGGCAGCACGAGCTCCTCCCTGGGAACGGTCACCTCCGTCGACTTTCCGTGGAAGCTGCCCTCCACCGTGTACGGGTGGAAGCGCTGGTAGTTCTCGTCGGGATCCTCCTGCTCCTGTGCCAGCTCTTCCTCCCACGGCAGCACCCCCACCTCCTCCTCCTCGTACTCAGCCGGCCAGGACTGGGACTCTGCGCTCTCCACTGCCTTGTCCTCCTTGACCTCTACCTCCCGCCGTTCCTTTTCGGCGGCAGCGGCAGCAGCAGCAGATTCCTGGTCTGCCTCCTTTCGTGACCTCTCAAAGTCGTCTGCTAGGCGCTGCAGCGCGTCAGCCTCTCGCTGGTTCCGCGCCACAGCCTGTATGTAGTTGGGTCGTTGCTGGTCGTCCGGAAGCAGCTCCTGCAGCTCCTCCATGCTCGTGTTGGCCGGCGCCTGCTCTAGGGTCTGCATCTCGTGCTCGGTGAGCTCTTCTTCGGCCAACTCGCCCTCCTGTAATGATTCTTCTTCGCCGTGCCCCTCGGGGGGGATCTCGTAGGTTATTTCCTCGAACTCGCCGCCCTCCAGCTCCTTGAGGATCGTGCCCTCGCGGGCTGACCGCGGCGGTGACTGTGCCATGTCGGCGTGTGTATCGATACCGACATCCTGGGGCACCGTCTCCCTCAGAGGCGGGCCGTACAGACGCACGTACAGCGTGTACTCCTCCTCGCTGAGGTAGTCTCGGGGAAGGGTATCTCGGAACCGCTGCTTTGCATCGCGCACCGTCTGTTCGATGTCATCTATGCTGTTCGTGCTGTCGCTTATCTGGGGAGCAGGGGCCACGGCCTCGGCCTCATGTAGCGTGCGATGTGTCGTCGTGAGCGATCTCGACTGGTAACGGGGGGCCGGCAGCTGGCGAACAGGGGTAAGAGAGGCTTTGCAGGCGAGCGTCCGTCTTAGACACTGCGAGGCAACATTTTGCCTTGGCCAGGCGTACAGGGCGCCTCTCGCCGAAAGCATTCTGGAAGGCGAATAGAAAATAGAAAAAAAATGTAGGGGAATGTTGAATGTCCGTATGGGGGGGGGGAGGGTTATGGGGAGGACGTCCCTTCAGTTCAAGATTTCAGGGACTAACCACTATTACTACTTTTTTCTGAACGACGCGCGCGATCGCACGTGACCCGCAAATTGCCATTAGCGTGGTTGTGATTGGCTGGCGGCCCGGGACCCTGGAGAAGTGAGGCCAACCCCCGAAGGCCGTTCGTTTCCATGCTGCCGGATAAGTGGATACATCATCCCGTTGGTAGTGATAGTGAGCAATAGTAAGTAATAGTAGTAGTAGTAGTAGTATTACTTGGGATCGGTTGAATGCAGTAACAGTCAGATGGGTAATCCCATTGTATCAAAACCCATCTTCATAGAGTATGTAAAAAGAATAAGCCGCCACGGATTGCTAGGTTAAAGAAAAAGCCCCCCCCCGGGAAAAAAAAAACGCCGTTGACCCGCCCACCCTCAGTCGAGTAAGGATATGTATAGCAACATGCAATCAAGGACGGTCTCTTTATTTTTATTTTTTCAACTGTCGGAATTCAAGTCTGCGAAAGTGCGAAAGGCTGGCTTCTTAGCGGCGGCTGTAGGTCGGGAGGCAGCCGAGGCCGAGGCCGAGGCCGAGCTGGAAGTTGCCTGGCCAGCAGACTTGTTGGCGTTGAAGGGCGAGTTCTCGGCAGCCTTGTGAGCATCGATCTGTTTTGAATGTTTTGCCTCTCGTCAGTCGGCCAGCAGATTTTGAAGGTACAGTCACAGCCTTTTGTGCAGAGACCACAAGGACAAGTGGATTGCCGTTCTTCTTCTTCCTCCCCCCCCCTTTTTTTTTCTTTTCAACGCACCGCAAACAGAGAGACGAGGTAGAGTCCCACAAAGGCTATGAGGAGGTTGAAGACCCCCGTGAGACTGAAGCTCGACAGGAAGCTCGGGGCCCCGGAACGGGCAGCGGCACCGCCACCTTGGCCGCCTAGGGTGCGGCCGGGCGTGGCGAAGGAGGCGCCGGGCTTGGCTCCGACGGGCGTGTCGGCGAGCTTGGAGGCCCTCGACACGGCGTTGGACAGGTCGGACGGGTTGGCGCCGCGGATGGTGTCGACGCAGTTGCCGCCGTGGAAGATCTTGAAGGTCGGCATGGCGGACACGCCGTTGGCCTGCGCGACGGTGGACTGCTCGTCGACATTGACCTTGGCAAACGCCAGTTTCTTGGGTCGCGTGTGTTCCTTGGCCAGACGCTCAAAGTGCGGGGCGATCATCTTGCAGGGACCGCACCAGTCGGCGTAAACTACAGAGAGGGACGATCAGAAAGGAAGGCAAAAAAAAAAAAAAAAGAAGAGTATCATGGTCGGTCCTGATCTGACGGAACATCGAGATGCGATAACAAAGCGAAGCGGGGAAGAGGGACGTACAGTCTGCCACGACGACATTGTTACTCGAGAGCACAGACTGCCATTCATTGACGGAGCCGATGCTGATGGGACCGCTCATTCTTGCAAAGGGGTGTATGTCCAAGTTATGTTGTACGTGCGCGCGTGTAGGTGTATGCGTGTAGGTGTGTGCGTGTTGGTGTGTGTGTAGGTAGTATGCACGGTTGGCCTTGTCGTTGGGGGAACGGGTGGTGAGTATATTAATACCATCATCCAGAAGTGACGTGGTGTTTTTTTCTCTCCCTCTTCGTTTACGGAGTTTTCTGACTAAGAAGGTTTCACCTGCTTCCTATGCACGTTTCAAACGGCCACTTTGACGGTCCGGGGGGGTGGAAATGGCAAATACCGTGTTTGGCAGTGGGCGGTCAAAGTGTCCCCATCTCTGATCAGTTTCCTCCTCCTTACATGATTCAAGTTCCCAGGTAACATTTTCTCTCGGTTTCTACTGGTAGGGAGATTACCATGATTTATTGCAATTGCACTTACCTGAGTTCAGAGATATCTCCCAAAAGCATTCGTCATGTCATTCACCGTCGAAGCCGATGCAAGTACCGGTAATTCTACCTACCCGTACTTCTCGCCACCTACAGGGGGATCACCGTTATTCTAATCGACGCTAGACTTGTTTGGGACACGCAAACGTGCCTCCTCCGTTTCTGAAACGGAAGATACCGCTGGCGGGACAAGATCAATTGAAGGCGTAGATCGAGTCTTCAGCATGATTCATCCCCTTCAAGGGAGGGTATAAGGCTGGACTGTCTCTGTCGCTGTCCCCGGAAGCGTTCTTTCAGTGTACGATCCCCATAGAATTACGTCTCCCTTTAATGTATGCGTGTATGCGTGTTTGTCGTATGCTGGGCTACTATTACTAGCAAACACTTGCCGTTTTGCGCGGGTAACTCAGGATGTCTGTTCAAGAATCTGCTCCTTGCCTTGCCCCTAGTGGCATTACATGGGAACTGGAGTATTGCCCCCCCTGACTGACGAGTATCCGAGGGACAAAGAGCACACGGGACACTCGGACCGCAGAGCTGTTTGATCATTGTGTTAGCATCCCATCTAACCGGTTGGGCCGGGCCATCCGTGCCCCCCAGAGGCCCTCCCCATCTGTCTGGAAGCCCTGAGAAGAGGCCTTTGGGGCTCGAGGTAGGAGATAGCAAGGAGTGATGTTGTGACGATAGGACGGTCTATAGATTTATTAGTAGTAAATGGCATTTCTCCGTCAACTGATCACTTCATCTCAACAGTATATATATCTCATGTTATTCCGCGTGCCATTTGTTGAAGACACCACAGTCTAGAGTTGAGTTCCCAACCTCCCATCCTAGGGGCAAGTCCCCCCAATCAAGAAAAGAAAAAGACAAAGATAAAACGCCTGAAACCATGCACGGTCCCGATATAATGAGAAAGCTAAGTTTTTTTTTTTTTTTTAGAAAAAGGCACAGAGAAGCGAAACGTATCGCTTCTACCGCTGATTATACAGTTCTGTGTTGTCTATCTCGGACGGAGAGTAGACAGTATCAGACGGAAGCAGGTTTCTCAGCATTGAGCGAAGCGGCAGCCTGGTCGATGCGCGTGCCGGCCGGTACCTTCTCTCCGGATCTCTTGCGCAGTACGTTCTCGATAAAGGCCTCACCGGCCTTGTACGACGAGCGGACGAGCGGGCCGCTGGCGCAGTAGAGGAAGCCCATGTCCAGGGCACGCTGGCGCCACATCTCGAACTCCTCAGGGGTGATGTACTTCTCGACCTTGAGGTGACGTTTCGTAGGGCGCATGTACTGGCCAAAGGTGACGACGTCGACGCCAACCTTTCGGAGCTCTGCATTCACATTTTACTGTCAGTATAATGGATCTTTTGGTTTTTTTTTTTGGTTTTTTTTTTTGGGGGGGGGGGCCTCCCCGGGCGGCCGGGGGAGGTTGGGGTTAGTGTTTGCGCTGCCAAAAGGAGTTGCCTCACCAGTCAGAGCATCCATAACCTCCTTCTCCTGCTCACCGAGACCGAGCATGATGCTGGTCTTGGTGATGATGCCGTCCTGGCCCCGGACATCCTTGACGTGCTTGAGCACGGCCAGACTCTGTCGGAAGGTGGCGCGACGGTCACGCACGTAGGGGGTCAGGCCCTCGACGGTCTCGACGTTGTGGGCGTAGACGTCGAGGCCGCTCTCGGCGACGACGCGGACCATGTCGAGGTCGCCGCGGAAGTCGCCGGTCAGGGCCTCGACAAGCAGCGACGGCTTCTTCTGCTTGATGCGGCGGATGGTCTCGGCGAAGTGGTGCGCCCCGCCGTCGGCGAGGTCGTCACGGTCGACGCTGGTGAGGACGACGTAGCCCAGGCCCCAGCGGGCGAGGGCCTCGGCCGTGTTCTCGGGCTCGTGCGGGTCCAGCGGGTTCGGGTTGCGGTTCGTCTTGACGCTGCAGAAGCGGCAGCCGCGCGTGCACGTGTCGCCCATGAGCATGATGGTAGCCGTGGCCGCATTCTTGTTGTCGCCGCCCCAACACTCGGATATGTTGGGGCACCGCGCCTCCTCGCACACTGTGTGCAGGCCCAGGCCGCGCAGGTCCTTCTTGATGCTCTTGAAGTTGTCGTTGCCCGCCGGGATGGGCGTCTTGAGCCACTCCGGGAGGCGGGTAATCGTCCTCTTCCGTCCCTCGGGCCCCACCTCGGCCGTCCTCAGCGTATACGCCTCGGTCGGCGACAGAGGTTTCGACGCTGCGCCTCCTCCTACGAACTCGTCAAACGAGGCGACCGTCGTGTTCTTGAAATACGTCTTCCGCCTCGGCTGCACCGTCTTGTCGCTCGTGGGGGGTACCGTCGCCAGGCTGCGCGTCACCGACGGTGCCGAAGCGAAAGCTTTCCTCAGGGGCGCCTGCGCCCTGTGAATTGTCGGAGCCAGGGATGCCATCTCTTTTTGTTTTCCCCTCGTCTGTCGACTGTCAAGCAAAAGTCGCTGGTTAGGGCGAGGGTTGTTGGAGGGGCGATGTGAGTCGGGGAGAGAGATGGAGAGGTGAGAAGGAAGAAGGGTGGAATCAAGGGCCGGTCGAGGCTGTTGATTTGGTGGAAAGTGTCGCTCCGACTTTGCTCGTTTGTTGGTGCCCCTCGATCCACAGCCGATTGGGTATCTTAGTAGCAATTTGCAATATCGAGTTCAAGGGTGCACCCCCAAAGCAGAAATAATACCCTTCTATCACGTCCTTACGAAGATATTCAATTATCCATAGGCTACCTACCTGACTAATAACCCTTCCACTTTTCTGCTTAGAGGCATTCGCCACCTCGACTGTCCAGCATTGCTTGTACTTGCTAGTAATTTTCTCCATTTCCACCGCCAAAACTTGATGGAAATGTACATCTGTGCCCGTGCAGGTGAGTACATACGGATACTCGCGGGTTTCCTTGGCCTTTGCGTATCAGTCGATGCTAATGGTGTGATAGAGACAAACCCCCCCCACATAGTGTGCCAAGATCAAGATGATAATTACTCCCTAAGTGGCACCAACGTACGGAGCATAGCCAGCTGCGTCTCTTCCTTCATCCTCTCCACATTCAGGGGTCTGCGGGTGAACTACGAGTACGAGTATCAATACTCTCTGCAGCTTGTCAATCATGAAAAGGCCAAGCTCCATCAATACAGAAGCCTATACGGAATTGCCAGAGTGCACATAATTGACTAATGAGTAAGCATAGATTGAAAACTGGAAATAATACACACAGTCGTCTCCAACCGAGAAAGGGAGGGGAACAAAAGAAAGGACAGAAAAATAGCACAGAAGGGAAGGGGGGGGGGGAGAAGTAATATTCATCAAGACGAAGCGAAGCAACAATAAGCCACCCGCCATGCGAGAAATGAAGAAGGGGCAGGAAATAACAGTAGAAGAAATCCTCTCCAGTGCATCACCCTACTTGGCCTCGGTCCAAACACCCATGAGTTTTGTCTTGCGCAGAATCAGAGACGTCAGATCGGGGAGAGATCCGCAGCTGAGGAGCTCGAGAACCTGTAGGTGCGCTTGGAACTCCTTGTCAATCCAGTTACGCAGCTCAATGGCCGTGAGAGAGTCGAGTCCCAGGTTGGTCATGGTCACGTTCTGCTGGGCGGCAAGCACCTCGACCGGCAACATCACGATGCCCGCCAGCTTCTCGACAAGACTCTCAATGGCCACCTCGACCGCGGCCTCGGTGCTGTCTGCCGCGACCAGCCGCTCCGACGTGGGCAGGACGGCACCTTTGCCCGGCCCGTTGTCTAGGCCCGAGTTGGCGAGCGTCTTTTCCCTTAGGATGGAGAACTTGCTATCCGACGCGTAAAAGGGGAACGACGCTGGGTTGGACAGGTCCAGGCCCGTGATGCACTGTCCGCCGCAGAAGGCATCGAGGCGGCCGTCGATGGCGGTCTCGAGCAGGGCCAGGAGCTCCGGCTCGCCCAGCGTGCCGCCGGATAGGTTCTTGAGAACCTGCGCCTGCTTCTCCTTGTCCTGTTCCAGGTAGCCGATACCCTCGACGGCCGCGAGGTCTAGCGATGACGAGGCCAGACCCTTGCGACGGCGGTGCAGCGTGAGCGCATCCAGAAAGGTGTTGGCGGCGGCGTAGGCGGCCTGTCCGCGGTTGCCCACTATACCGGCGACCGACGAGAGCACGACGAAGAAGTCGAGGCCGTCCCCGAGGGCTTGGTGAAAGTTCCACGCACCGTACACCTTGGACCGCACGACGGCTTCGTAGTCGTCAAACTCCATGCGCTCAAAGAGAACGTCCCTGAGCACCATGGCGGCGTGGATGATTCCCTTGATAGGAGGCAGCGTCGTCTTCAGCTCGGACACGAGGGCGTTCACCTGGCCCTCGTCAACGGCATCACACTTCTTGACGTGAACGGTGCCACCGAGGGCGCTGCACTCCTCGGTAAGCTGCTTCAGGTCGCCGGTGACCTGGCCGCTTCGGGACAGCAGGACAACGTGGCCTGCTCCCCGGCCGACCAGTCTCATCGTCATGGACCGACCGATTCCTCCGGTACCTCCGATGATGAGGTAGGTAGAGTTGCGGTTGACGGGGGTAGAGGAGTTGGCTCCGTGCGTCATCTGGTGAAAGAGAGACAGAACAGGAAAAAAAAAAGTATCAATGTAAGCAAAATCATCATCACAGAGAACAGATGAAATGACAATGTGGGGAGGGTTATTGTCTCTTACCTTGACCATTTGATCAGGGAGAAGATGATCAACAATGATCTTTCCAGTCGTCTTACCGCTCTGCAGACGGCGGAGCGCATTCTCGACCTCTGAGATACCAATGGTGCTGATGGGACCGACGGGCCTGATAGTACCCTTGGCCAGGAGATCAAGAACCGAACTGAGGATCCTGCCCATAATCTTGGGTCGTTCGGCAGCAACTAGGGTCAGGTCCACGGAGCTGAAAGTGCAGTTGTACTCAAACCTGCCCATCTCGAGCCTGGTGTTGGAGCTGATGTCTCTCTTTCCAATCTCGATGAAGCGGCCAAAGGGGGCAAGGCACTCCCAGGACTCGCGCAGGAGGTCACCAGCAAGCGAGTTTATGATGACGTCGACACCCTTGCCGCCGGTCGCCTCCCTAAGTGCGGGACCAAAGTCGCTGTCGCGGCTGTAGAAGATACGCTCCTCGGCGATACCGTACGTGTCCATGATCAGCTGTTTCTTCTCCACGCTGCCGACCGTGGCGTAGATCTCGGCGCCGATCATCTTGGACAACTGGATCGCGGCCTGACCGACACCACCAGATGCAGCGTGGATGAGCACCTTCTCTCCCGGCTCCATGCGGGCGAGATCCAGGAGGCCATAGTACGCCGTGGAGAAGACGACAGGGACAGAGGCGGCGACGGCAAACGGCATGTCATCGGGGATCCTGGACGCACTCGCGGCCGGGCACCGGGCGAATGTGCTGTATGCACCCAGCGACATGGCACAGACGCGGTCGCCAACGCCGAGGGAGCTGACGGCGGAGCCGACGCGAGAGACGGTGCCGCTGCACTCGATGCCGACGTACGGGCTGGTAACCTGGCCCATGGCGATGACGACGTCCTTGAAGTTCATGCCCGTGGCGGCCACCTTGATCTCAATCTCACCAGCACCGAGCTCAGCCTCCGGCTCGTCCTTCCAATAGATGGTGTCGAGCGCCCCATAGGTGCCAACGGATAGCTTGAGGCGACGACCAACCTGCTCAAAGGTCTGCTCGTAAGGCGCAGAGGGGAGCGTCGCGCGGCAGATGGCGAGGTTCATGTCATCCTGCTCGACAACACGGGGAACGACAAGCTGACCATCTTCCTCGGCAAACTCGGCCTCGGGCTCGGAACCGTCGTCCGGCTGGATAAGAGACGTCTTGAAGGCCGTGTAGATGACCTCGGCCTGGTCGACAGGCAGGAGCTTGGACGAGACCTCCAGGTCGAGCGTTGCCACAGCCTTGCGCGCCTCGGACCTGACCGTCCTCGCGAGACCCTGGGCGAGGTTGTTCTCGGGCTCTTCTGCGAAGCGGTAAGCGCCCGAGGTCACCCACAGCATAGAGCGGCCGTTGAGCAAGAGATCCTTGACCTTGCCAAAGGTCTCAGCGTTCATGGAGTGCAGAACCGGGTTGTCCAGCTCGGCAAGGCAGATGTAGCTATCCTCAGGCGACACCTGGGCATCGGCCATAGACGACAGGCGGGGGCTGCAGCCCGTGCGGAGATCAATGATGACGGAGAGCGCCACGATCAGCGGATCGTTTACGTCCCTGTCAGTCAGGATAACAGTGGGGTTACTGATGTCCTTGACGCCATGGTTGTGGCCGTCGGTCCCAGCTCCGTTCCCATTATCAGCGTTTCCGTTACCGGCAGCTCCATTGCCATTGCCATTCCCCTCGGCATACTCCTTGCGGGCATCGACACCGGCTCTATTGGTTTCACCGACGGAATGTGCCTTATCATCCGCAGGACCAGACTTGGGCAATCCCTCGAGGGGCTGCCATTGGACCTTGTAGCAGATGGAGCGAGGGCCCGCTTCGTCTGCACCATTGCCGTCGTTTATGGGAGTCATCTTCATCCCGCTGAGGGACGCGATAGGCTTGTCAGAAGCCTCGCCCCAGGCAGATATGTCGAAGTCGACGGGCTGAGTGCTGGAGTAGTCAGGAACGCCGTAGGCCACAACATTGACCTTCTCACCTGGCTGGTTGGGGACCGGGCCATTGATGTCGATCTCCCTGATGACAGAAGGCATAAAGAGCGTGGGCATGAGGCCACGACCAGCTCCTAGGATGGCGTAAGGCAGCTGGAAGAGGAGGTCAGCGAGGGCGGTGGGGAGGATGGAGGGAACTTCGTGGTTGGAATCCATGAAGGACCTGGTTTCCGGCACAGCGACGCTGCTGGTGGAGTAGTTGCTGCGGAGGTTTATCTTGGCATCTTCCTGGGCCCTGAAGGGCGCCTGGTAAGCAGCTCCACAAGCGTAGAGTTCGGCATAGAACTCCTCGAGCGAGAGATCCTGGCCACCGTAGATGGTGGAGTTTTCGCGGTGCAGCTTTGCCGTCTGGTACAAGGAGTCGCTGACCGGGTTTCCAGCAGACGGCTTCTTGACGGATACAAGACCGCGGCAGTTCTCAAGCCAGCCTCTTCCAGACTGCCAGGACGAGATACGGAACTCGTCCCATTCGTTGGAGTACGATCGGGTACCCTCAGCGTAGGCACGAAGAGATAGGCATGTCTCGTACTCGATGCCATCGTCCAGGAGCAGGGCCTTGGAGGCGTGGACTTCGCGGAGACGGAAGCCGGCAATATTTTCAGGCGCGACGCCGCGCAGACGAGCTTTCTGAGATGCCGCCTCGACAGCCATACAAAGATAACCGGCCATCGGGAACGTGGTGAGCCACTGCATCTTGTGGCTCTTGAGCCAAGGGACACTGTCAACCGACAGTACGTTGCGCCATGTGGGCTCCGCATCACTATAGGCATCTTCGAGGATCCCCAGGAGATCGTGGCGACCAAAAGGCTTCAGGCGGTGCTGCTTGCTCAGGCGTGGCTCGAACCAGAACTTGTGGTCGGCCCAGGGATACGACGGGAAGTCGGTGATCAGCTGGGGCTTTGATCCGGACTTGCTCTGGTTTATCTCGGAAAAATCGATGGCCTGGCCTTGGGACCAGAGATTGCCGGCAAGCTTGAGCAAGGACGACGTGCCGTCCTGTCCGCGGACAAGGGAGGCCATGTACGTAACATCCGAGGCAGCCTCGGGGCCGACATCCTTGAGGATCTGTTTGATGGGGCCCTCCAGTGCCGAGTGTGGCCCAATCTCGACAATGATGTTGGGCTCCGTCTCCTCATAGAGCTGGCGCATCGCCGTGGAGAAGAGGACGGGGCTGGTCAGGTTTTCAACCCAGTACTTGGGGCTCAGGGCCGATGTGGTGCTCAGGCCCCCCTTAAGAGATGAGTAGAAGGTGACGTCCTCGTCATTAACACCAGCACCCACGTTCTCGATGGCACTGAGGTATTCCTCGGCAATAAGTTTCATGTGGGCTGAGTGATAGGCAACATCGACACGCAGCTTGCGATTAAAGATACTCTCGGTCTCAAGCTCAGCAGCAAGGGCATCTATCGATGACTCGTCGCCGGAAACAGTGACTGAGGCGGGGGAGTTCTCACAAGCAACCGTGAGGCCCGGTACACCGAGCTGCTTGATCGCCTTCCTCACCTCGGAAGGGCCGGCACCGACGGCAAGCATGCTACCGTGCAGTCCGGGGTACCTCTCCTTCAAGGTGTAGGCGACCTGGCCGCGGTGGTACGCCACAGCCATGGCGTCTTGGATGCTGACGGCCCCTGCGGCAAAGGCGGCGCCAATCTCTCCGCTAGAGTGGCCGACAGTCACGGATGGCTTGATGCCCCAAGAAGACAGGAGTGCTGTCAGGCCGAGCTGGATGGCGGTGCAGGCAGGCTGCGAGATGTGGGCCTGGCCAACGAGAGACTCGTCTTCATGCCTGTGCAGCTCCTGAACAAGGTCGAAGCTGGCGCCGAGCTGAAGGAGGGAGTCGGAGGCGGCCTTGACGGTGCCAGCAAAGACGGGGTGGCTGTCCATGAGCTCACGGCCCATCTGGGCCCACTGGGCGCCCTGGCCGGTGTAGACAAAGGCGAGCTTGGGCGTGGTACCGACGCGCTTGGGAATTGCCATCGGGGAGTTGAGCACCTTGGCAAGCTCGCTACACGACGAGGCTGGAACAGCGATACGCCACGGCATCTGAGACCTTCTCTCACCGAGAGTGTAAGCCATGTGGCGCAAAAGCCTCTTCTGGAAGACCTCGGGGTGCTGTTCAATGTAGACCCCCAGGTTGACGGCCATCCTCTTGGCCGTAGCCTCATCATTTGCGCTGAGGGCGAAGAGGCCGCAGCTGAAAGCATACTTCCCCGGAGGCGAGTCATCGAGGGAGAAGGGATGGCGGGTAAGGATGGCATGGGCGTTGCTGCCACCGAAACCAAAGTTGTTGACACTGATGTACTTCTTGTCCTTTGGCCAGGGGCGAATGTTGACGGGAACCTTCATGTTCCACCGGTCTAACGGGATAGCCTCGTTGGCCTTTTGGAAATTGACGTTGGGGAGGATAAACCCCCTTTCGAGCATCAGCGTCGCTTTGATGATGGAGATGACGCCACTCGCGTTTTCGAGGTGGCCGACATTGGTCTTGACCGACCCCACGTACAGGGGAGACCGCTTGGTTCGACCTTCGCCAAAGACGCGGTAGATAGCGCCGGCCTCGATAGGGTCACCAACCTTGGTTCCCGTTCCGTGAGCTTCGACGAAGCCCGTGTCTTTGGGCGAGATATCTGCACGGGCGTAAACATCACGTATGAGACGCTCCTGGGCCTCGCCGCTCGGCAATGTGATTCCTGTGAAGGAAAGAGCATATCAGTGGACGCAAGTACTTATGCCAGGCCCGCCCTGAATGAGGAAGAGCGCATACCGTTGGTCTTCCCATCTTGGTTTGTGCCAGTGTTGATAATGACGGACCTGATCTTATCATTGTCCTTGAGCGCCTGGTCTAGAGGTTTGAGGACAAGGCATCCCGTTCCCTCGCCTGGTGCGAAGCCACCGGTGGCACGATGATCAAAGGAATAGGTCTTTCCCTCATCATTGAAAATGCTGAGATCGATTTAATGACATGAACATCACTCTCTAGGCTGCTGCCAATGTGGCCAAGGTCGCGACTTACCCTAGCATGGACATGGACACGATCTCGTCCGGGCTGAGATGCAGGTTACAACCGGCGACGAGGGCAGAATCCGATTCTCCAGAACGGATGCTCTGGACGGCCGAGTGGAGCGCATGGAGACTGGAAGAGCATGCCGTGTCGATGGAGAAGCAGGGGCCATGAAGATCAAAGTAGTAAGAGAGACGAGCGGCCTGGAGAGACTGATGGTTCCCCGTGGAATCAAACATGTGTGTCTGGTTGGGGTCCCTGAGGGAGCCTATGCGGTAATCGGACGACGTTGCGCCAACAAAGACGCCCATGTTCCGGCCAGCGGCAGCCTCCTTGGTGACCCCGGCGTTCTCAAGGGCTTCATAGCTACACTCAAGAAGTTGCCTCTGCTGAGGATCTAAATTGACATGTATCAGTCTTGGTCCACGGCACGGTTACACATCTGCATTGATCCAGATGGGTGGAGACGGCTCAAATCTCGGTATTGCTCTCCCTCGTCTCCAGCTTCTCATTCGAGAGCGAGAAAATAAAAGATGAAGAAGGGAAGAGACAAGGGCGAAGAGCATTGTTTCGTGTCAAACTTTACTTACCCATTCCCGTGGCCTCTGCCTTGCTGATCTGGAAAAAGGGCGCGTCGAACCTGGAGAGATCGTGCTTGAGGAAGTAGCCGCCCTTGCTGTTGAAGCATCCCGCCTTTTGCGGGTTGGGATGGTAATAGGCCTCTGCGGAAAACCGTTCCTTGGGGATGGGGGTCCAGCCATCACGGGAGCGAGAGATGAGAGTCCAGAGGTCATCGAGGGAAGACACATCGCCGGGCAGGCGACATGACATGCCAACGATGGCAATGGGCTCGGGGGTGGACATGGTTGTGGTGTGTATGTGACGGTGATGGAGAGCACGGGGGAGAGGAAGGAGGGAGGAGAGAAAAAGGACGGAGAGGGGAAAGAATTGCAAAGGATTTGAAGAGAGAAAGGGGAAGAGAAGAGAGGATGTTCAGAAGTGTGGAACAACGATCAAGAAGAACTTGAACAGCACAAGCATGTACACGATAAGTGAAACTCGCAGCAGAAAGGTACCACCAGCTCGTATTGGTTACTGGAAAGGCTTTGGGTATGTATGGCAGGAGCAGGAACAGGGATGAGGTACCAACCAAGTGTGCAATCGAGCCAGCAAGAAGGACGGAGATGAAGTTGAAGGCTGGTCATCAGTTTGTCGATGGCGAGGGTGAATGGCAAGCCTCTTTATTCGAAAAAACATAGCATGGGGGGGGGCCTAGGGAGACGGCATGACTTGTATTATTATGACGTTGAGCCTATGCTTCCACGATCCATATCTGCCTGCGCTGAGAGGGTGTGAGGTCAGTATGCGTTCTTGACAGGCGCGCATCTTCCTGCCTCGTTCTCCTGGTCGATACTGCAAGCAGCCGAGCCGGAAGAAGACCTCGAGCATTAGACGTACACCATGGGGCAAGTGTAGTTGGCTCTCCGGGACGGATAGGAGTTGGACAGATAATACACTCTCCCCCCCCCCCCCCCCCCCGGTCCACAACGTGCAGTACATGATGTATCAAACGATACCAGTGCCGCACTACTCGTAAGATATGTACACAATCCACGGTAGTCACGTAGTCAGCCTATGAACCAGAGGTTTCTCCGTCAACGTACGAGTACGGGAGAGTGAGTCGAGATGAGAGCTCGAGGAGGAGCTTTCGACGACGCGCGCCCCCACCGAGCGTGTTCGTTTTGGCGCCCGTTACAGGGAAACGGAGATGGAGATACCGTGTACGGATTACATGTACTCTAGTGATAGCGTAGTATGATACTGCTGTAAGTGAGCGGAGATGACCAGAGAGGTCTTACAAGTCTCGATCATGACGGTTACGAGCCAGATGTACAAGAGTAGAAGGACGAAGAACGAAGAAGCGAGGATTTTGGAAAGGGATGATATTCCAAATGGAGGAAATAAGACAGATATTGCATCAGGTGGTAACGATGGAATACGCCACGGAGGTCGGTGGTTGCTGGGAAGAATGGAGAGTGGTGGTAGAAACGCTCCTTGCATCTGCGGACCGCATAGCATCTCACGCGCATGTATATTACTGCATCAGATAGAGAGAGCTACGGATGGACGTTTTCAATCTCCTTGAACTCATCCGGTTCTCTACAGGCTCTCTCCGTATTGTGGATCGTTGCTGGATCATTGGTGGCTTTGCGCCTCGTTTCTCATCCTCTTCCCGCATCTACATCAATGTATCCGATACAAGATATGATGAATGACGGTGAGCACTGCCCGTAATACTACTACGCAACTGTGACCGCTGCCAGAGCAGCATTAGTTGCAGCCATGTTCTACTCTGTGACTACGAGAAGAGACAGCAAGTATATGGGAGGTGGGAGCTTTCGTCGAGCCACCCAGGAATGACGGCTAATACTGGCACGCCAAGCAGCAACCTTGCCGTTGAACTGCTAGACACGGTTCGTCAATACCTCCCGGAACCTGGCGAGTCACGGAGCATACGAGTACTGATGCTGCTACTGCCAGGGGTAGGGTTTGCTTTTTCCTCGGTGCAATGTCCATTCCCATGCGCCTGGTTCAGTGTAAGCGGAGGGGTTCCACATGGTCTCACTCCCCTCTCACGATGTGCGTAGCAATTAAAACGGATCACGTCCTTTCCCCTCGTAGCCTATCATCTGCATCTAACCTACTCCTTATTATCCAATTCCCTTCCCCGTGTCGAGGGGGGGCGAGAGGCAGGGGAGAGACGTCATGTTAGCTGTTCCCCCTCCCCTCCTCTCGGCCCGTCTCCGTGACTCTTCTACGTCGCATGCATATATGTGCACGTAGCCTTTTCTTGTTTTATCTTGTTTATTTTGTTTCTTGTCTTGTCTTGTTTTGTTTTTGCTCTCTTGTATCAAACTTCTCTTAACCGACAGCCCTTATCGTCCACTTTGTAGGGTCTCATGCTTTCGGGGTTTCTAATAAGAGAAGCTTGTCCAAGCCTAGTATCTCGTCTTCAATCTCCTTTTTTATTTTTTTGCGAGGTTTTCTTCTCTTTTCCTTAAATGAACGATACCAACAGTTGTAAAGGCATCATCAATATCTCAATTGCGTCGTACAAGATCAATTCAGCGTCGCATAATCTATAGAGTCAGTCGTAGATAACTAGTCCTGCTCTTTCAGAGCCTCTTGTCGTTCATCGTCCTTGCAGCATGTATCTATCTCACATCGCCTCACTGATAACCACCGCACTGGGCTTTGTGCATGATAGGACCCTTACGTGGGGTTGGACTCGAGTCATCAGCTGCTGTTCAGGAACTCTCGAGATGGGGCCACTTATACGTGTGTTGGCTATATAGACGCACATCGCAATAGCAATCTACATCACCATCTACATGTAGACGGCTTACAGAGCACGAAATGAGCGGTACTGATCGTACGATGTACAACCAGGCTATCGTCAGAGAAATGTGACTCCGTCAATGTTAATCCTGACTCGGAAAAAGGCAGAGAGGTCAAGCAGGATCTACGTGTGGCCCGCCAGGCTTCCATCCGATGCCCTGCTCCCCCTCCCCTCTTCTCCAAGTGAGACACGGCAGACAGAGATGATATACTGCTACCTGGTACATTACGGCGTGATTGATCAGCATAATTTCTTGATTTCTCTCAACCAATATCTTGCCTCCTATCTAAACATGTCACTCTGCTTGCCCGTACATGTATCGGTCCCACCCGCCCAGTCACCAATCTCACCTCATGCAGATCCCATACGTTGATAGCATGGCCGTATTACTTAGTACTCCTCTTCCAAATTCTAGTCCCAAGGTTCACGATGTCTTGGGTCGAGGGAACGACTGAATGAGCAAAGAGTTTTCCGCAGACAAAACACACGATCCTAGATCTGCCCTCCCCCCACCCCCCGTTGCCCCCTACCTTTTCCCCTTTCCCTTCCGGTCGAGGTGTTTCTTCTGGCTGGCCCATCTATTAATCATCCACCCGATCCCTGTCTGTTTTGTCTGTATCCGCTGCTCGATCTTGCTCGCAGCATACCATCGCACCTTGAACTCTTGGACGGCAAAAACACATGCATCGTCTCCCCTCCCTTCCAAGGACTCTATCTACAACCTATCATGACCGTCCTCTGTCTCCATGGAGCCTACGGCAGTGCCTATGTAAGTTGACTTCAAGAGATGGGATACACTCGCTTGTTGCCTTGGCTAAGATGGGCTTGCGCAACATAGAAATTCCAGATCCAGCTTCAACCCTTCGTCCAGGCGGTGGAAAAGACTGGCACCATGGAGTTCAAATGGATCTCCGGCAGCTACGAGGCTAACCCTCCTGCCGGCTTCAAAGATTACTTCGGACCTCCCCCTCTGTACCGCTTCATCGACTGCGACGGTATAAGCGCCATGGACGACCTCCTCACCAAGATCCGCGACATCCCACAGGGCTTGACGGCCGAGGATTCGCTGCGCAAGCTGGTCGGAGATAGCCCGCTCTTCACTCCCAAAGCTCTCAAGGCGTCCCTTGATGAGCTTATCGGCAAGATTGACGAGGACCCCGAAGTCGACGTGCGTTCCAATGAGATACAACGCAGGCAGCATCGAGACGAAACACGAATGAAGGAATAGCCTTGACTGACGCTCCGATAGGGGATCCTCGGCTACTCCGAGGGTGCTGCCGTTTCCGCAAGCCTCATCCTCGAGGAGCAACGACGTTTCGAGGAGGAAGGTCGACCGCGTCGCATCAAGGTTCGTACCATCCCCACCACTTCACCCATGCGTCCGTTGCCCCAGCAGGGGTAACTCCCACCCTCACCCGCCCGTTTCCCGTACCTGGTCTTGCGAGTCGTGTGTGTGTGTGTGTGTGTGTGTGCGTGTGTGCGTGTGTGTATGTGTGTTGACCAGCAGTTGTCATCTCTTCAGTACGCCATCTTCTTTGCCGGATGGCCACCTGCTCGTCTGGTCAACGGCAAGGTGCAGATGCTCTTTGCCGACGAGTGCGAGGATATGATTGACATCCCGACCTGCCACATCATCGGATGCAACGACCCCTACGTCAACGGTGCCATGGCTCTGTACGGCATGTGCGACGAGGACACGGCCGTCATGTTTGACCACGGCAAGGGTCACACGGTGCCCCGGGATGCCCGGACCGTTGCTGAGCTCACCAGGTCCATCACTACAACTTGGGACAGGCGTGGAGACTGTGCCTTGCAAGACGGCATGACCGGAGTATAGTCTCCACGTCAGTGAGAGGAAGAGAGAGAGAGAGAAGCGGCGCAGAGCGTTTGGAAGCAAGGGTCCATCCATCTCTGGACAAGGGTCTGAACTCAACGCGATGGGCGATCAGCCTTACTACCCCTGCACAAGCCGATAAGCAATTTTAGCGACGCCGGATGATACCAACCGATACAAACTTAGTTAGTACAGTTACAGACAGGAATGATGGCCGTCCCCTTCTTCATTCACTTCACATCCCCGTACATGTTACAGACCGTCCGATATCATTGCAGAGCTGGCGTCCCCCAGGCTGTGCTTGCCCCCGTGGACCGATACGTTCGACTGCGCCAGACGGGTAGAGTACCTCTTGATCGGACGCATGAGAGATGCCAAGTCCAACCCTCTCTGGGCGCCTGGTGGAATATCTAGTACGCTTACGGAGGTCGTCGCCGGCCAGGAGGAGGGGGCGATGTGCGCCAGGATCAAGGAACTGGCGCAGCTGCTCCGGTCGATGGGACAGGGGGCGGAGGGGGAGGCTGAGATTGCCGCGCGGCATCTTATTTTACGGATGCTTACGACTAGGCGTAGAGCTTGGGCGCCATCTCTACATGGCACTTTCTACATGGAGCTTGTCGAACTGTCTCGCTGCCTGGCGGAAAGGAGCGACCTGTCTTTATGCTGTCACGGGCTGCACCATGACGAGGTTCATCTCATGCGTACGTACTGGTACATGTATAGTATATTATCAACAATGCTACCCGGACGGTTACATATAGCATATGTAGACATATACGGGAGTACTGGACGATGTGTGAAGGTATCGGTATCAGCATGTTGCGCGCATGTATGTGTAGGTCAACTTCCCATGCTGACGAGATGATGATATCACATATTGGGAACTTGCCGGGAATAATGTCGACGTTGCGTGTAGCTACGTGTAATACTATAAATACTATTAATGACGATTACTGTACATGGATTGTCCTAGTAGAAGCGTTACGTAGATCAGGTCAACGTATTCCTCATACTCAAGACCCGTTTAGTACCCGTATTCGTTATCGCGTGATAACCAATGGCTCTGAAATGTCAATCACTTTGAGAATACGGAGATAGGCAGGGACTGGTTGTAGTCCAGTCGCATCTAATCTGTACTTTGTAATGGTCTATACACGATGATGCGTGTCTAAGATCTGTCTTCCAAGTTCCCACTAGGGAGGATCCGAGATTTCATCCTCAGCCCCGGATCTTGGCATGTGACGGAAAGACCAGGGAGATTGGCACTGAGATTGGTTCAGTGTTCGAGAATCAGGCCACAGTCATCAATCTACCGACTCGGATGGTTCTATCCGATTCATTCATTCATTCATTCATTCATTCATTCATCTCATCCATCCATCCATTTCTCACCTACAGTACAACTACATATCCCAACGCGCTCAAACATATCTACAGCTCGTGTTGAACTTGATTTACCCTACTGCGAAGCCGAATAGAACAAATCAATCCTTCCCAGCAACTCGAACGCGAAGAACGACATATCCATCCATCCTCCCGCCCGACTGACCAACCGACCGGCGACTCCGACACATAAGGGGGGGACGACGCAACCTCGAGAACTGGAAAGAATTCGACCATCTATGCTGTAGAGGCGTTGCCAAGCGTGCCCGGGCACAGTAGACCTGGAGCCCTGCTCGGGCTGCGGTCTGGCGTACTACTGTGCACGATCCAAGAGCAGCAGCAGGAGCGGAGAAGAGCGCCGTCTCCACGGTGGTGGCCAAGGGGAGCAGGGGAAGACGGCCGAGCACGACGTGGCATGCAAGGCTCTAGCGCAGGCGCGAGGCCTGGTGGCCCTCGAGGAGGCAAAGCTCCGCGAGTCATCGGCCAACAGCGTAGGCGGGCTGTTCAGCGCTCCCCCGCGCGTCTTCGAGGACCACGCCGGGTACTTCTGGGACATCGCCGAGACGCGCGAGTACCTCCGCGCGCGGCTGGCCTACACGGAGGCCCTCTTGGCCCTGGGCACGCTGGACGCCGCGGAGCTGGTGGTGAGCGAGTACGACGACATGCTCCGGCTGAGCCAGTGGGACATGCTCGACATCCGGCACCGACTTCTGGGCCAGCTCGCCCGGCTGGGGCGCGGCGAGAGGTGCTACGAGCTCGTCAAGATCTGGCTTCTCGAGGACATGATTGGCGACGAGGGCTCGAACAATGTCCTTCAGGTCGCCGCGAGGCCGGCACGCAGCAACAGCATAAGCAGCAGTGACGGTGCGACGTCGGCGACGACGACGGACCTATTCGAAGATCCCAGCACGGTTCTCGGACCTGCGGAGCCGTACTTTGAGCTGCTCAAGCTGGTACCCGTGCTCGTCATCAAGATCGGCCTGTGGCTCAACCTGCGAGAGATGCACCAGGCCTACGGGCTGCGCTCGACGCTGCCGCCCGAGATGGTGTGCACGGTGCAGATGGAGCTGGCCGGGCCCGCTGTGCGCGCCAACGACGCCGTCATGAGCGCCGTGCGCAGCGGCAAGAGCCTGCTCCCCCACGAGCGCGAGATGAGGCTCCAGGCCGCCTCGATCGCCAGGGCCGTAACGAAGGCCCAGGGCGGCCGGGAGTTCTGGGACCTGATGTCCCTCACGAGCGACCCCTACGAGAAGATTGACGAGTCCCTCGAGTCCGGCTACTGCACTGTCCAGCCGGCTCACGCCGCCTTCCGGTACAACCACGTCTCCTTCCTCGAGATGCCGCTCGGTGTCTGGGCCGTGGAGAGCATGCTCAGGGACGACGGCGTCGCCGACATGCCCGACTACGACACCCCGGACCACGCATGGGACGGCTCGGACGAGGACATGGGCTCCGGAAAATGAGGGGTCTCGACGGCCGCCCCGCCTTACGGACAGGAACTCAACCTGTGCAGAATACATGTCCATCCCTCACCCCGGCCACGGCCACGGCCACGGCCATGACCGTCAACCTGAGATGCCGAATGGCCGGCCGCACACCGCAGATTTCGTGCAGTATGCCATGCTAGCGATGATGCAGTGGGATCGCTACGCACGCTAGCACTCACAGGAAAGATGGAAAGGACCGTGCTAGTGGTCGCAGTCTTGCTTCATTCCGTCAAGCGGCATGCCGTGTTCGACGGACCGGTTCCCAGCGTATCATCTCAACTGCTGTCGCGCGATATTATAGATTTACAGCCCAGCAAGTATACGAATACGCATGGCTGGCATGGCACTCCCATAGACTATACCCCTTCAGACCAGATGATTAGCGTGCACCAGCTTCGTGTAGATTTGTCATACAAATCCGCCTCTCCTATTTACCAGACAATGTTGGACAAGTCGGGTCTGCCCTCCCCAGAGCAGATCCGCGGGCCGCCTCCGGAACGGTCACTGCGTTGCTTATCCGAGGCTGATGTTGTTCGTTGGCGGATATGATGCCTGCTAATTCGACGTGGGCTCTTTGCAGCTAATGGACCGACGCTTAATATCCACAGCCCGCGTGTGTACCTGGCCCAGTGTGTCCATCTGCATTCACATCTACTGCTCGGATGCATGCTCGCAAGGGACGAGGAACGAGTGGGGTAGAGAAGTATCATAGCCACTGCCCCGGCGCAACGAGGGCTTTAAGTGCATGTATGGATATTGGCAAAGAGCGGTCTATCCATCCTGTAAGATATCGAAATACTTCGACTGGAGAGGGGGAGAGGAAACAATTGACAGTTTGATGCTGAACCAATTGTCCATTGAAGTGCATGCATCATGATGGGTGCGTTATCCGCCAGAGGAGATGATACAAATTGTCAGACGGACGCCATTGCCCGATGCCCCCCCCCCCGGCTTATCTACGACGACGCCGTTACTCGTACGAGCCCCACGTCTGCTTGTCGGCGGTTCAATGAGAGGGGGCATGATTATGACCTTGGTATCCGCCCATTCCATTGTTTGTCGAACCTCATCCTGATTCATTTTGCTGGTCTCATCTCTGCTTCTCATTTTTTTCATCTTCCTCTTCCCCGCCGGACAGGACAATCATCCAAAGCTGAGGATAAGCAGTACGAGAACAGAGAGACAGAGATACGGAGAAGGAAAGGATGTTCCAAGATATCACCGAGCCTCCGGCCCCCGCGCCAACGCCTCATCTCCAGTCCGTGCAAGACGGCATATCTCTCCTCCACCCACTCCTGCGCAGCACCAGGACCGGTCCAGGCCTCGTGATCATATCTCCCGACCTGGAGAAGGCCGAGGACCAGCTCGCCACCGTCCAGGGCGTCCCGTCCCCTATTCTCAAGTGGGCCGAGGAGGGCTACACCGTCATCGAGGTGCAGCGCAGCATCCTTGTCGGGGACGCCGCCGGCGCGATCCAGACGGCCCTCGCAGCGCTCTCAAGGTGCGATGTGTGCCAGCCCAAGGGTAAAGTAGGACTTGTGTGTGAGTATCGACCCCCTTGCGCCCTTCTTGACCACATTGAGAGGCTGAACGGCATGGGGATGGGGGGAGGGGGGGGGGAATAGGCTACACGCCCGACGCGTGGAATCAGGTGGCCTCGTGTCTATCCGATATCCCGGATATTGTCGCGGCAGTCACGTACACGACGGGCGGAGGGCAGACGGAGACGGAGACGTCCACCCCAACGCTTCGACACGTCGCCGGCGTCGCCGGTGCCAATCCGTCGAGGAAGAAGGGTGGCGGCCTGACGGAATACCACTACCCGCAGGTCGAGAGTCACCTGTTCGCCGTGCCGTTCCGGCATCAGTTCCACTACGTCACCGAGACGCTGTCGCACACGCGCAACCTTACCTTTCTCAAGCCCAGGATGGGAGGGCCATACTTTGACCTCGAGTCTATCTGGGATGAGCATACGTATTACGAGTTTGCCGATCGATCCGTCGAGCATACCATGAGCACCATGGTCGCGGAACCATATGTGAATCACGTGCCTACGGTGTGTTTTTTTTTCCCTTCTTTTTTCTTTCCCTTTCTCTTCTTTTTTCGATTTTCAATCTTGTCTTGATCTTTTTTTTCCCTTCTTTTTTTTCCCTTTTTTTTAGGTTGTTGTTGCTGATATGTGAGGTGCAAGTTGACCGGTGGTGTTGGCCGTGAGCGACTATCTAGATTCTACCGCGACAACTTCATCTTCAACAACTCGGCCGATACGTCCCTCGACCTCGTCAGTCGCACCCTGGGTATTGACAGGGTAATTGACGAGTTCATCTTTAACTTCACCCACGACAAGGAATTAGACTGGCTGTGAGTGTTTCTCTCTCTCTCTCCACCTCTCTCTTCTCGTAATACCCAACCGCTTCCTCTCCTGACAAACACAGTGTCCCCGGTCTCCCCCCCACCGGCAAAAGAGTCCAGGTCCCGTTCACGGCCGTCGTCAACATCCGCGGAGACAGACTGTACCATGAGCACATCGCCTGGGACCAGGGCACCGTGCTCCGACAGCTGGGCCTGCTGCCGGAGTACCTACCCTACACCGGCCCGCTCCCCGGAGGACGGCAGCCCGCACCGGGCAAGCGCTTCGAGTACCGTGTTCCCGTCGGGGGCGTCGAGACGGCCGATAAGATGCGGGATAGGAATTCGGTGCCGTCGAACGCCATGTTCACGTACGCACTGCGTGAGGTTTGACCTGTAAAAAAAAAAAAAGTTCACAAGATAAAATAGAAAAACAGGTGACGAAGTCTTTATATTCCGTTAATACATTATTCTCTAATTCCAAAACGTCCTGTGATGACATCCAAGGTGCAATATGGGACGCCCTCAATCTAATATCTAGTAATCATGCCTCCGGCGGCCCTACCGGAGTCCTCCTCGCTACGCTCGCACACACACACACACCCACACGCATACACACATATTTGTATATATATATACTGGTCCCGATCGATATATAACAATATAAAGACAAATTAACATTCATCAAATGAGATACGATACCGACTCTTGAAAAGTCCAAAACACCATAGCCACATCGCAAAACATACTGCCTCACAACGGTCACACTCGACATCCAAATAAGGACTAGCGTATCGGCACCGGAACTATGTACCTACCGAGACCGACCTCATCCCCCCCCCCCCCCCCCCCCCCGTATCCGAGCCGATTCTTCACCTCAATCACTGTCATTGACAATCTCATGCATCAATGGCTCCTGCCGTAAGAAGAGCCACTACGTCGTAAAACACACACAACACACACACACACAACACACAAAACACGCCTGCCATGCTGCCATGTCCGGCATCAAGACATACCAGCGCTTTCCGCGGGACCTGTTCCGCATAAACAGCGGTTGGCGCATCAACCTACGACCACTGCTGCCACCACCCGCATCGCCATCATCGCCATCATCGTCTTCGTCATACGACATCACCCCCGAGGCTGGTGGGATTGTCCTTCCCCGGGCTTTGCTACCGGGATATAAAGGTATTCGAAATGCTTCTCACATTCTCACATTCTTTCATTCTTCAATTCTTCTCCTCCTCCTCCTCCTCCTCCTCTCCATCTTTATAGTTCTTTTATATATATTCATCTTCATCTTCATTTTTATATCCCCGCCTTTCTCTGTTTTTTTCCCTTCTTCTTGCCTTCATCCCCTATCTCAATCCCAGTACATCTCCCTGACCTCTCCACCCAGGACCCAACGGCGCAACACTCCGTCCCAACACACCGTATACGCAGCACTACGTCAATAGGGGATTCCGCGGTCCCGAGCCCGTAGTCTACGCCGTGGGGGAGGGCACCGTCGTCCCGGACCATCTCATCCTCGTGCATGAGGGTGTCGATCGGGAAGAGTACTCTCTTCAACCGGCTAGAGAGATGTCCCTTCAAGGTGTGTTCTTTCCATCTCCCTCTCTCCCCTCCCCCTCCCCCTCCCCCTCCCTCTCTCACTCTCTACTCTTTCTTCTTCCCTCCTCATGATATGAGAAATCAAATCCGTTCTTTCTTATTATTTCTTGGGAGAGTGGGGGGGGGGGGGGGGGGGGAAGGAACAAGGAAAGAAAATAACCAACAGATTAGAACTCAACAATAGCATCACGGAATTCCTAATAGGCAATGCAGCCCTCATAAGCAGAGAGCAGTGGTCTCGTGCCTACCCGCGCGCCACGGAGCCCAAGGGTCCCAACTTTCCCCTTGCGAGAGGATGGCGCGTCGGAGGGTCTAGACCGTTATCAACTATGAGGTCATGAGCGTCCTGAGTGTCTCGAAGACGTGGAATGGATTCCTCCCCTTTTCTCACCATACAACACACACAGCAGCATGATTACATGAAAAGAAAAAAAAAGGGGCGGGCACGGCCCCATGTAATATCATCACTGTATCATACATCAGCATCGAACGGCGGGTGTAACTGCGCACAAACTAAGAAACATGTAACATTACAACAAACATTCATGTAAACATATACAATATATACAATAGACGTACATCATAGACTGTTCTCGGTTTTTTTTTTTTTTTTTTTTTTTTTTTTTTTTTTTTTTTTTTATCTTGTTTATCTTTCTCTTCCCTTATATAAAAAAACGTATGCTATGCTCAAACATAAATGAAAAAAACGAGATTCATGGCCTTTTTGCTCCAGGGTCCAAAAGGGGGGGTATCTCAGAGAAGAGTACAAAGTGCGGTATGGTATATAAAGAAATGAACAAAGATGGATATATTTGAAGTGAATCGAAAAAAAAGAAGAATAGGGAGAGGGGCATGTCTGCCCCCCCTTTTTTCCATCTCCCATGTCCTCTTGGCACTCCCGATATCCTTCTTCTCCTTCTTTCAGGCGCATCAAGGCAGGATGGAAAGAGAAAGAAGAAGTCGGATGGGGAAGTAAGAGAAGTCAAAGAGTCAAAGAAAAGAAAAGCAAAGGTGATATAAATAGCCGGCGCAGAATCATAATGAAAGGAGAAGGGTTTATTGTTGTTGTACAACGCAGGTTCCAAGCCAGCCCAAACACTGCGGTGCCTTCTCGGAAAGCAAAAATAGATGGGCACCAGATACCCAGGTCCATGAGAAGAGAATTGAAAAAATGTGGGGGAAAAAAGGGAGTTGAAAGATAAAACAAAAGAAAAAGACTGTTTGTCGATAAAAACGTATCCTATTCCGACATTGTCGAGACAGATGCCAGAAAAGAGCTGTTTGTTGTTTTGGTTCCTTTTTTTTTTTTCCGAAGCCGTCGGAATGTCATCGCTATCGTAATCGTCGGAGCGCAAAAAGATGCCAAGGCACCAACCAGCCAAGGGCGGGCAAGAATGAAGGGGCCAAGGAAATTTCGACAGCCGTCTTTCTCTCCATGTCATGCACCTCTTTCCCCTCCAGTGTACCGTGCGCGTGCACCGTGAATTGCACCACTTTACATCATGGCAACGACAATCATGCCGAAGGCACCAGCGGCGACGACACGGGAAGCGTCGAGGATGCCGGCAGCGCTGTCGGGAGCGCCAGTCGAGGTGGAAGCGGAAGTGGCCGCGGTGGTGGAGACGGTGGGGACAGTGGTGAAGAGAGAAGTGGTCCCGACTGGAGTGCGCGTGGCAGTTGAGTTGGAGCTAGAGCCAGAGTCAGAGCCAGAGGCAGAGCTGGACGGCGTCTCGAAGAACGAGGCGGGAGAGACGGCCGGGGTGGAAGAGGGAGTTTGGGTGGTGGACGACGAGGCAGACGGGGTCGAGGTGACGGTCTTGACGCGGGACAGGGTCATGGTCTTGGTCATGGTCGAGGTGTATGTCGTAGTGGTGAAACCGTCGGCCATGACGAGGGCCGGAAGGACGGCCATGATGAGGTTGGATAGTTGCATGCTGTCCGGATCTTCTTCGTCTTGAAGGCAAGAGAAAATAATGATGAGAAAGCCGTTTAAACGTTGAATGGAGTGGGTATATATGTGGGAGCGTCTGAAAACAAGCAGCTAGCTGCGATGTTATCGTCGTCGTTAAATGAGGGTCGAGTATCAAAAACAGAGAGAGGGTTGGGATAGTCTATATCCACAAGGCACGAGAGAATCGAGAAGTGAAGAGAGGAGGACTCTGCCAACGAAGTCCTTATACGTCTTCTGCCAAGAGCAATAGAGAAGAAGAAGAAAGGAAGAGAGAGGAGAGGAGGGGAAGAAGACGAGATGAGACGAGGCCTGGGTTAATTAATATGGAAGATGCCTGGGGGAGTGAGAGAGAGGGAGAGAGAAAGAGAGAGAGAGAAAGCGGGAAAGAGCAAAATTGGGTGACCAGACCGGGGTGTGACAAGGGCCTAGGCTGTCTAGCCTATGAGGTGACACGCCTTGGTGCGTGGGGGGGGGAGGAAGGAGCCGGCGACCGCACCTGCCCTGGTAGAAGCCATTCTTTATTTTCCTCGTGGCTCTGATGGCTCTGAATCTATCTGGTTCTGTAGCACCCCTACATCCTCTACAGCCTACGGGTGCCCCGTACTGCGGTAGTACATACACATTGCAGCATGGGAAGTCCACTGTGTTTCTTCCCCGACGCCATTCCTCTGAACAAGGTCCCTCGATGAGAGGAGAGGCATGAGTAAGGGCGATATCAGTTGCCGACTAACACTACCTGTGATACGCACACCGTCGGGCTACACTGTTACGCGGTTTCAAGTATCCCCAGCGATGCAGGTACGGAGGATTACAGTCGTGCGGGCAGGGATGTACGTGTACTTTTGTGTGTTTATGTGCTGGCCCTTGGACCTTGGCCCTGTCGGCCCTCGTCTGTGGGTAGCTGCCCTGGCCGGTAATACATAATGTATACATGTAATCTGTACATGTAATATTACCTGTTGATTCCCACATCCCGGCCGATTCCAGGCACGGGGCAAGTATTGGCTGGGCATTGACTGCTGGTGCCACTAGGTGTGCCAGCCCGCGTGCCCGCCTGGTGCTAGCGTCTGGTGCAGTCACGGACTCGCGGTGCTAGGCTGGTACCTGGTAGGGCTCATCAGATAATCCAGGGTTGGTTGACTGCCCGATGACCTGTCCTGTCACGACTCGCCCGTCCCGCCGATTGATTGATGCGCCCGTCCCCACGTCCATCTGTGGTCACCCAATCCACCCTAGCTCAGACCAGGCCAGACCAGACAGACGGCCCAGACCCCCATGACAGCCAGGCGCCTACTGCACTGGGTAATTACAAGGTGCGTGTCCGTACGTGTGCGGTCAATTATACAGCCAATCTTTGTATCGATTCATACCACCTGGACTACGGATTAGTCCGTACACGGTAAATGCAATTACACTCGACTCGATAGTAGCCCCCCCCAGGTGGTGGCCAGAGTGGTACTGTCAATCACGCCGCGTAGCATCGGAAGTGGCACAATTGCGCCCAGAATTGGGCCATTTACGCTCTAAATGCGCGCTTTTGCCGAATAGTTTACTCGGTGGAGTAGTACGTGCTGACCTCACGTATTTTTTTAGTACTTCATCACTAGTGGCAATACTTGTGCTGTAGTCTAGTAAGATAAATGTAACAGTGACACGGAGTAATGATACTAGACGACACGGTTATTATATGACTCTTCTATCCCGTACACTCTCGTAGGGCCAGGAGTACGAACGAGTACGAGCATGGCTACTAGGCCTTCCCTCCTACCACTACAACGACTACTATTCACTACAATAACTACTACTTACTGCTATTCACTACTATTCACTACCATTACTACCATTACTACCATTACTACCATTACTACCATTACTACCATTACTACCATTACTACCATTACTACCATTACTACCATTACTACCTACCTACTGCTACTACCTAGTGCTGCTACCTACTGCTACATTTAATATCACTACATACTGCTCCATACTACTGTACTACTACTACCTGCTACTACTACTACCTATTATCACTACTACCTACTAACATGTTCTACAGAGATTAGGTAATACTGCCTCCGTACCCATCCCCTCGACCCCCGTCTTCACTAACCCAACTCACCAACTCACCCAGGACCACCAAGCCACTGCGGTAACGACGCATACGAGCCCCTCATGCTGCGCATCTTCCAGTACGGCCTGCCGTACAACTCATATCCGAGCCCAAGTCAGCGAGTGGTGATAATCGACATTGACGGCCTCAACACGTATACATGTACGCGTGCAACCCGGACACGCTCGAACCGGTGCTGGCAGCAGCAGCAGCAATATTATCAACACGTTATAACTCATAGCAAAGACGAAGAGAGGGGGGTGGGGGGGGTTTAGAAACAATTGTAATTTCCGCCTCGCTTCAATCGTTTGCCGTCGCGACATCAGGTAGACCTATACAACCCCTGCCACTATTTCTTGCTTCCTCATTCTCTCTTCTTCATCTCCCCTCTCCCTCTTCTCTAACTCGAGGCTTGGCGTCACCTCTTCTCTTCTTTCGCATTGACTAGTCGTTCCGGGGTCGAATCCCCACAATATTAATTACTCGTACATGGTCGTGACTACGAGTAGCCGAATTGTCCATGATGGCTCCATGATCCCCCCCTATGGTCCCCCCCTATGGTCCATCATGCCTCGTTGGGGGGGGGAAAGCACTCGTGGGCCCGTGGCGGCATTGGGGTCATGCTCGCTTCGCTTGATGGCCAAGACTCGGCATATCACAGTAATGCTTTCAATCGAGGTCAGTCAATCAATGAATGCTGTCTTGGCCTGGCTAGTACTACGATGAATTGGTCAATGATCGGTAAATCGCATCTTCTTGTCCTACATGCACGTACACGTCCCCTCGTGAATCGCAATGCACGACAGCTTCGATACACGTAGCTTGTATATTATTACTCCGTTTTATGTAGCGTCCCTGCCAAGCACATGCTTCCCCCCCCCGCCCCCGCCTCGTCCCTCAGCTGAGCCGCACGGCAGCATACTACACGATCTGATGTGGCGTATTGACTATGCAAACAGCCACAACTCAGCCTCTGACTAGGTGAGAGAGATGACGAGCGAGAGAAGAACAAAACAAGAGTTGAAGGAGAAGAAGGAGGAGGAGGAGGAGAAGAAGCACGAGCATAACTAGGGTTTGGAGAGCCGAGTGTACCGTTTACTGTCTGGCACGAAACACGATGCGTCTGAGCAGTCGATTTGTGTCGCAAATCGGGCAGAACGTGCCGAATCTCATGCAGAACACCTTTTACGGAGCGATATGTGAAACGCATACAGAATGACGCAAGGGGTCCTGTTCAAAGAACAGGAAGAAGATGGATTGATGAGTGGGTTCTTGAATTGATGAATCAGAAAGGAAACTTTTATTCATCAAAAAGATTTCCCACGCATGATACCTGTATATATCCACGCCCACACGCACTCTCTCTCTCTCACCCACCCACTCACTCACAGAAAGAAGAATAAAAGAAGAGGAAGAAGAGGAGAAGAAAGGAAAAGAAGGAAAGAACGAAGGAGAGAAAAGGAAGAGAGAAGAGAGAAAAGAAAGAAGAGGGAGAAGAAGAAGAAGAAAAACGACAGGCTGTTGCTATCAAAAGACATCAGATACTCATAGTACCGACCAAGGCCTCAAGTAAGCCAGAGCCACACCTTCTCGACCCAGTTGCGAGCGATCGGGGGCTCATCCAGGGCAGCCAGGTCGTCCATCTCCTTCTTCCCTGTGATGACGTCGACCTGCTCGATGGGGATGCGCAGCGGGGTGCGGAACCAGATCTTGTGGCCGGCATAGAGGACGAGGAAAATGGGGATGGTGACGTAGGCGGCGAAGAAGTCGCTGACGTTCCAGTTCCTGGGGATGAAGATCTGGAAGCCGTTGGTGATGGTGATGAGGCTGACGAGGAAGAGGACGACGTAGGACATGTAGGGCTGGAGCGGGGTGCGCAGGGGCATCTGTCCGAGCAGGTTCTGGATGGCCATGGCCTTGCGGAAGCGGATGTAGGTGATGAGGACGACGATCCAGGCGATGTAGCCGGAGATGGTGGAGATGTTCATGAACCAGGTGAAGACCTTGGCGCCCGAGTTGGAGACGTTGAGGAAGGCGAGGAAGCCGATGGACCAGGTGGCCAGGACGGCCAGCCAGGGCACGCCCTTGCGGTTGACGCGGCGGAAGACGGCCGGGGCCTGGCCCTTGAGGGCGAGCGAGTACAGGATGCGGCTGCCGGAGTAGAGGAACGAGTTCCCGGCGGACCAGGCCGAGGTCAGGATGGCGCCGTTGATGACGTGGTTCAGCACCGGGATGCCGGCCTCGCGGATGCCGATGACGAAGGGCGAGGCGGCCGCGTTGGCGGACGAGCCCACCAGGTCGGGGTGGTCGTAGGGGACGAGGATGCCGACCAGCAGCGACGAGAAGCCGTAGAAGATGGCCAGCCGGAGGGTGAAGCGCCTGGCCGCCTTGGGGATGTTGCGCCGCGGCGCCACCGTCTCGCCGGCCGCCGTGGCGATGAGCTCGGGCGAGGTGACGAAGGCGAAGCCGGCCGCGGCGAGGGCGTGCCAGTACGCCAGGAATCTGCCGGCCCCGCCCGACGTCTGGTACGGGTTGAAGGCCCCGGGGTCGTTGTAGTAGCTGAAGCCGCGGACCTTGCTCTGGTTGGGCGCGCCGCCGAAGAAGATGACCCAGCCCAGGATGATGAGGCCGATGATGGTGATGAACTTGATGCTGGCGAACCAGAACTCGGCCTCGCCGAAGACGCTGACGGCCAGGATGTTGAGCAGCAGCATCACCACCAGCACGATGGCGATCCACACCGCAATGTCCACCGGCGGCTCCCAGTAGTCGATGATGATGCTGGCCGCCACCGCCTCCGACGCCATCAGCATCGCGTAAGCGTACCAGTAGTTCCACCCGGCCGCGAAGCCCAGGCTCGGGTCGACGAATCGGTCGACGAAGTAGGGTACCGTGATGCCGCGCATCGGGAGGTAAGTCACAATCTCCGACAGGGCGTTCATGATGCACCACACCACAATCATCATCGATATGTATCCCATGAACAGGGCTGCCGGACCGGAGGCTGCCAGGATCGTTCCCGACCCGATGAAGAGTCCGGTACCGATTGCGCCGCCTGTGTATGTAGGGGGGAAGGAGAGACGTCAGTCTTGCAGATTCAGACGGTCCGTTATTCTATTGGTATATATTGACATGTATAAATGTATATATATATATATATATATATGCGTGTGGGTGTGGGTGTGGGTGTGTATATGAATATAGTATGCACAAGAGTCGAGACCAAGGTCCGAGTATACACATTCATCGTCGATCGTGGGCAACAATGTACGAGGTATCATGGGATGGGGCTTGACTCACCCAACGCGAGAAACTGAATATGACGACTCTTGAGACCACGCTCGAGCTGCTCACTCTGCGTGGCAAGGTTGAACTCGACATTGCTGTTGGCCCGGGCCAGTTCGACATCGAGCTTACCATCCTCACCCTTTTGGAGGCCGGTAGAGCTGGCGTCGAAATCCTTTTCGGCGGTCATTGTCGTCGTCGTCACCAGCTGTGTGTGTGCGCGCGCGCGCGCGTGTGTGTGTGTGTGTGGTGATGAAGGCGGCGATGAAGGACAGGATGGGGAAGGGAGGGGACAAGAAGGATATATCGATTAATCCACAGAATGAAACATGAATAAAGGAAGACGATAAGAGAAAGAAGAAGAAAAACTATTAGATAAAAGACCAGAGGAATAAAAATAAAGATGAAAAAATATTAGTAAAAAGGCCTTCTTGAACCGAAAGGAGGGGCAGGTACGTCGTGCGGAGTATGTCAAGGAAGGAAAGAACCTTGATATACACCAGACTCTCTTCTCATATCACTATTCTATTATCCTATTCTATAATATCCCAGCCACTCACTCGTAGGGCGCAGGGAACATGTACTCATACATATGCGTGCCGTCTGTGTCGAGGGTAGTAGTACACACGGCTTCTTCCTCACTAGAAAAAGTTAAGACATGAGTCTAACCCGCAAAGGACTTCCGGCAAGGCAAAGTGGAGATTTCCTATTCCTCTTCCTCTTCTTTTTATTTTTATTTCTGCGGTGTCTACTGCGAGTAAATAATATTAGCTGCCGTACTTGCTCCCAATTGTTAGACCCAAGAGGTTGATCACGACTGGCGACCCCCACCCCGGCCCCGGCCCCGGCACATGCGTATAGTAGACTAGGGACAAGCTTCTACAGCAGCTGACTGCCGGACATATCCTTTACTCGTGTCAACGCATGTTTCCGTGCTAGCGCAGTACTACTTCTGTACTGACAGCATGTCGCATGTCCGGACCTTTACAGCATTGTCCTACCACAGCTGCCTCTGTGTACGTGTGTACTCGTATGTGTGCGTGCGTGTCCGTGATACGGTTTACAAACTTCATCATGTGATACATTATACAATCATGGCATCCTCTTCCCCTCCCTCCCCCCCGTGATAGCACAGACCTCGACAGAGTCTCGTACCCACCAGCTAACGTGGATCATGTACGAGTACGTAATGGTCACCATTCTTTGTGGAAACTCTTCCAGAAGCTCGGACTAATATCCAGACCGTGCGCCAATGAAATTCTTATCTCAGGCTTCATCTTGGTTGTTCTTATGGATATCCGTTATTCACACAATAAGGCATCAGATCACAACGTAGCATCAGCTCCTCACATGTTCGTGATTGTTGTCTTGCTTCCCATCTACAGGTAATATCTGTACCTTGCCATCCGACGTGGAAAGGTGAGGCTGGGGGTTATCCAATTGTCTGCCAGATGTGTGTGTACCTGAGGCCACACACATCACATCCGATGACGGAATAACCTTTCCCCTTTGTGGCATTTTGCCTGACCAGCGGCCACCAAGACAAACCACCTTTTTTTTTCTTCCCCTCCCAAGAGTTTTCCTACTACGGCAAGTCGACGAACGGATTTATTCATGCATGTACCTTTTCTGCTACTTCGCGAAGTGGTACTCGTAGAGTGTGGTATCTGTCTTGATGCGAACATCACTCCGTCCCACCCCGATGACCTTGGCTCATTTGGCCCCCGAATACGCCTATCTATCTCCATCTATCATTCTCCACAGATCAGCATCTGGGGGGAAATGCCGACAGAAACCGCTCTCTCTCTCTCTCTCTCTTACTGTCTCTCCTCAGGATTGGGTACCCTGCAGCATATGCACGCCCCGTGCGCACACGCCAAACTCCCTTTCGGCAACAGTCCGACCAGCCCCAGCATTCGTCATGCGTGGAATCTACAAGGAACAGCTTGAACTTTTTTTCACCATTCATCATCAATGACCCATGTACGAGTACATGATTTGCCCGTCATGTTCTGGAAGTTCCACAAGGTTCCAATGCCCGTATGCAGTCCGATAAGGACCTCGTCCGCCATGATACTGCTGCATAGTATGGGTAATACATGTAGGACGGACAATCTCCCTATCGAGTAATATCGGACGCCCATCACAGGCCGCTTGGCTTCGGCTGAACAGATTTGTGATAATAGGGAACCCCGTCCCCATGTTTTGTACAGATCCGCTTTCCTCACGATCGCCATTTCTCATTTCTCGCACGACGACCGACGACCGACTACATCATCACAGCCAACCGACCGAATGTCCGTGTGATATCTCCATGTTCGATCTTTGCCTCCTTTTTTTTTGGTGTGTGTGTGTGTGCGTGTTTTCTTCTTTCAAGGAGGGAACCTTGCATCTCATCGCTCCCCTGATCTGATTCTACTCGGACTTTCCGGGTGCTCTTCGCCCCAAGTCGGGCCATCCCATCCCATCGGCGAGGGCAGTCAACCAACATGCCAGAATATCGCGCACGTCTTCTTCTTCTTCTCCCTTTTTCCTATTGACATCTATCGCCGCGGGGAAAGAGACGAGACCGGTCAACTCTGATATGCAGTGAGAGATGGCGCCGAACGCGACTCAACACGGGAATCGTTCAGGATCCTCCATCACGCCAATCCCTTCCCAGGACACGAGCCCTGCGGGTTTCTGCTCCACCGAACCCCCGCAACCTCTTTTGGCGTCTCGGGAAGTTTTCATTACGTTTTTTTCCTCTTCAAAGGGAGGAGAGTGGTGCGATACGATCTGACAGCATCTCGGTCATTGGAGTTTCCCCAGTCATCGGAGTAGAGAGGGATTCTCTGTCCAACGGCTTATCCTGGACGAGACCTTCCCCAGCACGACCGATCTGTGGGGATATACACATGACCAGCCCAAAACAGCGTAGACCGCCGTGGGAATCATGGCACAGTGGTAATCCTCAGCCCAGCGACACCCACGGTCGTTATTTCAAATCGCGTAGGCATACGAGCCCATGGGGAAATGCCAGGTAGGAAAGGGAGCCCATCCCTCCGGAACCACAATTCTCGGCGTGTGGTGAGAGGAGGGGGGGCATTTCACTCGTAGAGAGCTGAGTGTACCCGTCAGGCTGTTTTGGTAGAGACTTGTCCATCATTCTTCCAGAGATGATCATGTCGAATCGAGAGAGGTAGATGCCTTCCTCTCATGGCCAAGTCCGCAATGCTCCAACGTAGAACCTATACCAGTCATTAGATTTCGTCGGCCGGATCGGGGACACCACGGCAGCAGTGTATGGAAAATCAGGTATATCTGTTGTCAGAGGGGAAGAGGAGGAGAAGACAATGCGAGGCCATACTTTTGCGTCATTTGTGTACCGTATGGCCCTCTACGACGCCCGTTCTCATGCCTGTCCTCTTTGCGTGAGCACATGTATGCATGAATGGCATACATCTCTCTCTCTCTCTCTCTCTCTCTCTCTCTTCTTTCCTGTGAGATGCTCCAAGTCAAATTTGGTATGTAAAAGATCCCTGTTCCATTCGTCATATCACTCGTGTAGTCATCTGCGGCTACCGACACTGCGGGTACAGCCGTTGCATTTTCCTCACATCCCTCTTCCTCTGTCTTTCTCTCTCTCTCTCCAAATCTAACATCGTCACAGGTATACAAGTGCTTTATGCAGTGAGATGCCTCGCCCGTCGCCGTGGCCTAGGAGGTAAGAATGCGCTGTCTGAAGACGGTGGGAAGCGGCAAGCCTACTCGCTGCGAAGCACGCATAGACAGACATTGGCAGATGTACCGCCGATTCATCTCTGGTGCTATCGCGGAAGACCAAATGTGAAAAAAAAAATTGAAAAAGAAGAAGAAGAAAGCAGCTCCGCTTACACAGGATGCAAGATGCATGCACCTTGACCTGGGAAAGTGAATCTCGATGTATGGGCCTCTCAACGTCCCTTTGTCCCGGTATCGCATCTATGTAAGAGAATAGACGAGTTTTCTTGACGATGCTATCTAAATGTCCACTGATCCTCTCCTCTCATGGGAAGAAGACGAAGAAGAAGGCTAGAGAGAGAGCAGTCTCGCGGTCTCACAGCACATCGATTAGACATGGACAGTCCTGAGCGCACAGCCGTCATGATGGGCGGCAGCATCGCCGGCCTCACCCCTGGCCAAAGCATGCTGGAGAGGTTCGGCATCCGGTGCAGGCTCGTCGGGGCCTACGACGGCATCGCCCCGCAGGTTCAGAGCGCTAGCATGGTCATGGGTGTCGACGGGCCGAGGGATGCTCGGCCGGATAGGCTGCGCGCGGCGGGGTGAACTCCTGCATCGACTCGGCCGACAGACGACGGCTACCTCCCGGCACCGGATGGCTCACTCCTCCCTCGCAACGCGGATGCGCCGTCGAGAAAAGTCCGGGATAGCGATCGCTGTGGGGCAATCCGTTCTGCTCATCGATCTCCGCTCTTCTGGTCGGAGACGGATCATGTGAGAGGATGGCAGATCCCGAGGCAGGTACAGCGGGGAGAGGGGACCGGGACAGAGGCGCGCGCAGGACCAGGTCAACCCCCGGAGGTCGAGTTCGGCCTTGCATCTACGCGGGGAGTTCCACGGGCTCCCGGCAGGCGCACGCCCACGGCCGAGCGCCGTTCCCGTCATGAGCGGCCCGGACAGCCCGCCCCGGAGCCATCGGGGAGAAGTGCGGCGGCGCCTTCGAGGGTAGATGGCCGAGGGTAGATGGCCTGCCCGTCGTCGGCGCCTCCATCACGACGGCGGCGTTGGACGAGAAGGCCTCCAAACCCAGGAGGAGGCAGTACGCCGGTCTCGGGGCCGCCGGGCTGGTCCTCGTCGTAGCTGGCGCGCCGTGCCTTGGCGTGCCCGTCACGGATGAGGGATCCGGCGTACAGCTGCGAGTCCTTCGATGCCGCTGATCGTCACCATGCCGACCGGTTGAGCTGTTGAGCCGTACCGGACCGGTATGCGCTGAGGTTGCCGGACCTCCCTGTAGATTTCACTTCTTCAGATTTCTTTTCACTTTCTTTTCCTTTCTCCTTCCCCTCTCGGCCTCTTTCTCTCTTTCAGATCCGCCTCGCGTGGAGCATGTGCGGTGAGACTCCAGCACATGAAGATTCCAGACCGAACCCTCTTCGGCGCCGCATGGCGGGTATCGGGTGTATTGGCCGCGGTCTAGAACACGTCAAGAGCACCACAAGACCTGCTACCTGTCATTGCCTCAAGCTTCCATCGGCTTGAGCCGATGATGACTCTAAGATGACGGCCCAGCTCGCCACCCTCCCCCCGAACCACCTCGTGAGCGGGGGCGGCAGGACGTTACCTCTACCGTGGCTCGCGAGGGGGTGGCAAGGGCCGTCTCCCAAGGCCGTCGTCGCCATGTTGCCATCTGGTCCCGCCAACGAGGGGGGGGGGGGGGGGGGGGGGGGGAGTCTGGGCTTCATCGCCCAGGGGCAGGCATCTCCTCCCCTGTCTAGATCGGGGCTTAGGACTTACGGCATCCAGAAAAGAAGGAGAAGAAGAAAGAGTTTCTCGTCTCTGGAAGGAACCGCGGCTGCCGCTGCATCCGACGACCGAGGACAGGTCGCTGAAGTCGGAGAGGGCCGCCCACTCGGCCACGAGGGAGGTGTTTTGCCGCCGGGGCGGCCATGGTGGCCATGGCGGTCATCTCCCAGCTCCTAGGTGACTCATCGCATCTGGTCGAGGCATGACTTTGCATTCTCATTCTCGGGGGCGTAATATATGGGAACTTGCGGGGATGTAGCTTTCTGCCTGCGCATCATCCATGGTAGCCTGTAAAGAGACGTCGAGGTTGATGTATGCGTAATTCCCGCGCTGTGCAACACGCGAATGGAATCAATCGGATCGATCTCCAAGCATCGAAATGAATTAGCAGTGACATGCACTGCATGTGGCTCAATTTGGCAAGCACCGCCACAGAGATCAATCGCATGATGCTATCCTCTGCGAATTCCCACTGTATTTACCGGGTAGTAGCATCACGATATGATGGCCGTATAATCGATGTAGATGAACACACACACACACACACACACATAGGGTGAATATCAGTGGCAACGGTGTCGCCTCTTTGTCTCACGTCTCTGCAATATCAGGAAACAAGAAAAAAACAAAAAAAAAAAAGTATGCAGGTGTTCTGATCTAGTTATCCGGCATATGCAACAGCACTCGTATTGCGGATGGATTCTCGTAAAGTTACCACGTCCTGTTCATGTTGCGCCTCGTAAAGAGTTGAAGATCAGTACGGAATATGCTCCAGGTGCATGCAATCAATCATACTGCTGTCGCTACCAACCAAAGAATGATGCGCCTTGCTGGTGATGATATCGGTGATTTTGTACGCCACAGCAAGCTGTAGAGCTACACTGCCACACTGCCACACGGCCACACGGCCACACGGCCACACTGCCACACATCTCATCTCACATCGATAAAGGTTGAAAAAATGTCGAAAGCGGGGTCGAGGGGGGGAGTCTCGAATCGTCATCGGCTCTGAAAAAAAAAATGGAAAAAAAGGGGGGGGGGGAAAGTTGGAAGTCATGAGCTTTCTCTTGCGCTCTTACATGTAATACATGTAAAGACTCGTAGTAGTATGGTTTCACGCACGAGATCGAGATAGCATTGCATGTATGTACAGGCAGTGGCGGCTCGTAAAAGGGGGTAAAGGTCAAGTAGAGACCTCTCTTTTTTTTTTCTAACATAGATATATATATATATAGGAAGAAGAAGAATGGGGGGAAAAGAGGAAAAGAAAAAAAAAGAAGAAGAAGAAGAAGAAAAGACAAGCATCAGGCATGTAGGTACGGATATTGACGTGAACGTGTACAGGAATCTGTCAGGTAATAATAGCCAACCTCTGTAATCTGTAATCTGTACTCCGTATTACCTGTACATGATAATACGATTATATAATACGACGACGGTACCTGGACCTACAGGATGAGCTCCACTCTACGCAGAGCGAAGGGGAAGAAGACGAGATCGCAAAGCGAGTCAGAGCCCGTAGGAGCAGAGTGGGAGCAGTATCATGTGATCCCGAGAGGTTGGGACTATTGTATTGTCATCATTATTTTCTAATTTTTTTGTTTTTTTTGTTTTTGCCTTTTCTTTCTCGTCTTCTCTTTTCTTCTCTCCCCCATGTCCCCCATGTCCAGCTTTGCGAACAGCCGGCCCCCCTCCCCCCAAGTCCAACATGATGTTTATTTTCTCTCTCCCTCTCTCCCTCCCTCCCTCTCCCTCTCTCTCCCGCCCTCATGGGACGGCCCTTTATTGCCTTGGCAAGGTGTATATGTGACCCACACCTCACGCATTCTTACAGCGTATTATATCATATCATATCATATATATATATGTGCGTGTGTGTGTGCCGTTTCACATACGTTATACATATATAGTGTGTGTGTGTGTGTGTGTGTGTGTGTGTGTGTGTGTGTGTGTGTGTGTGTGTGTGTGCATGCGAGCATAGTATAATGGAATTATTGCAGCGACACGTCTTTAAAGAGTATTTTCTTCTCTCCCCCCTTCTCCTTTCTCAGCACGTCAGATGTATTCCCTGGTGATATTGCCGGCTCACCTGTATTTCCGGGATCCCATCGCCCAGGGACCGGGGTTGCCTTGAGCGCCGGTTGAGGAGCGCGAGGTGTGTTATTGGTAACGATTGTTCCTTTTTTGACCCTTTGATACTCCCATACGTACGTGTCTGTGCATATAATGAATATCCATCTCACCGGGAGCCGGACCATGCTCTAGACTGTGACGTAGTTTCGTAGTCTCTCGTCTACTTTACTTTCTTCTCCTTCTTCTTCTCCTTCTGCCTCTTCTGCCTCTTCTGCCTCTGCTTCTCTTGCTTCTTCTACCTCTTCGTCTTCTTCTCCTTCTTCTTCTTCTTCTTCTTCTTCTTCTTCTTCTCCTTCTTCTGTTTCAGTTTCTGCTTCAACTTCTGCTTCTGCTACCTCTGCCTCTCCTCCTCCTCCCCCCTCTCTCCCTCGTCGACTTTTGGCTGCCTACCTACACGTAAAATCCGACATAGCCATGTCTCGGTCTCGACAACGGTCGACGGCAGTCAACGACGCTGAGATGGAGAGAGAAGCGGGTCATCCAGCCGTGTCCGAACCGGTATTCACTCGGAGCCAGTTCAATCGACCCAATCAATCTCGATCCGGAGCATGTGCTCCGTAGCGTTATGCGCCCCGTACCAGCCATCATCAAACGGCACCACACCCTTACTCTCCTCTCTCTACTCCGCAACGCATACGAATGACGGACTGACAGCGGGAAAGCACATATACCCGAGGAAGACGGAGGGAGCGGAGAGGACGTAAGAAAATATAGGAATGGGAGGAATAGAAGAATAGAGAGGGGGGAAGAAGAAGAAGAAGAAGAAGAAGAGAAAACGGCGAGTGGTGGTAATAGTAGTATTAGTACACCCCCTTCTGCTGGGACCCTTGCCAGGTATGACAGCGCGGGCCATAAATGGGATAAATACATCACACGTATTACATGGTAAAACTCGATAGAAGAGCGTGCCTGATGTTTGGACGGGTCCCAACTTTTTCCTTCTTTTTATTTTTATTTTTCTTCTCGTGTGTTGACCATGGGAACACCTTGCATGCCATCACAGCCCTCTTCCTGGTGAGGCGAATACATCAAACGGGTACACAGCTGCCCACCCCCCCCCATCTTTGTCGTTACTCATAACGGAACTTGTCTGGTTGCTCTAGTTTGAAAAAGAAAAAAAAAAGAGGAAAAAAAAAAGGGGGGAAAGAGATTTTTTTTTAAAAAAAGGGAAGAAAAAGAGAGGGGAAAAAAAAGAAGGAAAGAAGAAGAAGAGAGAAGAGAGAGAGAGAGAGAGAGATAGAGGAGAGAGAGAAACGTGGCGGTGCTGATACTCTCTTGCCTCTCAGAGGAGGAAACGACGGGTTGAGAGTCTCTAACAAACCTCCGTTCCTAGTTCTCGGACCAACCACCTTGTCCGGCTCTACCTCTTTTGTCCCTGATCATTCCCACCCCCCTCTCCTCGTTTCTTTTCTTTGTGGCGGATTGTGTAGAAGAAACAGAAACAAGTCCATACTTTCCAATCTCAGGTGGCGATCTTGGGGGGGGGGAAAAGAGAGAGAAAAAGGGAAGAAGAAAAAGAAGAAGAGGTCATTCCCGACAGCGACGACGACATTCTTCGCCTCATACACTCCTACTCTCCCTCTCTCTCTCTCTCTCTCTCTCTCTCTCTCTCTCTCTCTAATCCTTTTTCGCCTCTTGTCTCTGTCCCTCCCGGAGATTTCTCCACCAACCCCCCCCGTCCACCTTGGGCTTGATATTTCGGAGGGAGAGGCCATCCATTGTTACATATTACATACAAACTGGGAGACCCCGCCCTCCCGAACCCGAGGTCCTTTCAGCGTCTTGGCATCCTACAAATGCTCCCAGGGCTGTGGAAGATTTTCGATCTGGGGAGGCTCCGTTCTGAAAAGCTCTTCTCTATTCCCATCATATATGCCCTCCTTACCAGCCGTCGGCGCCCCTTTATAAATCGTCTTACCTTTTCCCACCCTCGGGTCTTCCACTCTCCTAGTTTACCTCTTCGGTCTTCGTCCATCATCCATCTTCACTCCTTGAACTTTTTCCCCCTTGCTTTCCCTATATCTCCTCCATACCTCTCCTCTCCTCTCCTCTCCTCTCTCTCTCTCTCTCTCTCTCTCTCTTTTAAAAGACGACAGCACCAGCAGTGCCCAGCCGGTACCAGCATCGAGCACAGAGCCTCTCACCGTGCCCTGCTGTCCTCAGCCCAACCACTGATGAGACCGACGGATTCGATCACGAGGTAAATGTGCACGCAGTATACGGCTCAATGCGCGGTATGCGGAAAGGAACACCTCCTCTTTGTTGCCTTCTGTCATCTCCTGAATCCGATTTCGCGAATCTGCCCCGATGGACTCGTCCTTGTCCGCAATGACATGCGCGAGTCGCAGTGTCCCAGTCCCGTCTGCCCCAACAGCCTCAGAGGGGGCTGCCACGTCATGTGAAGGTCCCACGCCCGCCCAGTAGCCGACAAGCCACCGGAGGGGGGGGTGGGGGACGCGAGGAGGGGGGGGAGCAGAAGCAGAGGCCCTGCACCAGCCCAGCCCAGCCCAGCCCAGCCCAGCCCAGCATCCCTTCGCATTCTCTCCTCGACATCGGAGATGCAGACTTCCGTTCGCGAGACCCTCAGAGCTTCCGGCCCTCCGGCGACACCTCGACAACCTGATCGACACCTTCGTACTCCGGAATTTCAAGGCCATACTTTCTTGCGATGGAGGGGGCCACGAATCTGCACACCCAAAACACCACGCCGGGAAGTCAGCTCGGTAAGCTTGTATTATGTGAAGAGGGAGGAAGAGAGAGGAGGAAGCACGAGTGCGTACCGTCCGCCCACAAAATGGCGCCCCTTGAAGTGCTTGACCAACGGCTTCGGAGCCGTCAGGCTGACCAGAGTTGCAGGCATGAAGCCGCTACCGAGTCCCGATTTCGGAGGACCGGTCTCGATATTCCACGATGACGGGGCATCGACGGATGTCACGGGCACACCCGTCGTCTCCAGGGCCTCGATGACGGCTGGGAACGGTTCTCGCACTTCTCCGGAGAAGCTGAAGCCTTTTGTTTGTTTTGTTTTTTTGCATCAGCTCAGCTCTCCATACCATCAAACATGACAGCTCAATTTGTACGATTAGAGGAGCGGAGGAGGGGGGGGAGGCAAATAAGGAATATCACAAACCGAAAATGGCGTCCACTACATGGTCTGTCGCGGCCAAGGCAGAGGCGAAATCATCGATAAACGGAACTTCGAGGTCTTCGAGCTGCTTGGAGAGCCTCTGCAATCAACGGTTAACGTATCGGCCTAGTCACAGACGCCTTTGGGGGTTTCTCGGCTGCAATTTTTCTTTTTTGGACTACTCTTTTCATCACAGGAGCATCGACAGGAACATATACACGAGGTCGGAACGGGACATTAGAAACAGGCGAAAAGGAAATCATGACGAAGAATGCGAGAAAAGAAGAAGATAGAATCACGATTTCAACTCTCAGAGGAGCTTTGGTGAAGCTCACCTTGTACAATTCGTTGCTGCTCCTCTTCGGGTAGAAGATGCTGGGCTTATAGCCGTAGAAGAAGAGATGGCGAGCAGCCACGAGACCGTCGCCGCCTAGGATCGAGTCCGGATCGAGTCAGAAACCACATGTGCCAGTAGTAGACTAGCGCATGTGCAGGCTGTACATGTGCACATCGGAATATGGGTGCATATATATTACCGTTATTTCCAGGACCACAGGCCACGAGGACCCGGCGTCCCTTTTGAGGTGGCTGCACGCGATAGACTAGAGCGGAAGCATATGAGCCTCACCCTTCTCTTTTTCTTTCCTTTTTCGGTCTTCCTTTTATATGATTTTTTTTTTCCTCCAAAAAAGAAAAAAAAATAGGGTGCACCCTTCTTCCGATGCGGGGTTTTTCTCTCTCGACATACCTGCCTGGGAGACTGAGAGCCCTGCTAGCTCCATCAGTTGATCGATGGAGAATGCACCGGTGCTCATGAGCTCTTGGTCCAGAGCTGCGGCGGCTTTGGCACCCAGAGTCTGGAGATACCGATATCAGCCATATTGCATTCTCATATTTGATGAGGGAGGGTTATTCTTAGGGGAGTTGCAGGTCAGGGCATATCGGGGGGGGAGGGGGTGGGGAGGATAGCTTACCTTGAGAGCCATGACGACGAAAACGTGTATGGTTCTACTTCCCAGTCACAACCTCTGAGCTATCTAAAGTGTATAAAAGTTCAGAGCGAGGGAAGAAGACAGGGTGAGAGAGGTCAAGAGCTGAGAGAAAGAAGATAGATGGAGAGAATAAGAAAACTTCCTGACAACAGAAGAATGACCCCAGCAGGTCTCGCAAAATCCGATGGAATATCGATGTAATCGTCTGTAGATCAGTAGCCGAAGGCTTCGACGGTTACAGGTTATTCCGATGCCGAGTGTGTAGCCTCAGGCACAAATCTAGCAAACATCGGATGACCTCACCTTCACGCGTCAGATCACAGCGATAGTCTATAGATGGACTACAACAACGACGACAATAATGTTAATAAAATCATCAATACTAATCGAGACAGAAAAAGGCTCTTCATAGAAAGAAGTCAATGCCACGTTAGTTATGACCACGTCATGATCCAACACTCTCGTGCTGAATAACGGATATCCACGAGTGCAACCAACAGTAATGCACATGTACTCGTCATATCATCTATTACCACTAGCCCGTTGAAAATGCCTGGCATCGCCCTGATCTATGTATGCCGCTAGTCCCCACAATTCGCCATATAGATATAGTCTCGGCAAAACTCCGGATAATGATTGGGAGATCAACCCTCCCATCCAACTCCCAGGGCCAGATTCGAACGATAGGTCGCCAAAGCAGAACAGAAAAAAAAGAAGCTTAGAACCACCACGCGCACGCATCATCAAAGACCCGTTCAAATTTCCAGCCTCTCCTCTCTCCAGCTCATCACGCACACAGGCCCCAAGAGAAGATGGTGGTCAAGATCCGTCTCGCCCGTTTCGGGCGTCGCAACCTCCCATTCTACAACATTGTCGTCTCTCACGCACGGTACGAATGCACTCACACGACCACGCATCCCCCTTACGACAAGGGAGGCTGTTTTGCTGTTTCTTCTTCTCCTCTCCTTCTCTCCAACAACCGTACCGTAGCCATGAAAATACATTTGCTGACGAGAGTACGACCTTCCCCCCTCCCCGCTGATGCAGAACCGCCCGCAACTCCAAACCCCTCGAGGTGCTGGGAACGTACGACCCCATACCCAAAGCCGACCCGTACGGCAACCCCAAGGAGCTCCACAAGGACATCAACCTCGACATCTCGCGCGCCAAGTACTGGATCGGCGTGGGCGCCCAGCCGACGGATCGCATGTGGCGCATCCTCAGCATGGCCGGCGTCCTCCCCGAGAAGAAGTTCGAACCCGCCAAGAAGGTGGCCATGCCGCCTGTCGAGGCCGACAGCGTGCGTATTCGCTAAAGGAGGGGGCGGGTCTTGGAGGGAGAAGAAGAAGAGAGGAAGAAGAAAGAAGCCCTTCTGCTTTTGGCCTGGCGAATCGAAGACGATACATATATATATAAAAAACACGAAACAGAAAGAGCGGGAAACAACAGCGGATGGCGACGTGATGGGTTAGACATCGGATCGCGACGTGTACGATACACCTGTGAGCATTGTACGGCGTTTTGTATTATTATTTTCTTCTTCTTTTGTTTTCATCTTCACCTATTGTATCTCTACCATTCTCCTCCGATCATGTATCAAGGTGCGGCAAGTCCCATCCCGACGAGAAGGGCTGTATTGCCTTGTTGGCAGCTCAACTCTTCACGAGCCAGACCATGGAATGGGCCCAATGTACATTCGGTCTCGTACCATCCAGTGCCTGGTCTCTTGCCTTTACCATGGAATATGTAGTCTTGCAGCATACCTGATCTCTTGCCCTTCTCATAGAATATGCCATTTAGCCATTCCATTCCACCAATATCACGCTTGGCAGAATAATAGACATGCTGAATGGCAATATATAGTCTTGTTTGTTCTTGGCTTCGTAAGTCTTTCTAGAGTCGTTGCAGCTTATATAAAAAGAGAAGAAACTGCTACTATAACTACTATTAAAGTAAAGAGAGGGAACAAAAGAGTGCAAGAGCGGTGGTTATGGCGATGATGTAGAATAAGCAATGATCCAAAAAACAAAACAAAAAATTACCAATAAATAGGAAATAAACGAAAGGAAGAGAAAACAGAGGTATAGTAGTAATGTGGAGAAAAGAAAAGTGAAGAAGTGAAGAAGAAATAAAGGAAAGTCCCTCGTAGAGAGATACGAGAGGGACACCTTCTCCGGGCGCCCTCCACTAGGTTCCCGCTTCAGCTGTGTAATGCCGCATGCGTGTGTGTATGATTAAGGGAGAAAGAAGAGGGGGTTGAAGAATAGAAGAATCATGATGCCAAACCAAAAACTATTAAAAAGAAAAAGAAAAAAAAACTCCCCTCACCCTTATCCCTCTATACCAACAGCACATTGTTTATTTCGAGAAAGAAGAAGAAAAATAGTGCTTCTGTCGTGGAAAAAAGATGAGAGAGAATGAAAGTACTTGTAGTCGTTAAGTATCGTGTCTGGCGCGCGTCCTTGGCATATATATGTTGCGTAGTCTTTTTCTTGCATCAGATCAGTGCGCGGCTGGTAGATTTGGGTTGATCAGATGATTGTACCTGGTGTGTATAAGATCGGAGTTGCAGTAGAATGTAGGTCAGTGTGCCGTCGTGAAGAACAGATTCATGATCAGACACACGGACATGACCACCATGCCGTAGATGGCCAGAGCAAGCGCCAGTTTCCGTATGAGCCCCTGGTCGAGGTGCTCCAGATCCCATCGCCATTTCCTCCGCCACTGCCACGGCGCCGCACCACCACCGCCAATGTCGGAGCCCACGCTCCTCAGGCTACCTGTGCTCTGTGCCAGGACGCCAGGCTGGTCCTCGTCGTCCGTGTCGCCAGCACCGCCGCCGGCGATGGCATCGTCAATGTCGTCGTCCTCCTTCACCAGTCTCTGGTGGTGGATGCTGTCCGGGTCGCTGATCTTGTAGTAGAACAGCCCGGGGAGGATAAAGCTGATGGATGTGGAGCCTGTGCTGCCCACAAAGGCGAGCATGCGGTCCAGGCTGCTTACCGACAGGGCCGTCATGTAGGCCAGCGTGAGGATGATGGTCGTCAGCACGGCGAAGCGCACGTCCGACATGCCCACACCGCTCGGGTGGTCGCCGCCGCCGCCGGCACCTCCACCCCTGGATATCGCCGGGCCGCTGAGCAGGGGGGAGTTGCGACCGCCGGCAACGCCGTTACCCGGCGCGTTCCGAGAGGTGGGACGCCACTTGGACACGGCGTCCAGCGAGGCCCGACATGGATGGACCTGCAGGGGGATGGAGAAGAGGACGAGGACGACGATGGCGGCCTTGCCGATCGTGGAGGCCACGCCCGTGGGGTCTGCAGGATGTTAGACAAGCAAAGGAGGAGCTAGCTTCGTGGTCAAGGCGGTGGCACATACACATGGAAATGATGTTGGCCACGACGGCGTTGCCAAAAGTCATGTACCCCGTGATGGAGACGACAATGTAGATGACGGCAGCGAGACCAATGCTCGATCCGACGACGCCCACTACACTAGAAGGGGAGTTGTCCTGGATCTCGTTGAGGATAGAGAACATCTAATCAGACGTCAGTAACACGAACATGGCTTTGCGGGCGAGGGCGAGAGGAGCTGCAAACATTCTGGTGGCACGTGTAAGCAAACACGACAACAGGCAGAGCGCTCAGCGTCTCGACAGCACTCGCCCACTCGATGACACGAATCTGACTCGGGTCGGCGTGCGGGTCGTGGGCAAAGTGGTAGATGACGAGGACGATAAGATATCCGATGGACACGAGCGATATGAGACTCGTGTACTTGAGCGAGTCGAGACGCCTGAGGAAGCTCAGCGGGATGACGAGGAGCATGAAGGCCGTGATCCAGAAGTGGCGGTCGACAAGGTAGGGGACCTGGTCAGCACCGCTGTTGAAGCCCAAGACAACGCCGGGCATCAAGTCGCCAATGATGATCATGTACGAGACGCCGACGCCGAAGCACTTGACGGCGATGGCCATGTCAAAGACGACGGCGGCGTTGGGGTATGTGATCTGGGATAGGGCGAAGAATGACGAGACGCCTCGGTCGAGATATCGGGCACATTTCGACTGGAGGTAGAGTCCGAAGGCGGCCGTGACGCCGGACCACAGTATGAGTAGGGTGCCGAGCATGATACCCATGTGGGACAGAACCGACGGCATGGCGAGGGTTCCTGCACCGATGACTGCGATCGAGTACAGAGGGTCAGCACATGTGTCAATCCATCGTCGTCACCATCATCGTCACGCGACAGAGGGCTTGGCGCCTCCAAGGAAAGATACTGGGAGACATACTGGTGTTTAATAGATTGACAATGCTGCTGGCGATGGAGGCCTGTCCGCCGCCATTGCGGCCATCTTTGCCGCGACGTCTTATTCTAGAAAGTAGAAGAAGGTAGAGACAAGGTTAGCCACAGAATGATACACGTAACCTGTGAGAGGCTGGCAAGTTTACCGAGCCATATCGCCTCCCCCTTCCCTAGAAACGTTCCCGGTCGGTATGGCCGAATACGTAGACATGTCCCAGCGACAACCTGGTCTCTCTCTCTGTGTGTGTGGGTGTGTGTATGTTGCAGCCGTAAAGAGGGTGGAGGAATTCGATATACCCAGACAGAGTTTCGTTCGACGGAAAGTCTGGGTTGTGTGTGTAATAATCAGCACCGCCCTGTCGTTTTGCGACTCGGTGTGTGCCGACGAACGAAAGACGACGAATGGAGAGCGCAGCAGGCGACAGCTCCCTTCCCAAACGTATCTCTCTCTCTTCTCTCCCCCTTTCCCAACTCTTTTTCAGGTGGTCGGTACTGCTTTGAAAGAAAGGGGAGGGAGGAGGTCTGGTGGTTGGTTGGTTTGGTGATGTGAGAGTTTGCGGAGATGGGCGGAGAGAGGACAGACCTGACGTTGATGAGGCCCGGTGCTGCTCTCCTTGGGGGGATAGACTATAGGCGTCATACCATGGGCGTAGTCCGTGCTTTTTGGTGCGTATTGCGACGTCTACAGCAGAAGGAGCCTAAGCGAGGAGACACTGGAGAGCGGGTGGGTAGAGCCTTGTACGTAATCACAATAAGCCAATTAATCATGGGCTGCCTTGTGTGCCTCTTGTGGCCAATCATGGTGCTCCAAGCTTCTAAAGCTTCTAAAGCTTTCCCTTTCGGCCCCTCCCCCTAATAACCACGAATGCATGTGTACATATAGGGACGTGATATTGCTGATAATATGCATTTCGGATGAAGACAGGAACCCGACAACAGAGACATCATTCCCCCGACCCTCCTTTTTTCATCTTCCTCTACCCTTCGTGTTGCATGTCAGGGGACAAGAGTTGTCCGTTTCGGTAAACGGAAGCTCAGTACACGCGCGCACACGCACGCATACACACGCATACACACACAGCGACCTCCCTTTCCTGGCTGGACCAGACTCATCCCGACAATGACCGACACCGACGAGACGACCCTTTCGACGCTGTCGCTACTAGAATCACGCATGCTACGCATAGAGCACCTCCTCTACGGACAGACAGGTACCCCATCACTCACACCTGATGAGCCTGCTGCCGCGCAGGTGGCCAGTCTGGAGAAGCGTTTCTCGGTCCTGACATCGCATATACGCGTCTACGCCGATCTTCTCAAGATATGTACGTCGTCTCCGACTTTCCCCCTCTCATTCTCTACCCCTCCTCCCCATTTACTTATCTGGCATTACCTCTCTGGCAAATGTTCCGCCGACGATGATAGACAAATCCCATCCCGACTTCTTCCACGCCTCGCCAACCGCGGAACCGCCCTCCCAGCTCCCCGCCGATGCCGTCCAAGCCATAGTCCTCTCGTCAGCGTCGTCGTTCCACTCGACCCTGTCGTACCTGACGGCTATAAAGGACTGCACGGTGCCCGACCCGGCTGAGAGCGCGTCTCTCATCGCACAGACGGACAGGATGAGGGCCCTGAAGGCTACACAGATGGCCCAGGCGGCCGAGGTCGCGGAGCTGCGGGCGCGGAGCGAGCGTCTGATCCGGACATGGTATGAGGCCTCCTTTCTGCCCGACGCGCAGGCCTTGGCCGATCTGGAGGGGAGGATGAGCATGGCCGAACGCGGGGTGAGGAGGGCAGAGCATGAGCGGGAGGCTGCCAAGGAGCTATGAGCGTGCATGCGCATGCACAGAGAGAGTGGGATCCGGTCCGGTCCGGCTCGGTGTCAGCGGAATTTGGGGCTCGACCAGCACCACGCTCGCACACTCTGAAAAAGATGCGGCACCGCGATGATGCATGGCATACACGCAACCTATGACGAAGGGGAGGCAACCCGGCAGCCGGTCAGGGGCCCCCTCCACCCCCCCCCCCCCCCGAGAATATTGAAATCGCCGAGATGGTTGCACAGCATTATGTTCGAAGAACCACGCCGATGTGAACCCCTTCCTCACGCTCCCCTCTATTCCATGTGGCACGCTACTCTACGAGGCGTCAGGAACGAAACATCTATTGGGTAGGAGCAGACAGAAGCATGTGATCAACTCTCACGCGATAGGGCGCCAGACCTCAGCAGCGACTCGATATCGAAGGAGGAGGAAAAGGCAGCAGGGCTGATCAAGAGCATCCAGCGCCTTGCATCGGAAGAACTAAAACCTCCGGGTGAAAGAAAAAAGGATGATCTGACTATGTCCGTTGCTATGGGGTACCGTCATAGTCAGTGGGTGCACGGTACTGCTAAATGGCTCCCATCCGTACCTGTAGATCAGATGATGACGGCACATGATACCTAAGTGAGACGGTTTAGGGAGTGGGGGAGGCAACGCGTCGTCAAGCATCAGGGTTGAGAGTCGTCAAGCCGTGGGAAGGACGGGTACGAGTACGTCTTTAATTGATTGTCTACTGGCACTGGGCACGCACCGGCAGGGTTCTCCGTCCTACGAGTACGAGTACAGGAAGCATCACTCGGCAGGGCATGTTCCACTGATTCCGAGATATGCGGCCCTATGCTTCGGTACCGGCAACGATCTACTCCGTTCTCCGTATGAGAATGAAGAATGGCAACTCTGCTGTAACGCAATTATCAATATCTGATACTATATGTATGCGGCAGTCATACAGGCACAGGCACAGGCACAAATGTACATGTAGGCACCCAGAATTCTAGTGAAGCCAGGGGAGGGGGGCCAGAAAACCGAAGAATCACGGAGAGGCTAAAAGGCGCAGGGGGAAGGGGAAAGAGAAAAACGGTGTTGGAGTCTAGAGTCTAGACACAGTGTGGGGCTGTTAGTCTGGAGACTGTGACTAGTAGGGGCGGGGCAAGCTTTTCTGCATGGGCCAGGGGTAAGGCGTTATGGATGTTGCAGAGTGCCAGACACCAATACATGTACATGTATGAGGACCTGTACTCGTAATACTAATAGTGGTGGGATGCTTTAACGTGCTGTGATTACTCATTACGGGAGGGATGATTACGGGGTAGGGTGCATTGGCCCCTATCGGTATTAAGAGGGAAAGTTGTATAGTGGTCCAGGGCGGACGGACTTGAGAGAGGCATTGTCTCGTAGTAGCACGTGTAGTAGTTGTGGTGGTGGTGGTGGTGGTGGTAGTAGTAGTAGCAGTGGTGGTGGTAATGTTGCATCTACAAAGTAGTAGCGGTATGGAGTATTCGTGGTTGAAGACTGAGATGGAACACTGAACTTGGAGATGGCGGGTATTACATCGTGATGCTACACGAAATATTACCGAGTTAATTTACCATTCTGAAACTGAGGTTGGTTAGTGCCCGTCAGAGGAAGCACATGGCATCTTTAGTACTAGCCCAGGTACTGATCCAGGTACTAGTTTAATGGTGCACGTACGAGCAGCTGTACTCGTAGTAGACTGACTGCATTGCAGTCTACAGATCCACTGCAGTAATAGACTCTAGTGCTCAGGCTTCAGTAGAGTAATCATGGAGATTACCGATACTCGTAGAGCAATGCTCGGCCGGATTCATCGCGTCGGATACATCGGGCTGTTGGCCATCTACTACTGTCTCTGGTAGTACGAGTCTTGGACAACTGGCGACTGTCGTTGGCTCAATCGGAGAGGGCTTCTAATCTTACTGTTACTAGTAGTACGGAGTGCGAATACTGTAGCCTTGTTGAGTACACGTACTGTTACCGCATGTACGAGTATGGAGTATCGTACGTATTGCATTCGTAAGATGGATCCGAATGCTTCTTCTTGTCCTTCTTTTTTTTTCTTTCCACTTTTTCTCGTCTGTGTGCTTGTATGGAGAGTGCCTCCATGTGTGTGTGCAGTTGTTGTGGGGGCCAAGTCTCGAATCGACAGCTTGTCAATGTACAGCACATCGATCAACTCGTGCCGGCCCCGCCCCCTGAAGAGTGTGAATGAGAATCGAGGGACCAAAGAAGAAGGAAGGGACCAGTTGAAAACCGAGACACGCAAAGGATAATAATAGTGAAAGGACAGAGCCGCACGCACAGTAGCAATAGTCACAGTCGCAGATGGTTGCAGAGGTAAAAAAAGGACAGGCAGTCAGGCACAGAAAAGACAAGGATGGGTGGCACAGTATTTTCCGGGATACGTTCCGTACTGTGTATTAAAACCTTGGAAGGAGCCTTGGAAGGAGCCTTGGCCCTTGGGAATTTGGCAGTGGGAGCCCCAGGGAAGGAGCCATCAACCCATTACGGAACGGGTACGCTGTAAGGTGCCATTGTAGGGCCATTTGGGGCCGTGGGGGGGTCACAAGCCGCCCTTCATCTTACAACGAGGACGGAAGAAAGATATGCTCGTATGTAATCTGTACAGATTACACGTACGCTGTAAGAGACTACGAGTACTTGTACTCGCACCCATACGACATATACTCTCACGAGTACGTACTCGGAGGATTAACGAGTGACAGTAGTCATAGTAGTAACAACATGCATATATTCGTATTGTTGCTGTACAATCCTCGTTCTCGTAAATGTCGGGTGAAGGAATACCATCCATCCTCGCGCCAAGTTGGTCAGATTGAACCCTGCAGTTGTGGCACCTTACCATTGCGCGCGCGCACACAAACACACTCACGCACACACACCGGCACCAGCTATTCGATACATTCATACATTGCCCTTCTTCCTAACTCGTACTGCTGCTGTATTGTTCCGTGCGGAGTGTACGAGTACAAATACCAGTGCTTGAATGTACGAGTGTACATGCACCCCGTACCTTGCTGCAGTTGCTACGAGTACACATTCACTGAGACGGGCCCATTGGACATTGGACACTGGTACAACGATTGAAAGCCTGCGCCCCTCCCTCCCCGTTCCCTCTAGACCTGTCCGCTTGCTCGTCTCCCCCCCCGTATCAGTCCCTCCCCCCCCATTTCTCCTCCCGCACCTTCCCCCGTAACCTTTTTTACATTCCTTCCAACTCTCTCACACTCACCTTTATTCATTCGCTCGTTATTCTGTTCTTCTTTGTTGCCCGTTCTTGTCGGGCTTCACTCCATTATTACATTTCTTCCCAATTTATTCTCTTTTTATTTATAGTCCATTCTGCTGAACCCCATCTGGACAGCACAAATCGCTCCCGTACAAGAAGAAAGAAAAGCTCTCGCGCGGTCGAGACCTCTTTTTTTTTCTTCTCAAAGTCGTCGTCGCTCTGCTGGAACAAGCGGCCCAAACCCACACACCCACCCAACCACCCCTTCTCAGGAACGAAGAGAGAGATCAAAAGGCTATACTAGGGAGGACAAAGAGCAAGGAAACTCCAAACCATTGGGTTCTTTTCTTCAAAGTCCCCCTTTTAGTCTCCACCAACTGTCAAATAAACCGGCCTTTCCGTTTCCACCCTCTGGCACGAGGTCATTCCCAGCCCGCTGCGCGAGACACGTCCTACCAGCGCCAGCCCCCCCCCCCCTCTCTCACCCTCGTGAGCAGACCTGTCGGCCAGAAAACGTCGCCGGTATTCCTATTCTTCCTTTGTCGAATTCTACACTTGACACGTCCTGACGACCTGATCAAACAAGAATCTTAAACGCGGAAGTCTATTTCGCATCGTCTGTTTCCCTGTGAACAATAACCTCCCCCCCGCGCATCGACGCCGCCGACACAGCCACCGCCAACGTACGCACACATTCGACATTTATTACGAAACGGAGCTCAAGAGGAGGACAGGAGAAGGCAGTCAAGTCGCGTCCATTCGCCATATAGGCCTTTTTTTGATATAGCATCCCTGATCGTTGCCCAACGGAACGACCCTTCTCTATGCAATCCGCCACATCGCTGCACTCGCCTTCCCTCCAGAAAATGAATCAATCAAGAGGCTACGGTGGCCGGAGAAAAGGCATCCAGATGGGAAACATTCTCGGTGACCCTTTTGCCCTAGCCACAATCTCCATCTCAGCAGTAGGTTTCCTTTCTCTATCTCTTCTTCGCAACACGTAGAGATACGTTGGTCGAAGCGACATGTGGGAAGCTTGTCTTACTAATGAATACTAGCTCGCATGGATCATTGCGTTCATCGGCTTCATCGTGTCCGCTGTAGAAGCTGAGGACGACCCGGGTTTCAACAACTTCCCCTGGTGGTCCGTCATCTACAGCCTTCTTCTCAATATCTTTGTCTTCGTCATTGTCGCCAGCGATACCATTCACACCTACCACGTCGCCCTTACCGGGTACTGCTCCGCCGGTATCGTCCTGACTAGCGTCGCCATCCATGCCCTCATTTACCAGCAGAGCGGTGCCAGGCAAGCCGCCGCCGCCGGCTTTGTCCTTATTGCCATCATCCAGGTAAGAATCTCCTCCAGCCCGCCGCCTGTAAATCCCGCAAGATGTTCTGAGGGCAATCATGTACTGACTTGGCACCCTACCAGATGATCTGGACTTTCTACTTTGGCTCGACGCCGTCATCGACGCCGCGCGCCTTCCTTGACTCCTTCGCCCTGACCAAGGAGTCGGCCACGATGCACCGTCAGACCATGAACGCTTACGGCGGCACCGGCCGCCCCGAGACGTCCAACTCTGTCCAGCCCCCGCAGATGTACACCTCGGCCCAGCTCAACGGCTTCGAGAACCCCTCGCCCGTGGGCGGCACGTCGCAGGTCAACGGGGCCGGCAGCCGCGCCTCGGCCATGGGTGGCTACAGCTCGTCTCAGCTCCCCAAGTCCGCGGCATCACCGGGCGCCGACACCGAGGTCGTCCCGCCCACCGAGTACCCCTACCGTGCCAAGGCCATCTACAGCTACGAGGCCAACCCCGAGGACGCCAACGAGATTGCCTTTGCCAAGCACGAGATCCTCGAGGTGTCAGACGTCAGCGGCCGCTGGTGGCAGGCCCGCAAGGAGACGGGCGAGACGGGTATCGCGCCCAGCAACTACCTCATCCTGCTATGATGTACGAATCAAGTGGTATCTCGTGATGTTCTGGGTTGATGAAACTTGTTAAAATAGCTGCTGTAACGGGGTTGCGGAGCGTCATTCTTTTTCTTTCTCTTAGTTTTTCTTTGCAATATTCCTCTTCTTTTTCTCTTCTTCCATCTTTTCCCCCATATCTTTTTTTACTTATTTTTTTTTTTTTGCGGCTGATGGCATGTCCGCGCGCGTCATTTGGGTCAGGGTCACGTTATGGATGGAGTACATTTTTGGGCGATTTGGCATGATCTCGAGTAAGTATCGCCCCCTTTGTTGTTCACTCTTCTTTGTCACTTTTTCCCCTTTTTTACACATTATTTTGGATTTTATTCTTCTTCATCTTGTTCTTAGCTGTAAACATCCCTTTTTTTTTTCTGCACGATAGTTTTTCTCATCTCTTGACTGAGTCGAGGGATTTGAATGTACTGTTTTCATCAGTATGCCAGGTGTTTATGGAGTGATGTGTGCAGGTCATTTCAGGACATGAAGTGATTTTGTGAGTAAAATGCTATTATATTCATGTACACATTATTCGTCCCTACTACCTAGTACTATTTGGTAATTGTAGTCAGTCGCCCGCGTTCAAGCAAGTCCGGTGGCAAGGGTTGATCAGATCAGCCCTCTAACCTCTTACGCAGCTCCCTCTCCTTCTGCAGGACCTCCAGCTCCAACCTCTCGACGCCATAGCGGAGAGCCTCCTTGCGCTGCCTGGCCGCCCTGGCACGCAGCTTCTCCTCCCCCGTGAGCAGTCTCCCCCTCGAACCCGGGGCTGCCGCTGCCGCTGCCGCTGCCGATCTGCCACCCCTCAACCTCTTGGGGTCGTTGTCACGGGCGGTCTCGTCTTCCGGTGCCGTGAGCCTGCCCTGCTGCAGTTCCGATCTCGCCTTGAGAGTCTCTATCCGCCTCTCCTGTCTCTCCATCTGGGCGTCTGCTCGGGATAGGAGGAGAGAGATCTGGGGGGCTATCTCGTCTCGCAGGGAGGCCTCGGCTGCGGCTAGGGTCGATTGTGGGATGAGTTCGTAGTGCTGGAGTCTGCGTTGGCCTTGTTTCTTTCTTCTTCTCTTGTTCTTGTCTTTTTTTTTTTTTTGAGAGAGAGAGAGAGGAGGAAAACAGAAGGAAGGGGGAACAAACAAAACATACCCTGACAGTCTTTAATACGTTAATCAATCGCGGAAAATCCGACACCGCATTGTCCAACGTCTCGACGGAGGAGTCGAGGAATTTGAGGGATGAACGTAACGAGGTCACGCAGTCGGCGTAGGTTGACGACATGGCGGGGTTGTAGGAGCAATCGAATGGGGTTGTTGTAGAAACAGGGACTTTCTGGGGGGGGGGGGGGGGGGGTTTTTGTCTTTGGGTCGTGGACGTGTGCTGTGTTGATTAGTTGCAGTAGTGGTATAATGATGTGGTTTGACGGTGGGGGATAACACTGTGACGCGGTGGGACGTGAATGTCAATATTGATGATCTACGTGGAGTATTATTACAAGTACGAGTACAGAGACAGAGCTATGCTACGCTATCTCAATTGATGAGTCAGCATAGGAAAGAGGGGGGGGGGGGATCTCTACGTCTTACTGGAAGCTCTTGCATTAGCTACCAGACATCATCATCATCATCATATAGTATTCTATGTCTACTACCAGAGTTGGACATGTCCCCCCATGTACGACATATCTACACGTGCATACTGGCCTGTAATCACACAAGTCAGCATCACGCGTATCAAACTGGGAGGCGGGGAAGAGTGAATCAAGTTGAAAGGGTGACTCGGCATCTTTCGAGCCGTTGTATCTCTTTTTACTCTCCCTCTCTCTGCTCGCCAAGTTGGAAGTATGAGTACGAGGGCACAGTGAAGACTAGTACTATTACCTATGCGGGTAAGTAAGTTATGACTTGAATTCCCCCCAAATCGATGGGTTCTCCCGCTCTGTGCCCCCACGGAGATTGCGACAAGACACGGCATGACCCAGCCTAGAATTTGCTTCCGTCGAGGACCAGCGAGGAAAGTGGTGCGCCATAGCTTGTAACTATCTGCTTAGAGGGTGTGGAGAGAGAATCACAGAGGAGGAAGAAAGTCCTCGTTGCCTCTTGGCTTCAGGCGATTCTTGGTCAGCGCTTTCCAAGACTTCCAGGAAGGTAGAGATGGCCTCGTGCGAGGGATTTCCACGGGTTTGTCGAGATACCATCATCACCAGCAGGACTCGAGGGCGGGATAATACAGGTAACACCCGTAGCCATGTAGCCAGCAGAGATTATGCAGGTCTTTGGACATGGGGTAAATAGACTCGACGTCCAGTGGCTTGATGTTGTCGGGTGCAACCCATCACGATCAGCTTCTACCTACTTTAGCCCTCTTTTTTTTTTTTCTTTTGGTCTCCTTCTTGGCTGGTTTTTTGGCAGTACCAGTAGCTGCGGTGATAGGGTGTGCCATTGTGTCATCAGCCAGAAGAGGATGGCCAAGGGGTTAGGTCATGACACGTAATTGCCGTGTTATGTCTTGGGTTGCGACTGGTATAAGTCTCCCCGTTCTGTCCTCTCATCACATCCGGAAGACCCGGGCACATGGAGGATTGCGAGGAAAGTGGCACTTCCCTCTTCTGCGGTCCTCTCACCAGAGAACTGTCATCCGGTTCGATCCGTAATCTACATACTTGTCATAGCGTACAAGACGTATCATATCTAGCAGGACAGGTAATCTGCTGCACCAGACCACGATATCCATGCCACTTACACCAGCATCATCAGACAGCACGCGTGGAAGAAGCCCAACAGCATCATCCAGATCCCCGTGAGCGTAGAAGAAACATGGAGTTGGATACCACTAGAGTCTGATGAATCATCCCCTCCCTCAAATATTCCAGCTCACGTCGTTTCCCGATCTGTCGTGGACTCATCGCTGATGTTGCCATTGTTTCAGTCAACCCACGAGGTCATGTCATGTCCACGGATGATGTGCATTCCAGTTCCTAAGCTCTCCAAGCTCCAACAAAGCCGTGTCCTCTTCAAACCTCCCCGGTCTCCATCTCCTCCCCCCTCCGTCTCACTCTACCTATCTTCCTGCTCTCTCTACTTGCCTGTCAGCCACCTTTCCACCACGAGGCAGAGGCCGTACATAGCACCCCCCCCCCAGAGGTTCTCTTCCTTTCTACTCTCGGGACCCTATCCAGACTTCTATACAGTTAGCAAATACTAATCATATATGGGGGGAACAGGGAACAGAAACAACAAAGTAAAAGAATAAAAATCAAAACAAATCAAAACTACGCCATTTCAATCATCTTGTAACATGACATATACATGTCCCTTCTGGCTGGACTGGAAGCTGAATCATTCTATCTCAATCACTGTACCCAGACTACCTCACCATATCCCTCATGGTCCACCACCATCATCGACCACGAAAGACTAGTGCTCTTCATCTTCCCTTGAGATTGCCGGTATGTCCTGATGGAACCCATCGTCATGGGTCTTCCCCACATGGATCTCCAGACTTTCCAGGTCATCCCGAGACTTTTGACGGTTCTGGACTCGAGTCTAGTCGGGAAACGATGTGTTGTGTCTTTTTCTTTCTCGATGCCGTATAATCCGGTAGTGGATGGGTAAATACTAGATACAGTGCATGGCGGTCGTCGTGACTAAAAATTGACTCTTCACTGTCCCTCTCCCTTGATTTTGGCTGAGACCTTTTTTTTGGGGGGGAGGGAGGGTTACGCTCTCGTCATGTATTTTGTTGCCATGTCTTCCCCTCCCCTACCGGGATATTTCTATTCCTTCACTGGTGTAGTCACCCCGTCACCTTTTGGTCTCACATACTATCTCTCTTCTCTTTCCCATAGAAGACGAAAAAAGAAAAAAAAAGGGTCTCATATTTACTTCATAAACTGGCTGTCTGCCCCGGATTTCTTGCCTCTTCCTTCCCGTCCAGAAGGTCTTGGACTCTTTTCCTTCTCCGTTGATATTCCCTTTGCTGTTCTGCTGCTGCTTCTCCCATCAAGCCTTTTCATTTCCGGCATCAATCCACTCTTCTCTGTCATCATCCCTCGTCCTCTTCATTCTTTCCGTACTATTCGTCTGGTTCTTCCCATCATTCCTTACCTCTTCTCTCACCATCATCATTCCTACCCTTCAACTTGCTGCTCGAGATCTATAACGGCTCGACCCTTCTCAACAACACAGAATGCCGACGTGATGGGACCGAATGATCTGGTCGATTACGTGATCGAGCCGGCAGGAGCAGCTTCTGCCAACCCGACCGATACGAAAGACCACGGTCTACGATTTACAAACGAGGAGTGGAACGGTAGCATCACAAACCACCAGGCCTTTGCCCTGACTTGGAACGAGAGCATAGCCAATGATCAGGGCAATCTGAGGCTCTTCAGAATCTGGTATCCCGAGAATGGTGTCATGTCATTTGAGCCGGTCTCGAACCTGACGGGTAAGCAAGTACATGCTTGACCTCCTCCCCCTTTCTTCTCCCCGAAAAGAGAAACCACGTACATACATATCTTCTCGAGGCCTTGTCAGGCTGACAGCGTCTGCGTGACAAAACAAGACTCCATGGATGAAAAATCGTGCGTGTGGACCCCAGAGGGGCTCTCGGATGACAACCTATACACCCTGTGGGTGACGAGGGAGACGGAAGACGGCGAGTCGCACTGGGCAATATCACCTCCTTGGAAGCCCCTGAACGAAAAGGTAAGGTCATCAGCCCCGTCTTCCAAAAGATCTCGCTGCTCTCTCTGACTTGCACGCCAACACTGACATCTCCTCCCCCCCAACGTTCAGAGACAAGAAGCCAGCAAGGTCCGATGGCGCAACTCTGTCGGCATCCCCGTCGTCGTCGTCCTCGCCGTATACTTCATATCCCTGACGACATGTCTCCTCTACCGCCGCCGGAGGAAGGCCAAGAAGGCCGAGAAGGACCAGGCCGGCGGCGACAAGAGGTCGGCCAGCATGCTGGGCCCCTTCCCCCCCGAGGATGACGCCGACCGCCACCCATCAGTCAGCTCTGTCGGCACCGCCCAGACGCTCACCCCGGACGACGACGACCTGATGATGAAGAAGGTCGTCGAGAAGCATCAGTGCCGGCACCCCTACATAATCAGGAACCCACAGCAGCCCCCGCTCATAAACCCTGAGATAGCATGGAATAGGGTCATCTGGAGGAAGGAGTCGCTTGCCGAGCCGCCTGTGCCCATGCCCATGCCTATGCTTCACGGGACGCCGGGGTTCGGCGACTGGGATTTTCGGGTGCCCATCGGGCAGGCGAGGTGAACGCCCTTTTTTTTCTTACGTTTTATCTACCTTCTTTTTTGAAGGGCGGTTACTTGGATGACGGAGGAGATGACGAGAGAAGAGAAGGTACGAATAAAAAGCAGGTAACTGTTCTGGCTGAGTGGACGAGCACTCATCGGGACACGACACGCCTGCTGCTGTACTTATAGTGTCTATTTTTTTTTTCTTTTCTTTTTTCTTTTTCTTTGCATCATGACCGGGCAAAATGTCCTCGGTTTAGTTTCAAAAGGGGAGGTCTACTCTATCTTTTTTTTCCTCCAATATCAGCATCTAGCGTTCTGCATTTAACTATTTCAGTACGGGTTTAACATATTCATGCTCTAGTTGATCCCATGCAGCTTATATACCATCCGTAGGTGTACGTCACGATATGTGCTTGTAAATTTACCGGGGGAGAAACTAAGGGCATACTACAGACTTCCCCAACATTTCCATGCACTGAGAATGACGAGAAGAGTGTATCGATGTAACTGTATGTATGATCAGAGGCCATTATCAAATCTATACAAGAACTGGCCAGCCTCAGCCTACTCTCGAACACTGCGAGCTTTGGGGTGATATAATGCAGGGTAAGTAGGTCGACGGCACCCTAGACGAATATATGTACAGGTATGGTGGGATATGACCGGACAAGGTAGAAATTTAGTCCTTTTGGCAAGAGAAGATTATTATCATATTTCTAAGACTTGTCTTGCTATTTATTTTTATTCAATTCATCATGTTGATATCAAGGGGAGAGTACATGTACCAACATGAATGACGTGTAGGTACATGGCTACACTGTACAGGTACCCTATATACACCGCTGAAGTAGAGAAAGGGCTACTACTAAGTACCGCTGTGTGCGGGAATGCCGCCATCGGAATTACGTAGTCCCCCACCTCCGAGACCCACGGTCATCATCCGTCAGAGCACAAGGCAGGCAGTCGCCTGTTGCGTTAGCTTTCCACTGCCCAGCCCACCAACAGCCCACGCCTTGCAACCCACCGATTCAACTCCAAGCCCGCCGCCTCACAGCCCCGACCTCGATCGAGAACCACGCAGCCAGAAAAGGAAAGGAGAAGCCGGTCAATCAAACCGCCATCATGTCGGAAGGGCTCATCAAGCCCGAGAAGGACTTCTCCAAGGAGGTCGATAAACAGCTTCCAGAGGCGGAGAAGCTGGCCAAGGTCAGTGGGATGAGCGGAAGAGGCCGTTGCTGTCGCGTTTACGTGAACACAAGACAGAGACGAGCAGAGTTGCTGACATGGGAGACTAGACCAACGTCCAAGGTGCCATCGAGAAGCTCGCGGCGCTCGAGAAGCAGACCCGTCAGGTACGTTGTTGGACCGACCCTCTGCGAGCCGAATCTAGGGCGGTCACGATGACGCGTAGCTGACAAGAGTAGGCATCTGACCTTGCCTCGACATCGCGGGTCCTCGTCGCGATCGTGACGATTGGCAAGGATGCCGGCGATTGGGGCCTGATGAACGACCAGATGCTGGTCTTCTCCAAGAAGCACAGCCAGCTCAAGCAGGCCATCACTAAGATGGTGCAGACCGTCATCGGCTTCCTCGACGAGACGCCCGACCTCAAGACGAAGCTGTCGGTGATCGAGACGCTACGGACCGTGACCGAGGGCAAGATCTTTGTCGAGGTCGAGCGCGCCCGCATAACCAGGGTCCTCTCAGACATCAAGAAGGAGCAAGGCGACCTGGAGGCAGCCAAGGACATCCTGTGCGAGCTCCAGGTCGAGACGTTTGGGTCGATGACCAGGAGGGAGAAGACCGAATTCATCCTAGCCCAGGTCAGCCTCTGCATCGACAACGGCGACTGGGCGCAGGCCGGCATCCTGGGCCGCAAGATCAGCACCCGGTACCTGTCCCGCAAGCCTAAGAAGACGCAGGAGCAGTTGGACAAGGAGCAGAAGGAGCGAGAGAAGAAGAAGGCCCGCGGCGAGGAGGTCGAGGAGGAGAAGGAGGACGACACGACCGACCTCAAGCTACGGTACTACGAGCAGCAGATCCAGCTGGCCAAGCAGGATAACAAGTACCTCGACGTCTGCAAGCACTACCGACAGGTGCTCGACACCGAGGCGGTGGAGGAGGATCCCACCAAACTCCAGCCTGTAAGGCCGATGTGCCCCCCCCCCTCACTCTCTGCTGTTGATGGCGCTCTGGCTGTATGCTCTACTCATCTAAGCGCCAAGTTGCTGACCCATCCCACAGGTTCTCCAGCGCATCATCTACTTTGTCATCCTGGCCCCTCATGACAATGAGCAGCACGACCTCCTGCACCGTATCCACCGCGACACGCGCAACTCCCAGATCCCGCTCGACGCCGAACTGCTAAGGCTCTTTACGGTCCACGAGCTGATGCGATGGCCCGAAGTGTCCAAGAAGTTTGGCCCGCACCTGTGCAAGTCGGACGTCTTCGAGGCCGATCCCGGCAAGGACGAAAAGGCCTACGAGCGCTGGCAGGACCTGCGCAAGCGTGTCATCGAGCACAACGTCCGCGTCGTGGCCGAGTACTACACGCGCATTCAGCTGACGCGCCTGACGGCGCTGCTCGACCTGACGGAGGATGAGACGGAGAAGTACATTAGCCAGCTGGTGACGGCCAAGACCATCTATGCCAAGATTGATCGGCCAGCCGGTGTCGTCAACTTTGCCAAGCCACGCGACGCCGACGACGTACTGAACGAGTGGAGCCACAACATGAAGAGCCTCCTGGGCTTGTTGGAGAGGATCGACCACCTCATCACCAAGGAGGAGATGATGGCGCGCATCCAACCGGCGAGCTCCAAATAAATAAATGAAAATAAGGGGACGGTAGAGAAGACGATATTAAAAAAAAAGAATCAAAACCAAAAACCAACTACTACAGTTTCTGCTAGGCATACAGAGTCGATAATCGGGATACATTTTTTTCTTTTCTTTTCACGAAAGGCAATGGGAAGGGGGAAGAGGGAAGAGGGAAGAGGGGAGGGGGGAGTAGGTAGGTGTCTGTACCAGTTTAGATGGGGGGGCATGTGTGTAAGAATCACAAGTCTTCTTTCTCTCTTCACACACGTTGTGCTCTTTCGATACGACAACAGAAGAAGAGGAAATCTATCATGTATTGTGTCTATGCGTGTTTTTTTTTTGTACTGATACTACCGTGCATGTGCTTATGAATCCCGTGATGAACATGTACTACTCAGCCTCTTGCTCACCCCCAACCTTTTCCTCGGAATGCTGCTTGACGAAGCCGAGGAGCGGCATAGCCCATTCCTTCGCGACAGGGACGTGGTGACCGCCGGGGTGGACGACGACGAGGGGATCCCTGGTCCGGTCGACGAGTCCCCGGGACCGGCTCTCCTCGACGATGGTATCCAGGCCACCGATGACGTGCAAGGTGGGGGTCTGGATGACGGGGTCGTAGCACCACCTGAAGGAGTCCATGGGGGCGAAGAAGCCGCAGTACGAGACGGCGAAGAGCAGGTCGGTGACGCCCCGGTCCCTGACGGAGTTGGCCTCCCTCAGCCTGCGAGCCCACTCGCCGGCGGGGCCGGCGGGGGGTTCCCTCCCCGACTCGAGAGCGGCGGCGACGAGGACGGCCACGGCGGCGCCCTGGCTGAAGCCGAGGATGGCGTCAATGCCGCCGGCGTCCCGGATGGCATCGGACACGGCGGACATGCCCTCGTCGAAGTGGAGGTAGGTGTCGGTCGCGTCGTCCTTGCGGAACCAGGCCCACGCGTCGGTCTTGGCGTCGGGGTCCGGACCGTCATCCCCCTCCGGGAAGACGTAGCCGGGTATGTCCTGGGGCCGGAGGTTGACCGGGGCGCTTGGGTAGATTAGCTCCGGGAGTATGGAGGACGGGGCGAGCGTCTTGATCAGGAGCTTCTCCAACGCTCGGGTCTTTTTGTGGAAGAGGGGACCTGATTGGGTATAACCTGTTCAATGTTTTATATATATCTTCTGCGTAAGCCATCTTGAAAAGGGGTTCTCTTTGAATATATATAATTCAGATTTGAAAAAAAAAAGGGGAAAAAGACAAGAGACCAGGAAGAGGGGGTGAGGAAATGTACCATGGAGCATGAGAATCTTCATCTTCTTATCCGGTTGAGCGGGCTTGGATCCCTTTTGAGTAGACATGGTGCGACGGTGGACTGCAAACGATGATGACACACGGGTGAGAGAATACGGATAGCTGATTGTGAATGTAGAGATGAGAAAGATCGGGAGACGACGCATCTATTAAGAAGAAGAAGAAGAAGAAGAAAAAGTTAAAGAAGAAAAAGTGAGTGAATGAGTGAGCATGTGAGTGTGGGTGGGCTTCCGGCATATATCGTGTCATCCCGGAGGCAATAAAATTCCCACTGAGACTTATCACTAGTCGTTGGACAAATCTGCCGTTTGTGTCCCGCCGATTATTAGTCACACGCCGAAGATGGGTCCCCCCCTCCCTTCCCCCCCCTCCCCGGGCGCCGCCGCCACCGTAACAAGTCGAGATTCTGGTAGCTCTCTCTGTCCGTCGAGTTGCACTCACTGCCTGGTATGCGCAACAGCAGAGTATTGAAAGGGGTTTATACAATAAAATATGTAGGATGGGATAGGGGCACCTTTCGTGGTAATGCCGTACTGTAGGCTCATTCGCAGATAGGTGTCATTGAGGGGTTTGTGGTTCAAGAACTCTGGGATTGAAAACCTTCCTCTCATGAAGCACTACATACTAGATTATAGAGCTGGGAGAGATGCAACATGAGAAGGAAGGCGAGGCGTGAAACTCAAGGGGGGGGGGATGGCCATAGACAGTCCGACCGGACGGGCCGATCGATGTCCCGGCTTCGGAACCAACCCTCCCCCCCGAGTTACGGCACCGCGGAGATTTCGGAATTGTCCATGTAAACACACACACATCATACACCAGTCTCAAAAAGATTCTTTTCTTGGATGACCGGATTCTCGCCCACGCCGTTCAACGGGGCCGGGGTTGAAGATTCTCCCCTTCTTCGAGTCTATGATACATAAAGTTCCAATCGTCAACGGGGCGCCGGAGATGCTTTGCTGCCAGATGTCTCTCTTCGTTCTTTCTTCCTTCAGGTGTAGTATAATCATCGAAGCGACAGGGTTTGGATTGTCGATTGTTCGCGCGTCAGGCCCGTGCTCCTCATCCTCTCTCTCTCTCTCTCTCCTCTCCCACGGATATCAGAGAGGTTAGTGGTTGGCCTTGGCGTTGGGGTTGCGGGGGTCGTTCTTGAACTCGTCGGCTATAGAGGAAGAAGAAGACGGATTGGTCAGTCGTAGCCCTCCGGATCATACAGTACATCACTTATTCGGAGGAGGAGGGGGGGTTTCGTACAGGCCATCATGGCGTTCTGGGCAGAGTTGACACCGTAGGCGATGACGAGACCTGGTCGTGGGCGTGTTAGCTATATGCACATGTGTGCACATGGTGTCTAGCCTATGGGATTTTGCGCGCAAATCGACGGGGCGCGATCGGCAAGGGAAGGCTAGGCCTCTCTGTCCATCTATGCGATCAATGATGAGGGAGGCAGTCACGCACCGGCGGCGAAGAAGGGCCAGTGAGGCTTCACTGTTTTTGCGGGACGTTTCTCTCGTTAGCTGTCTGCTCGGCGGCTTCTGCCTCTCGCCAGCCCGCGCAGTCCTTGTCGGTCGGTCGGACGGGGCGGGCTGGACTGGGGCCCAGGAAAGACGGGAAGAGGGAATTGACGCACGGAAAGGAGCCGGGAACTTCTTGAAGGGAGCGAGACCGAGCCAGGACATGATGGCGGTTGTTTTTCTTCCTTGTTGGATGGAAACGGACGGGTGGGTGTTGGGGAGGTGAGGATTGGTGATGGCGGTTGTTTTGTACGTTTTACGAACGAGTCCTTTTTCCCCCAAATGCCAACCACTCAGCACTTCGTCCCATTAGCCGGATTGCCCCGTGTTTGCAGCCTGAGGCAGGGAAGCTGGAAGGAGAGATACGGGGATATGATTATCCGATTGCTCCCTCTGTACCATCACGTGATATCATGTATCTCCAATATGGATACGTTACGGTACGTACCCATGTACCTACGAGTAATCTGTACATGCTGTATTAGATACATACGAGCATTATCATTACTCCGTACGGAGTACATGCACGGAGTATGATCAGTAGTTACTGCCTGCTCGCATTCCCTAGAGAGCTCAGACCACACTGCAGTGACCAGAGGTGACATCATTTCCTGGGGAGGGAACCTCGTCTGTATTCATGTCTCCGCATGCTGGGGACGTCACTTGTAGGAGAGCTCTCTGATGATCCTTCAACTTCCTCCCTGAAAGAAACGAATTGGGTACAGCTCGTGATTCGATCATCTCATGGATGATAGTAATGACAATAAAATAGAGGGGGAAAAAAACATTATAAAAAACATTATATAAAAAAAAGGACTGAAAAGCATCCCCTTTTGAGAAGAAAAGTGCGGGGAAAGGTGTCAACTTCACCCTGTTCCTTGTCAATCCCAAGCTTCAAGACATCCAATCAATCCTCGACTCTCCCCTCCACGTCGGGCCTGGACTCTGGACGCCTTTATCCAACCTGCCGTTCTCACACTACACCCACCAGAAAAGCTTCTCCTCCCTTCTCCTCTTCCTCATCCTCTCCTCTTCCTTCTCTCGTGATACTCTCCCCGCCTTCTCTCTGCTACCTTTGACTCTTGTGTGTGCATCACCGGCCACGACGTAACGAGCTTACCTGCATTGTGTCACCTCTGGCTCACCTGCTACTTGCCTCTCTGGAATCTCTCTCTCTGCTGCCTGCCAACCCCAACCCCAACCCCAACCCCCCCCCTTTGACTCTCCTAGTCCTCCCCTGCTAACTCTTGCCCTTCCCTCCATCCCAATTCTTTCCTTTTGCCTGTTGATCGTCCCCTCCCCCCTTCTCTTTCTGCATACAAACACCCTCGCATACAATACGTACCACACCTATTCGACATCAACATACCCGTTTCCTCCCCCGCTCTGGACGAGTATCAGTTTTCCGACCTCTCCAGTCAAGTTCAAGGGAGAGTTCGTTCCTGTACCTTTGTTTCTTTGCCCATCCGTGCTTGTGCTCTCGCACGCACGCACAGCTTCTTCTATCTGTCTTGATTCTTTCCCTCTTCTTCTCCGTTCTTCCCATCTACCCACCATCATGTTTCCTCGCAACGTTACCCGCCTCGCTGCTAGTGTCCCGCGCTCCGGCATGAGGACAATTGTCTCGACGGCCATTCGTCAATCCAGCAATGCCCCCTCCATCGGTGACATCAATCCTTCCCCCACAGCCATCGATTCATTCAACCAGAAGCAAAAGGCATTCAGAGATGAGTTGGCAGCGTCCCAGAGGGAGCGGGAAGCTCGTGCGTTGGCCCAAGACAAATCTTCTTCCTCCGCTGCTGCTACCGGTGAAGACACCGCTGCTAATCATCCGGATGATGCAGGCGCTGCAGCAGACCGCAACCTGTCGGAGCACGATGCCAAGTCGGGTCGCCTGTCCAGCCTGATCTACGGCACCAAGGAAGGGAGGGAGATGGACGCCCAGATCGAGGCCAGCTTTAGCCAGGTCCTGGCTCGTGGAAAGTACGTCCACTCCATCGTCTTTCACGAGGTTAAGCCCGAAAAGGTGGACGAATACGTCAAGCTCGTGGGGGAGTGGTACCCCAAGATGGCCAACCTGGAGGATAACAAGGTCAATCTGGTGGGAAGCTGGCGGACAGAGGTTGGAGACTGCGATACGTTCAGTACGTCTGATTACCCCCCTCCATCTCCCTCCCCTTCCCCCCTCTCTGTATCTATCTCCCTGAAAATATGTGTGCGTCGTCTAACATGACCCGTCAGTCCACATCTGGGAGTACCAAAAGTACGAAGGCTACCACAATTCCCGATACAACATCACCCACCACCCCCAGTTTTCCGACTTTGATCGCAAGCTCGCCACGCTCATCAACTCTAAGAAGTCGTCGTTGATGCAAGAGTTTTCGTTCTGGCCCACCACGCCTCCGCGCCAGCTGGGCGGCATCTTTGAGCTCCGCTCGTACACGCTGCACCCGGGCAACCTTCTCGAATGGGAGACGCACTGGAGGCGCGGTCTCAAGGCCCGTCGCGAGGTCATGGAGGGCGTCGGCGCTTGGTTTGTCCAGATTGGCGACCTGAACACGGTCCACCACCTGTGGCAGTTTGCTAACCTCGAGGAGCGCCGGGCCCGTCGCGAGAGCTGCTGGTCCATCGAGGGATGGAGCGATACGGTGCATAAGACGGTTCCCCTTATTCAGGACATGAGGTCGCGGGTCTTGGTCCCCATGCCGTGGTCACCTGTGGCATAGGTTTCTCATATATTTCTGTCTTTGTCACGCGTGCTAGTCGGTCAGTTGTTGAGGCTTCGCTAGCAGTTGGCTGTGAGGTCTGAGATGGCAGCTTCATATGAGGGATGCACGTCACTGCTAGGCCAAACCCTAGACGCGCCTAGCCAGGAGCGAGGTCATAAACTGCATGTACAGTACAGCATATACCTTCCCCCTCCCCTGCTTCCTATCGTCCAGTTCTCTGCGTGTTATCTGCCTTACGCATTGTCGTTTATCGCGGGAGCATTGAGTACCCCTCTGTAAAAGAGAAGAAGAAAAAGATCTCATTATATTTCGATGCACTAATATCCGCTCTTTATCTGTACATTTGCCCGTGTCAAAGCCCAACACAAAAGAACAGTCTTGGTGTCCTTTAGCTTTTCTTGTCTTTCTCATTCGTATTCGTCATTGGGGATCTAGCCTCAGGGCTCTTCCATATCCATCACAGCAGCCAGATTCCTCCTTGCCTGACCGAGCAAATGAGAGAGAAAGCCGACCTTGGAATACAGAGATATCAGACACGGATCGGCAGTCTCGACACGGACCTTCTCCCTAACATAGACCTCCTCCATACCCGAGTGGTGATGGCTCTGATGATGGTGGTGATGCCTCCCAGCAAATGTGGCAGTAGTGGTAGCGGTAGCGGTAGTAGACGATGACGTAGGGCGGTTCCGCACCGACGAGGCAGAGGAGTGGACGGCGTCGGCGCCGGCCGGATCCCAGCGAAAGACGGCGTCCATCTCGTCGTGCTCCAGGCGACGGACGGTGCCGATGGCGAGGCCGAGGCGCGTACCGATGTGGAGGGGGGCGTTTACGGGCTCGAGGGATCGCAGGCACAGGACTATGCAGCTGTCGCGCACGCCGACGTAGACGCTCAGGTTCGGGGGGAGGGGGGGGGAGAACTTTTCGGGGGGGCAGGAGAGGGTCTGCCACTCCACCGAGTCGGTGACGGAGCTGCCGCCCTTGAGGAGGGACTCGGAGGCCCCGAGGGACTCGGACAGCAGCGACAGTGTCTGGGCGAGGAATTCCAGATTATGCGGCATGTTCATCTTCGTCTTGGCCTTCGCTTTCATCCCCGCGACCGTGTCTGTGTTCGCATCTGTCTCTCTGTCTGCGTCTGTGTTGGCGGCGGTCGAGACGAGTGCAGAGACCAGATCGATGCCCTCGCTGAGGTGGGTATGCAGGGCCTCGAGGGCATGGATATGCAGGTCCTCCCCGGCGGCGAGGCAGAGCGTATGCAGCGAAGGCAAGGTCTGGAGCTGAAGGTTGACGGACGTCTTGACGATGCGCGTGCCCACGCGGGTGACGGTACCCTTGAGGCGCTCCGCTCCCCGGGTCGTCACCACCAAGGTGCTGCCCGGGTCTATCGGGGCCAGAAGGGCGTAGCACTCTTCCAGTCCGTGCTTGAGGGATATGCACGTCGCTATCGTCTCGGCTGCTATCCACTTTAGCTCGCGGGACTGGGGTGGGTGGATGCGGAGGAGGCTTTCGTTAGCTTGGAGAGAGAGAGAGAGAGAGAGAGAGAGAGAGAGAGAGAGAGAGAGAGAGGAGACAAACTGCTGTTTCGGCTTGGAGGATTTTGAGGTCCGATAGTGGGACGGGGGGGTATATGTCTAGGGACATTTCTTGCCCCCCTTGGTTCTTGAGGAAAGAGGGGAGGGAGGGGGGGAGAGTTGAGGAGGTTTGACTCTTGAGGAGGTTGTGCACTTTTGGGTGGTTCGAGATGCGAATAGCGACCGGGGACCCTATGACGTGTGATGAACGGGGGCCGACATCGTCTACAGGTATCACATTAATAATATAGCCAGGTATAGCAGGTATTGGTGGTGGTCGAGACGAGGATTTATTTAATCTGTACAGTCTCTTTTATTCTATGCTGCAATGCTATTATTCTTGTAATCGCAGTGCCTCTGGTATTCCTTGCCCATGGTATGTTCTATCCTCTCCCATGGTAACCTCTATTTCGTGTGTCGCAGTCGAGGATCCTGGTTTCTGATTCCTCTAGTTTGTTGGAATGAACAGCTGAGTCATCGGCCAGAACAGGTTGTTCCGGCCCGATCGGCAGTAACCCTAACGGTAAGAGGCCACTTCTATAGCCACAATTACCTTTATGATAGTTATTAAAAACATTATCACAATTAATAAGAAAAACAACCTCTATTTCCTACATTGAAAGTGCGATACTGTTTGATAGTATTTTATAACCAATTCCACTAGATTATCCCTCTCCCGATCCGGCAACTCGGACGAGCTTTTAGCCGACGTTACTCCGCTGCTCCGTCTGACATCACAATGGGTCATGGTCGCCCCAACTCTAGAAGAATCAGATGTACTCTAACTTCCATCCTCTTAAGTAATGATACCATTTCTTCTGAGTGAGTCTGGCGTCACTAACATACCATGAGACACATAGTGCAAAACATGGAGAGGTAACAGGGCCATCTTTGTTGATCTACCAACTGTCTAAGCCATCCGTCCGTCTTGCCGAGCAACTCACTCGGCGGGCCCGTCTCGACGACGCGACCCTTGGCGTAGGCGGCTCAGGCCCGGGAGTCTCTGGTTCTTGAAGCTGTTGTTGATATCTGGCAAGCCTGGAGCCTAGCATCGCTATCTTTGAGTCTTCTCGATGTGCTGTCGTATGCGTACTGCAAGCTGCCGCTCAGAAGTTTCCGTGGAGGAGCCATGACGGCCTATGAGCGCGTACTTATCCCGTTGTCCTGGTCCTCCTTTTACTCGATCCCGTGTTTTTGCCATGTTGGTTGTGTGTAGCCGCCGCGGGCGTGGTGTCGGTACGGTCTACTTGAGAAGGTATATGAATATGACCCTGGCCGGTACATGCGACGGTGCTCTGGGGGGCTCCTGGACTGCGACACACGCACTTACGCTGTATATATTCTTAAACCCCATTTTTTGCCACGTTACATCAAGTAATCATAGGAGAAGAACGGAAAAAATTGAAATAAAATAAAGAGTTACATCTCCTCCAAACGCGAACCCACGTGACCACGCTCTTTTTTTCTTCTTATATCCCAGAGAGCCTTTTCCCACACTACCAACTTTACATATATAATATACATCTCTATCTCGATCTCATGTCAATCTCATGTCAGTCTCACCTCAACAGCAACGACAAAACACCATGACCAATCCATCAGTACCATGTCAACCACCGAAACTCCCTCCCCTCCCACACAACGCCCGCATCCAGAAACGCCCACTCACCCGACCCCAGCAGCCGTCGTCCTCCCGCGCGCCGACAGTGTACATTTCCTCCTCCACGCCATTCATGTCGGCCGTGAAGCGGATTCGGAAGAGGCTGGAGGCCGGACTCCGCACCGGCGCCGCTCCCAAGATGGCCTCCGTGCAGTCCCGTGTCGAGGGGCTGAGGAGGATGATGACGCGTGACGGCGGCGGCGGCAACGGCAAAACTGCCGCGGCGGCTAAGGCGGCCGGTGACAGTGACAGCGAGGGGCCTACCGGCTCCTCGAAGCAGAGGGGCCTCACGACGGTCAAGGTCGTCGGGACCGGACGCGCCGTGGACAAGACGCTGCGTCTGGCTGGTTGGTTCGAGCAGCAGGGTGACTGCGTCGTGCATCTCCGTACGCGGACCGTCGCTACCGTAGACGACGTCATTGTCGATGCCTGTCAAGGGGACGACGACGACGACGAACATCATGCGAGATTACGCAAGATGAGCTGTCTCGAACTCTCCATCAGACTCAGGTGATGGCTCTCTCACCCACGGAAACATGTGCCTCATGTATCGCACCAATTGGTCGAGGCAACAACACTACAGCACCCACGGCAACATACACATCCACGCCCACGCACACACGCGCGGACTGGTACACCGCAATTCTTTGTCATGGACAGTAAGATCATTCACGCAAAAGACGGCATTTGGTTAAGAATCAATTTCTTTTCATTGCTTCGTCAAATCTCCGTCAAACCCCGTCAATACGCCTTGACAAATGCTATATGTACCCGCCAGAAACAAAACCGAGAACAAGGGGAACCCTATTCAAACAAGTAGGAGAAAAAGGGAAACAGTAACGCCGTCGATATGCCAACACGGGACAAAACTCCATACAACCAAATGAGCCGCTCTGCAGATATTTATAAAGTCGTGAATGATATCTGCATAGGGGAAATTAATAAGGAGAAAATGGGTTGGGAGAAGAGAGAAGAAGGAACGAAGGAAATGAGCTTCAGAATGGGAAGATGAGTTCCCGAAATGTAGGTGCCCAAAGGATCGGGTAGAAAATGAATGGAGACGCTTGCAAGCGACAAGGGAAGAAGAGAAAGAAGATTAAGACGGGGGGGAAAAAAGGGGGACGCAAAAGACGCCGAAGGATACGACGAAAATGGTGCGGGCATGCAATGTCACGCCACTTACACCATAGCACCACCACCGCTACTCCACCATCGGAGCGGCACACACCTCAAATCAATGCGCCATCGGAACGAAAACCCGCCTGGAACGGCACACAATTCGTCAATGCACGCTATCGATCAAGGGCGAGATTTGATCATTTGATGTCGATGGTACAGGGCCCGCCCCTCAGGTAACGCGATACGCATCGATGATGAGCTCGTCGTCCTTCCAGACGCCGCTAGCGACCCACAGACCGCAATTGACAATCTCGGCGTAGCGCTTGTCGGCCGTCTTGATGGTCAGGAACATGCGAAAGCCGTACTTGCGCGGGTCAATCTGCTTGGGGTTGCGGGGGCTCAGGAGAGCGTCTAGGATGTCGCAGGGTCCGGAAAGGGAGCCGCGGGTTCGCATTTCGAGGCTGTTGGGGTCAACTTCAGGGACACGCAGTAGAAGGAGCGATGGAGTCGGGAAAATGGAGGGAAAGGGAAGGATGATAAGAGAGAACTCACATTGCCGGTGGTTCATCAGTCGTTTGCATAACAAATGCGCCCTCAACGATGCGAATGGGTCGGAATCCACGTGCTTGACCTAGATCATAACCGCCGGCCTATCAAAACGATCAGAAATGTTGAAGCATTGGAAAGCATGGCAGGGGACCAAAAAAAAACTACTGATATTCATCAGAGAGAGAGAAAGAGAGGATGGGCAACGTACCATGACCTTGCCGTGACCAAATGAGCCCGACCAATTACCGGATGAGATAGCGGTAATCTCCTTGTGGGCACGACCCTGGACCTGGGACGGCTCAGGCTTGAGGGTCACGGCGACGCGGAAGTCGAACTCGAGGGTCGGGGTGGGGAAGGCGACAGCCGGAGAGGGAAAGTGGTCGAGGGCGCGTCTGCACGATTCATCGACGGACCTAAAGATTGGCGCAATGTCAGTTCAGGACTCGAGGCGTATATTGCAATTGGACGTCACACGTGACTGCTCTGTCGGTGGGAACCGAAGCCGAAAGGAGTCCGGAAGGGGTGATGAGGGGCTGAGGAAGGGGTCTGACATACTGTCCTGGCACATCATCATAGTCGCTGGCAGGACCCTTTCGAGGCAGGAAGTCGAAGCTGGGAGCGAGGTTGGTCTCCCAGGAAGGCGCATCCGACTCGGAGCGCACGTTGTCGTCGACGGTGGCGGTGGTGACAGGTTCCGGACGGCAAGACAGGTCAAGGGGTGGAGAGTCGGATGTGGTGTTTGTATCGACGGGAACAGCAGTCGGGAGGAGGGCCGACATCGCGTCCGTGGTCGGAGCAGCTGTCGTAGCAGTTGTGGCTGGTGTCGTGGCAGGAGCTGCTACGGCGGCGGCGGCTTCGGCGTCACAGATACTTGAGGCGACCTCGGCGCGAGCCAGCGCGGTGCAACGCTTCTTACAGGGCGACGGGTTGGACCCGGATGGGTTGGACCCGGAAGACTTGTCAGGCTCGGATGACGATGGCTCCGGAGTCGATGGCTCCGGAGTCGAAGGCTCCGGGCCGAGGTGCAGCAAGTGCAAGGATTGACGTTTACCAAGACATTGGTCCAGCTCGCTGGTGACGACCTTGGTCATGGATGATGAAGTGTACCGTCCAGGCATTGATATTCATCAAGTGTAGAACGGCTGATGGGTCCAAATGTGGTGCGTAGCGTGTGTGGTTGAAATTGTGTATATGTCTGTCTGCGTTGAATGAACGTGGTCGTGAATGTATGTTTTATCGTGTCTTTGTTCTTTTTCCTCGCGTTGTGGTCTCTCTTTCTCGGTATTCCGTTTAGCTTATGAAGCAAGATGGGATGAGTAACTGCAGTAGTAATACGCGGTAATACGTTGTGCGTAAAGAGAAAAGAGAAAAAAAAGGGTATCCGTATTATCAAGCTGCTATTTCCGGTAGGTCGAATCGTTGGCTGTAGCGCTGCATATAATGTGGCGATATGTGTGTATATGTGTGTATATGTATGTATGTGTATGTGTGTGTATGTGTGTGTGCGTGTGTGTGTGTGCGTGTGTGTGTGTGTGAGAGAGAGGGAGAGAGATGAGTAAATCAGGAAGAGGAAAGCAGAAAGAAGGAGAGGAAGGAGGACGGAAAAATGAAGAAGTGGGAAAATGTCATTATATCAGAGAGGGAGGGAAGGAAGGAAGAGAGTCGAGAAGGGGAAAGAGCGAAAGAGCGAGAGGAAGGAACGAACGACTAATGGGAGAAGAGGAAAAAAAAGGAGGGGCGTGGTAATAATAATACGCCACTAGATCAGTTCCCGAGCGCCATTGTCTGCTGTGGTGGCCTGTATGCGTGGAGTGTACGAGTACTGGTAGTATACATGTATTTCAGAGCACCATTACTTCTACGAGTATACTCGTCGTACATTATGATACGAGTAGTACGGGTACTGCGAGTACTAGTAGTAGTGGTAATGGTAGTAGCACGACCCTTGGTCGGGCTGTGTACAAGTAGTCTGCTCCGAGCGTGGACTGATTTGAAATCGGGTTCCCGCTGCGGCCGACACACCACTATGATGTATTAAATAATAAGATACACCATGCCCATGCACCACCGGAGTACACACCGCACACACGCACACACGCACACACGCAACACGCACCCCATTTCTGTGCTGTGCTGTAATACTGTGCATATGCTCTGCGCTACTCTAATTTAGCAAAAAAAAAAAAAATCTGCCTCATACCTGTACATGTCCCCCCCCCCCCCCCGTGCCTCTCTGTTTTCATCGTCATCCAACTGAGCTGTCTTCTGTGCTGTTGTGCGGGGTGGCGATGGCGGCGGCACGGACTTTTACAAGCATCCGTATGAGTACCAAGTATTAGTTCCGCACTACTACTCTTACTTCCTAGTCAATACTAATGAACATCATGGGAGGAAGAGGAAAAGGAGCTCCACTTCTATAAAGAGGGTGGGATGTCCGACGGGCTTCCAGTCGTGGTCTCATGTCTTTCTTGTGTCTTGACATATTTCATCGTCTACCATGTTGCCGAAGCATCGTCGCAGCGATAGCTTCTCTACCCAATGAATCGATGCCTATCCCTCGGGTTTAAACCCCAGGGTTGGGCGAGAAACGAAATGAACAGGGGTGGGGGGCAGACCATCGGTGTTCGGGCATGGAACTGCGAGGCACGCTTACGGTTCACCATCCCCCGAGGACTTTAGCATGACCGAATGGTCTACGAGCCATGGAGTACAGGCTGCCGAAGGCCTCAGGACACTTGCTCTTCACGCCTGGTTATCGCTGTCTCTACGCCGCAATACGCACCCGGTACGGGACACACATGCTATAACTCACCACGCCGTATTACCGTCATGTCATTAGTGTCGTCGCCATACTGCAGACATGATGCTACCCGATCAGGAAAAACGGGGGGGGGGGGGGGGGGGGGGTGAGAGAACGTACGACTTATGCTCTTTACCGTCTTTTTACTGATCTGTTGGACTAGTATTAGTGCCGAGTTGAAGGCAAGAGATTCCCCATTATCAATTACCAATTACACGTACAACTGCTGGTACAGGGTCCTAGTATATACTATACGTACGATTAGCTTGTCTAAACCATTCTCGGTACCGACCTCGGGATTTGCGGAATACGTATATATGTCCGGGATTCGTTTCGACGTTCCCCTTACATACTCATCTTGTTGCTTGATTTCCCCTTCCAACAGTCCATTCTCTTGCTTGATAGACAGGCGAGACTGGCCTGTACCGATAGCATCTACTAAGACACGGGAGCCCTCTTCTTCTTTATAAAAAAAAAATTAAAATGTAAAAATGTAAAAATGTAAAAACGCCTCATGTATTCCATCACTGTACTCCACAGGCCTTTTCCCTTCCGACATGTAGACCTCCCTTCCGCCTCGATTCCGCTCTATCCAGAATTCTTAACTCCGGCCAGGGCGGGACATAGAATATGCCGTCTGATTCTGCCGATACCAGAAGAAAGGGAACAGACACCCCAGCAGCACGCCAACAACACCTTAATAATCACCTCCCATGGGCCATCTATCATCCCGGGCCCGAAAGGTCCGTCGTATGCACTTTCGTATTCGGATCGTACTACTGCTAGGTCCTGAGAGTACACACATATCGTGACATTTAAAAATGTTTCTTTTTAGAAATGTTCTTTGTCAGACGACCAACCCAATCACGTCTTAAGGGATGATGTGGGTTTCCAAGCTAATACCACTTCACTACTCGTACATGTCAGTATCAAACATATTGACTTTATCTACGTGTACAGCTACACCGTACGACGCATTCGGTGTTTTTTTATCTCCCCCCAGACTCCATGCGATAAGCCGCACAGCGGAGCTGATAGATACCCGATCGAAAAACATTTGTTAAAAAAGTGTGTGTGCAAAGGTTAAGAAACGACACATATATAACAAAATTGAGAAATGTATGTGAGCTACATATATGTTCCTTTTTTTGTATGTAAGTTCTGTTTCCTACCCTTTATGCGTCTCTATTCCCCCTTCCCTTCCCATATCCCGAATCTTGCCATAGAAGTCGCACCAATCCAAAAATTTCGTCTCCAATTGATCTCAACAGAGATCTCAAAAAAAGAAGGTATGAAGAAGAGAAGAAGAAAAGTATGGCAGGAGATATGTAAAAGAAGAAGAAGAAGAAGAAAATGTCCAAGATCAACCAGCGGGATATGCAGAGGGTTGAGTCAGATGAAGAGAGAAACAAGGGGGAAAGGGAAGGGGGGGGGGGGAGAGCGGAGAAATGTGTGCAAGGTCTCTCTGTCTCTCTTCTTAGACGGAGACAGTAGCAGCACCCAGAGGCTCGAGGACATTCTTGCCATACTCTCCACCGTAGTTTCCGGGAGGGTTGTAGTTGCAGACGGTGTACCAGGCGTCGTAGGACAGGACGGTGCCGGCGGCGCACTTAGCCGTGTAGCAGCCGACCTTTGTGGAAGACTTCCAGACGACCTGCGTGAAGTGGCCCCAGTCCTCGAGGTTGGCGCCGGAGGGGGGGTCGGCCAGGCCGTAGAAGGACCACGAGTTGACCTCGCCGTTGTACCACTGGTCGGTGACGGCGCTCCTGGCAGAGTTGACCATGGCCGAGTCGATGTCGCCGGTGGAGCCGTACGTGGCCAGGTTCTGGCCGTAGTTGCCGTCGCCCTGGCTCATGTCGTGGGCGAAGACGCACGTCTCGGCCGTATTCTGGGCCCACGAGGCCAGGTCAGAGTCCCAGGTCAGGTCGGGCGACGAGTGGTTGGCGCGGTGGTAGTTGTGCTGCTTCACCATGGTGCCGGCGTAGGAGCTGAGCGTGTTGGACGGGGCGGCGGCCGACGACGTCGTCGACGAGGGCGCGACGATGGGGTTGAGCACGGCTTCGGCAGACGTCGACGTGCTGGCAGACGTGGTCTCGGGAGAGATGGACGTGGTCACGACCGTGGGCTCGATCTCGGACGACCAGGTAGAGGACCAGGCCGAGGACCAGGTCGTGACGATGGTGATGGCGCTGGGGGCGGGGACGGCGGGGACGGGAGCCGCCGTCGTCTCCTCCTTCTCGGTAGACGTCGTCGAAGACGCGGCGATGACGGTGCTGGTCGTGGTGGGCTTCTCGGCAACGTTGACAGTCGCGGACGCGGCGGCAACCACCTGACCTTCGGTAACGGTGACGGTGACGGTCTCCCAGACCCATTCGGTCTCCAAGGCACGCTTGTCAATGGGACCGGCCATGGCGGCGATAGCGCCGGCGGCAGCGAGGAAGGCGGACGTCTTCATATTCGCTCTCTTCTCCTTTTACTTTCTTGTCGGCGACAAAGGTGAACGATGAGAGGGGATGTCTGAGAGGGAGGGTTTGATGGACCTGAGATGCAAAGAGAAATCCGGACCGTCTGTTGTTATAGATATACCAAGTTAGTATGGCGTGCCATGTTGTAACAAAGGAGTTGCTATGCCCAGGAGAGCCTCAACCTGCCCTTCCCGCTTGGGCAAGGTTGGTGAATTCGATGGAGAGGCTTGATGTCTAGAATGGGATGGATCCTCCAACGGCGTTCCTCTCGCTCCTCTGGCTTCCTTGGCTTCCATCGGGTAGTGTGCCCCTTCATGGAATGTCGGTTGTGGAGCGAAATATTCCGCGCCGTTTCAGGAGTCAACGACACCAACGTCACTCTGTTTTGGCCTAGAACAGGATCCCCAGGTGTACAGCCGAGACATTTTTCCCTCTTCCGGTGTCGCGGGGAGAGCGATGATGGTGAAAACCAGAGGGCAGGATCGAATGAAGCAGAAAAAGGCAGACAGACAAGGCACGTACCGTATACGTAGGGTTCGTACGTTGTAGATGATTTTTTTTTCTTTACCGATGAACCTACCAGCTCTGCTAAGGTCCTATGTGTGTCTGTATCGAGTCCTTCGAGGAACGGTGGGCCAGAGTTTTTGCAAAGGAGTGTTTCTTTAAAAGAGTGGTGGTTGACCGCCAGCGGGGAGAGTAGTCGTCGACGTTTCTGACCCGAAAGAGGAACAGTTGTTTGAGGATGAATATATATATATATATATATATGGGAAGAGTCGAATTGTTTTCTTAAAGTAAAAAAAAAGGAGTGTGGTGTATGCCGTTAATGTTGAAACGGACAGAAAAGAAATGGTGGGGGTTCAAAGGAGTGACGAGAAAAAGAGAGAGGACAAGATCTGACGAGAACTGAGGCTCAGTCGGATGGCAAAGTGTACAGAGAAGAGGAAAAGCGACGGAGGTGGACGAGGGAAGGGACAGGGCATACTCAGGTACATATTCTAGATGGAGTCAATGGGTCCCTCTCAGCCCAAGAACCCAGGCAGCCGGCGGGGGGGGGGAGCCTTGGGTCCGGCGGTCCTGCCTGGCCATAGTCAGTCATGGTCTTTCGGTTCTGCAAGTTACGGAGTAGGTAAATGAAGAGGGATCATGGTTGATGTGTGAGGTCAAAGGGTGGGGATTTCAGCGGGGTCCTGGGGACCAGGGGAGGGGGGGCACGGACAAGAAGGGGTCTTGGAGGGTTGTGACTCGTGAGAGGGTTTGTGAGAGGTCGGCGCCAACGCAGGTACAGATGATCTGCCCGGTCAGTAGGATACATTATACTGCGACCTGGGATTACGAGTAATGTTACGTCGTGTCCTTTCTCCCTTTCCCTTTCTCTCTTTGCCCCTGCCTGCCCTGATCACTGTCTGGGGGGGGGTAACCCATGATCCATGACCGCAATGTTCCGGGCTGGGATGACGATGCTTCCTGGAAATGTCGGGTGCTTTTATGCGCTGTGCGCTGCGCGCTGTAAGAGTACGAGTAGGGGAGCTGCCCTACTATTCTATTCTGTGCGACGGTGCCATCATCGCCGGGTCGAGTATCGGTACCTGTAATACTTGCAACGGTAGCGCCTACTGCGCTGTACCGCTGTGGGACAGTATCATCTTCATCACCACAACCAACCACAACGGGCCACCTCGCGTCCGACCATGGACTAGATGATTACTGAATCGCATCGTGGGAAAAGAAAAAATTCAAACAAAACGAAACAAGCATGACTCCCAAGTGTTCCGTAGCGTCTTGACCAGCAAAGCTGCGCAGTACATTGGTGCTGGCATCAATACCCGTACTGCCCTGTACTGCTACCTGTACATGCATGTACCTGCACTACCTCAGTACGGCAATACAGTGCAACCTACGCAACCAACGACCCTCCCCTAGCGCCCCCCATCTCTCATCCTCAAACATCCCCCCCTCTACGCCTCTGTTACAGATCTGCCCTGTTAATTCCTCCAAGCGCTACGTGCATAGTCTACGTCGGTCTACGCCGTTGGTCTGTGTTCATCTCGATCCCGTTTCTGTTTCTCTCGCTTGTCTTCCTTTCTTTCAGTTCTTCATAGTCTATCCCTCTTCTCCCTCTCTTTCTCTTCTCTCATCTCCGAACCTCTATTCTGCTCGGTGTACTCGTAATGCTCTGTACGGGCTGTACCTCTGCATACACGTGTGCTAATCGTCAGTGGGGGGCCCACAGAGATCTTCAACACCAGCACGGCACTCCGGCACTTGGTCGCCTTGTGATGACGTTGCAGTGTACGGCTGTTGTGCTGTAATTAACTTCATTTCCCCTTCTGTATCTCGCACACGCAAAGCCAGACACACACACAATCTCTCTCTTTCTCTCTCTCTCTCTCTCTTCGTCTCCTTCTCCTTCTCCTTCTCTCTGTCTTATCCCTTTCTGACAAGTCCACTTCCAGCTATTCCTTCGTGTTGTAATAATATGGTAAATCTTCCGATTTATGCCGCAAACACATATTGATTAGGGACCAGGGGACTGGGTCAAGCATCATTCCACGTCTGCTGCCTTGGCATTTCCTTCTCGGCCAGGTACTCCGTAATCCGTACAGTTTACATGTATCGGTATCAGAATTTATACTCAAGATCCCGTGATGACTAAGTACCTGTACGGAGCGATACAGGCTGTAATATAACGTACTCGTACTTACCCCTAGCCCTTAGTATCGTACGTATCATATATGTTTACCCCTGGGTTCCCCCCTCCCGCTGTAGCCAACCGTAGGCCAGAGTCTCCATCAAACAAGCTCCCGCCAACTTTTGGGGATTCTGTACCTTGGTCCTTGGCTTGGCTTGGCTTGAAACGTGCCGTTTCGCGCCGTCGTCGTTGTCTCTGGTATGGTGTATGACAGCTGTGCTGGCAAAGCCTAGGGATTATTATTTGCCCGTACCATCGCGTGGTATGACTCTGAGTAGTACTCCGTATCGTGATTAACTTGATATTACTACTCCGTAGTACGGAGTATACTCGTAATAATTCTGGATCGAAACGGTCCCTTCTTGAGCAATCTTGGAACGATCGGGACCTCTTGTTCTAACCTACCGCCATCCGTCAGTGACAGCCTCTGTCGTAATGTGTTGGAACCCCCCCCCCCCCCCCCCCCCCCCCCCCCCCCATACTCCCCTCTCCGACTCACAGTATCTGCTTGTCCCGTTGTTCCGTGAACCGCAGCGTAAATTTTGACCTGGAATCCGGGCATCTGGAAGCCACGCTCTGCNCCCTCCTCTCTCCCTCTCTCTCTCTCTCTCTCTCTCTCTCACACACACACACACACACACTCCCTCTCCCTCATTTTTCTCTCTCCTCAGCAAGATCTATCGGATAAAATGCTCTCCCCTTCAATTCCGACATGGTCAGACATAATCTAACTCTAATTGTAATCACTGATCTATATACGTTCTTGTTCGCTTCCCCACGTATTCGAGCCGTATCACTCGCGCCACCAACGTTTGCTTCACTAGCGAATAATTGCAAGACAGGATGATGCTCCAGGCGGCCTTGTTACTTTCTACCTCACGGAATAGGCCGAACTGCTCTATGGATCTTGGTAAACGAGCCGTCATCCCCGCCGCCACGCGGTTTGACATTATTGCGTAGAGGGTGGGATGAGAACCCGATGGATGAAACGCTCTATGCGTGTATGTGCTTGTTTTCTTGCCTCCCCTCCTTGCCTCGTCATAATATAACAATGTATCACTGTGGTATTCAGACAGTTGGGAATATCAAGCCTCTAATTCTAATACCGTCACTTTTCTCTCCTTTCCATAGTGATGCTCACTAGCAGTATTGAGTCGGCGCCGGGCCATGGAAAGTCGGCGATACGTCATCATGGTGTACTTGTAGGATGATATCAACCCACAAGGCTCAGTGCATGTCATGGAACAGACAATTCTCTAGATGAGGAGAGGAATCGTTCGAGCTACGATACAGTGCATGAATGGAGGACGGCTCCCAATCGTACCCCAGCTTGGTGGATGGAATCTATCCCCGTAACGACCGAGAGCGAGGTGAAACATAATCCGTCGGGATGCGAGTACGTTTCCCGCAAACGTCTTGCCGAACTTTCTCGAGGGCTGGCCAAAGCGGGGGGGCAGATACGAGGCATCAGTGGCCGTTGCCCTTCGGTCCGTCAATCTCGAAGCTTTCCCGGACCACGCGGAGGTGCTGCTTGCCGGGATACCCTGACGCGTAGACGGACTTGATGTGCTGGCATCTCGAGTTCGTAATACCGCACATGAACGAACCAGTACATGTACGAGTTACGTGTACATGTACGAGTTAGAAGCTCGGTTAAAAGCTCGTAGTGATACTGACTACCACCTAAAAAAACTCGTCATGCATATATTGATTGGTATCAACTTGGCCCCCTTGGTGATTTCCTTCCATCTCATTAACAGCGTGACCCGTGCAATTACTGTTAATTACACTGCATGCTCGTGTTCCCTCTGGTCTGGTCCACTCCTCCGGTCCAGACGGGCCTCTAGCGAACGATGGCATGTCAGGGAGATGATATGAACAATGATCTAGCGTCGAATATGTTTTTATTCTCACTCACATGTTAAAGGGGGGGGGGGATGAAGGTCCCTCCGAAGAGCCATGGCAGCCATGAGTCTACAAAGAGGCACCGCGAGATATGCATGTCCGTTGTTGGGGTAATATCAAGCTGGGCTACGTGTATTCTCCTCATCGAGACACATGGCTTCATCACAGGCCATCTCCTAAGAATGTTCGCGGATCTATTCCTCTATCTCTTCTCCTTCTTCTTTTTCTCTCCTTCGCTTTTTCGGAGCAGAGTCGAGATAGATACCTTTTCCTCCTACCGCCAATATCAATCCGAGGCCAATGTCAAGCCAACTTCGAACAGGCATGATAGCACGTCGTCGTGAGGGAGAGGGCAAGATGGGTGACACGACAACGCAGCATCAGTCCACGACTCCAATACTCCCAACCGTGTGCTTCCAGCGCAGAAGTCAGGGAAAACACTTCCGTCTGCTGTCTCTCTCGAAAGCAAGCAAAACAGTCCGGGTCGGAAGATTCCGCTGCCTCTTCATCCCCCCTTCCCCTTCCCACCTTCTCACATCACCCCTGATAGTCTGCATGGAGCTCCACGGCATAGGCCATGTCGATAGAAGCCATGAGCCACGTAGACCGGCATGAGCAGTAGACTCTTTAGTAACATTTTTTTTTCTGTCTACCTCAACTGTAACACGCATCATTAAAAGGCAAGAAACACCCCCAGGATACACACTCGAGGAGTTTCGGTCAACGGTCCGGAGCATCTCAATGTACGTCACCCCTCACGTTCCTTATTTCCTCCTCGACCCCGCGCGCCCGCATCTTGCATCGAGAGAAGGACACTGTGCTCTCTGCACCCGTTTCTTATTGCTTGGCCTCTTCCTGGCCAGCGATAAAGGGCTTGCCCTCAATGGAGCGGAACTTGCGGTCCGCCATGATTTGCTGGGGCCTGAGCTGGACGGGAGTGACGTTGGTGGGTTGGTCAGGGATGGTTTTCTCGAGTTTCTAAGGAGTGTCAGTCTCCTTTCCCCATCTACCTCCTCTCGGTGTCTTCTACGTCTCCCCATCCGATCCACCTCTTTTCCCTGCCTTGTCTCTGTATTGTAGTGGAAATGAAGGTGAGAAGCACATACCAGATTGTCAAAAGCGCACTTGTTAAGCTTCCACTCGAACGGACGACACTGCCAGAGCTGGTGGTTGTGGTTGTCTAGACACTTCCAGTGATTGCGGAACTGCTCGAGACACTGGGTGTTGAGGTCGTCGATTCTGCAAACGTTGTGCGACAGCTTTCCGTCAGTTTCAACTTTTTTTCTTTCTCAATCTTCATTCTGAATCCTGGCCTCCTTCCTTCTTTCCCTTCATCTTGCTCCAAAACAGGAAGAGAGACCAGGGGAGAAGGGTGACAGCCGATGAGGGAAAGAGGTGATCAACATACACACTCGACGCGCAGCGGGTCACACGACGACCCTCCTTGAGGCAGTCGAACTCTCCCCGTCCAGGGTTCTCCGTCTTGCACTGCATGTAATCATCGTTGTAATCGCGGCATCGGGCACCGATGAAGAACGAGGCCGAGAGAAGGGGGGCCGAGCTGGCGCCGACTTCCTTGACCGAGGGGACGTTGTCGGGTAGGGGAGTCGTGTCGATGAGCTTCGACTGGTCGAAGCTATGGTACAAAAAGCTAGTCAGTTTTATGGTGTCTTTTTTTTTTTTCTCTTCCTCTTCTTTTCCTCTGCGCGCTTGCTTTGCAATTCGGATGATTGCGGGTCGTGGCGATGGCATGTCGCGAGAGAGAGTGTGTGTGTGTCATGAGGAGGAAGGGGTGGAGGAAGAGGCATCATGGGTGATAGATGACATACTTGGGCCTTCGTGTCGTCATGATGCTTTTCGGCTCTTTTTCTATTGAATGGGTAAGAGAGAGTAGATGTGCGGAGGTTGGTGTTCCAAGGTTGTTTAATCTGCGGACTCTCTCGGCTAACGAGGAGTCAAGTCTGGGGATCGAGGTGAGGCACCTGGGGTCATGTTGGAATTGGAAGAACCTTATTGGTCGGAAGGTCTGTGGAGCGTGGGCGTAGTGTCGCTCCCCCCAAGGCAGGCCACTTTGTCCCTCCGCTCGAGTCTGGGGGTGGTCCGGGTGGGTTTCTGGAGTAGTTGTCGACTTTACAGGTAGGAGGAGTATACTAGGAGATAGAATCCGTTTTTTTTTTTCTTTTCCTTTCCATTTTCAATTCCCAGCAATTCTCAGTAGTGGAGGGATTAGATCTTCCAAGTGAAGTGACTACGAGTATTGTCTGACTGAAGCGCTCCGCTACCTATGTACAGAATGACCAGAGGCACCTAATCCGTCATGTCCATCAGAAAATCAGCTGTACTGTTAGCACCTGAAGCATTGTACGGATAATATGTGCAAGTTGAAGAATCACCAGTGCAGTGCAGTACAGTGATGGATGAAAAGCATCCTACATTCATACAACTCTCAAGGAGAGAAGAAGAGGAACAAGTCGTATACAAGCTTCCTACACATATAGTCTCATGCAACATCAAGCTACTCGTCACATCAACAGATTATTGTAATACATATTCGCCCATCCTCTCCAAACGATTGAACCTAAGAATGAATGACTAAGCAGCCGGAGACTTGCTTGTACCTGTATTAGGTAAGCCGGACTTGACAGTAAAACTTCACACCACATAACACCTGGCCTACCTTGAACGTACGTCAGCAGTGTTTGTGGTGTGCGTTCTCACAAATCTCCTCTCATTCAACTCTACCCAGATACCTTCCCATCGTTTAACGTCTTCTTCCTGCATGCCTCGATTCCTCGCCCGTGGTCTTGCTCGTGTCGACTTTGACGTCTACATGGTCAAACTCGACACTGTCCTTGTCACATCCCAATACAAGGATAGCTCTGCTGCCCAACAAGACGGCGCAAAGAGTATGACACCGACGAAGTCGTGCTGAGACCGTAAAGGCACCTGGCGCGGAAGAAGAAGGTAGAGAGGCTAGCAGTGATAGAGAAGGCCAAGGGAATGTAGATATCAGTGCTAGAGGAAATTATGGCGAAGATGGCTAACCGGGCTACCGGTCACGTGGAGGAGGGGAGCAGTGTAGCACCTGAGAATGCATGATTTAAGTAGCCAGAGGCTACTGCCACACTTGCATCTATAAATAGTCTTATAGATACTCCGTAGATTTGCTTCCTTCAAGAAGTAAGTATTCAGACACACGCACATCGATCCAGGACGTACTAGTAAGTGATTTTCTGTTCTGCATAGAAAGTCCATCCCCTCGTCGTCTATCGTCCCTCACATGTCATCAGCAGGAAGCACAAAACGTTAGGTGTAGGGTGAATAGATATCAGCATCAAAAGTATCCCCAAGGTACTGCTTCACTGAGAATCTACATACAAGGCACCAGGCTAGTACAAAGTACGAGTACGCGTCCCATGGCGGTGGGCCAGCTCTTTTGGACGCCTTTCTTTTCTTCGGCTTGCTTGTTTTCGCGTTTCCATAGCTCCATCCTTTTTTTTTCTTCTGCTACTATTGGCGAAGTCATCTCAACACAGCAAACCCCAACGACCTGCATCTTGCGACGACGAATTGATCATAGAGGATACTCACCTCACCTCTGAAATCCCGCCCTCCCCAACCCTACCAGCATCGCCGAACCTGCCCATTCCTCGTCCGACGTCCGAGCTCAGTAGACAACAAGACCTACTACCACCGACCCTTGGGGGGCTAGCAACGAACGACCTCTTGATCTTTCCTCTTCTCCCGTCAAACCTCCAGACAGAAAAAAAAACAAAAACAACTCCACAACAACAACGACGACAACAATGTCTCTCTTTGGGCAGTCAAAGCCCTTAGGAGGCAATCTGTTCGGGGCAGCACAGACATCCTCCCAGCCTCAACAGCAGCAAGGAGGCTCCGGTCTGTTCGGACAATCTACCCAGCAGCCTCTACAGCAGCAGCAGCAGCAGCAGCAGCAGCAGCAGCAGCAGCAACCACAGATGGGTGCATCGTTCATGACGCAGACCCAGCCTACACAGCAGATGCCCGCTCTTTCTCAGTCTCAAGCCCAGCTCTCCAGCTCTCTATGGTCACCTGGAAAGGAGACGCCTCGTATGTTCTCCCGGCCTCGCTCCCCTCTGCGCTCTGCTTTGCCTAACCTCTGATGAAATGCCAGACCAGAAACCGATACTGGACCAGGTCAAGCTCGTGACGGAGAAGTGGGACCCCGCCAACCCCAACTGCGCCTTCAAGCACTACTTCTACAACAAGGTGGACGAGTCGCACATCCCCTTCTACAAGCCGTCGGCGCACGAGGACCCGCGCGAGTGGGAGGAGGCCCTCCAGAACAAGCCGGCGCCGGGCTTCATGCCGGTGCTCTGCTCAGGCTACGAGTCGCTGGCCGACCGGCTAAAGACGCAGATGCGCGCCATCTCCGAGTTCAACACGCGCCTGCACCAGGTCAACGGCAGCCTCGACGCCATCCTGCAGCGCCACGAGCTCGAGACCGAGGTACGCGCCCTCGCCGCCCGGAGGCGCGCCACCGCCCTGTCCGAGCGCTGCCTCTCGCTCGCCGCCCGCGTGCAGGTCCTCCGCAACAGGGGCTACGCCCTCTCCGGCGACGAGGACGACCTCTCCGGCAGGCTGCTCGGACTCGAGAGGGAGGCCCAGGACCCCGCCGTCGGCGCCAGGGAGGAGGAGCTCTGGAGCCGGCTCATCGTCCTGCGCGAGTACGCCGACCGCCTCAACAGGGAGAAGGACCGCCCCGCCGGTCAGGGCTCCGAGGGCCTGGACCCGGATACGGAGGCCAAGGCTAAAAAGGTTGGGCAACCCCCTCCCGTTTCCTCTCTTCCTCCTCTTCTACATCGTGCCTCTATGCTGACTTTCCTCTCACCAGGTTCTCGAAGATTATCAGAAGCAGCTGCTGCACCTCAAGAAGGAGGTCGAGCTTCTCGGAGACGACTATGCTCAGTGGGAAAGGGCCAGAGCCGCCCAGAGGTGATTGAGGCACGGGGTTATCAGGAGCGTGTACTTGGATGTAAACTATGCCTGGGGCGGTTCCCTTTTATCATTATTATCTGATATATGCTCTTTCTTCGCGCTCCTGTTTTCCGGCTGCATGGACATCATTTACGGGAAAGGGAACATGGGCTTTGTCGAGGGCATATGACAGAAGTGTGTTTCTCTGCAGGGGCGAACAAACATAGACATTCGGCACGTTTCACCTACCAAGTCCAAGATACTCCATATCGGACATGGCAGCGCATCTGACTCGTAGCCTTGTTCTTGTCTGAACAGACAGCCGCGGTCCTCCAATTCAGGTTGCTAGCTGCATTGTGACCCGCAAGTGATATTCTATCATACACGGAGCGTCTGGCTCCGGATATGTCTTGGTTGTTCGTGGTACAGTATTAAGAAGTACAGGTGATTTTCCATTTCCGTTGTTGTTTTGTTGTTCGACATTGTAAAACTTTCCGTTAAAGGGGTTTCGTCCGTCATTCGAGGCAGCAGGTATAGCTTCTTAGAAGATCTTGCTGACTAGGTCGATGGCAAAGGGAGCTGAAGGAGGGAAGGGAAGTATGTCAGCCAAGATGGAAGCTCGTGGCGCCGAAAAAAAAGGGGGGGGGGGGAAGGGGGGGAAGGAGTCGTGAAGAACAACTCACAGAGGTACAGCATAAAGGCTGTGGCGGCGACCTGCTGGATGGTAAAGGCAGCCTCGGCCTCGAGGGCGCGAATCTCCTGAGGAGACTGCTGGGGGGGCGCGACTGTCAAGGGTTTTTTCGTCAGCATCAAGAGGTCGCACATCGAGGGGGAAGAAGCGCGTCTGGACGGAAATCAAGATGGAAGCTTCATCCATAACTCACATCCTCCGAACATGTTGGGCGATCGAGAAGGGGTGGAGAAGGGGGTTAGTTGGGTGGGGGAGGTTGAGGTGAAGATGTGGTGATTTTTTCGGGTATGGTGTTTTGGTAGATTCGAGTTTCTCTCAGAGCGTTGTCGTCACAAAAGAGGCTCGGACAGAGGAAAACGTGGTACGTACCTGTGAGCAAAAGGGAGCGGAGATGGAAAAACTGATCGGAATGACGCGGGTGCAAGTTGTGGTGCGCTCATGTGGATTACATAATACGCTCTTATATTCTTACGTACGAGTACAGATTATATGAATCACTGTCGAGTACCGGTACGGGGTAGCACGGAGCAGCACGGAGTACGGAGAGTACTTACGGCTTACCTACATTGACAGAACAATCGCACAGATATTGACCCCCGTGCAGGAGAATGGAGTCGGTGGAGGACCCAGGCACATGACCGGATAGGAACGGGACCACACTCCGTATTCCATTCTCCGTATCCGCATTGGAGAGTGGGTGGATACTATATGCCAGTACACATGGTGATACTGTGTACAGATTACACACCTGAATACTCGTAGCATCGGCAGAGGGTTTTGCCTTCGGCTGCTAGGCTGCTGGCTAGAGCTGCTAGCAAGACTGTCAGTCGAGCTGCTAGCAAGACTGCTAGGAATATAGATCAATGACATGTAGTCGACCAAAGTAAGATGGGTCGTGAACTAGAGAGACGGACGATAATACTATCCACACTAGTAATGGTGATGATGATTGATGTGCTGACGGAGCCCGGATTCGTCACTATCAGGACAATACGAAGACGACTGATACTGGTAGCTACAGATACTATTAGTTAGTACGTATAGGTAAGTGTAGCCCCCCGTACTGTGCAATCGCAACGATAAATACATGAATAGATATCCCGTACCGTCGGCTCGGTAGCCGTCCGATAAGATTATCGCTTTTAGTTAGTGGCGTGAGTTTCTCACCGACGTGACAATGTCCAGGGTCCATTCCTTCTTGTCCCTCCAGGTCTTGTCCCTCCAGGTCCTCCTTTGCTTCCGATAAGGTACGTACCCTGACGTCTCTCTGCTCTGGGAAAAAAAAAAGAAGAAAAAAAAAAGAAGAAAAAAAAAAAAAAAGTGCACATGTATTCACCGACCGAAACCGCTACGGATAGTAGCCGAACAGTAGAACTCTCGGCTTGCTGTACCGCACTGCCGTCAAACCACCTTCCCCCCCTCCTTCTTCCTTTCTTCTCTCCTTCTTTTCCCGTCCCTCACTCCTCCTCCACCTCCTCTACGCCGAACCTTCCTCGTATGTAGATATTGGCCGTGGGAAGCTTGTTCTGCTTGACTGTCTTCTCACCCTTCTCGTGTGTGCAATTGCGTGGGCACGCACCGAGTCAATTGGCCTATACTGCTTCTTTTATCTTATTTTGTTCTGTTCTCTTCCATCTTTCCCGAATCGAACACAACGCAAGAGAGAGAGAGAGGAGGCACGCACGAAGAAGAAAGAAAAAAAAGAAAAGAACAATGGCTTCTCGATTGGCCAGCGTCCGAGGTCTCGCCCTCTCGTCGACATCATCGGTGACTCTGGGTGCCCGTGTAGGACGCTCGGCTGCTGCCGCTTCTGCTGTCGCCCGCGCACCCGTCGTCTCGCTGGTGAGCCGTCGTCATGTCCACGACGAGGCTGGTGGCAGCACGCCCGACCCTAGGGTCAAGGTGTACTGCGACGAGATGCGTGATATCCTCTTCAAGAACACTCCGCCCTGGGTCGACTTCCACACCAGGCACATCGGCCCCCGCGACAGCGACGTGGAGGAGATGCTCCGCGTCGTCGGTGCCGGCAGCGGGCTCGACGACCTCGTGGCCCAGGTGGTCCCCAAGGACGTCATCCAGCCCCCCACCGAGCGCATCGCCAGGGAGTCGTTCATGAGCGAGGAGCGTCTGCTGCCCGCTTTCACCTACCTGGTCGAGAAGAACAAGAAGATGGACTGGATGATTGGCCAGGGCTACTACCCCGTCCACACGCCCGCCGTCATCAAGCGCAACATCCTCGAGAGCCCGGCCTGGTACACCAGCTACACGCCCTACCAGGCCGAGATCAGCCAGGGTCGTCTGCAGTCGCTGCTCAACTACCAGACCATGGTCTCCGACCTGACCGGCCTGCCCGTCGCCAACGCCAGTCTGCTCGACGAGGGCACCGCCGGTGCCGAGGCCATGCTCATGTCCTACAACACCTTGCCCGGCTCGCGCCAGAAGAGGAAGGACAAGACGTATATTGTCTCCGACAAGGTCAACCCCACCACCGTTGGCGTCCTCGAGCACCGCGCCCAGGGCTTCGGCATCACCGTCAAGCAGATGGACCTGTCCTCCCCCGACGCCCCCGGCAAGCTCAAGGAGCTCGGTCAGGACCTCGTCGGTGCCATGGTCCAGTACCCCGACACCGACGGCAACGTCGACAACTTCCGCCCAATCGCCGACGCCGTCCACGAGCTCGGCGCCCAGCTCAGCGCCGCCACCGACCTGTCGGCCCTGACCATCCTCACCCCGCCCGGCGAGTGGGGCGCCGACATCGCCTTTGGCAACTCGCAGCGGTTCGGTGTCCCCCTCGGTGGTGGCGGCCCCCACGCCGCCTTCTTCGCCACCAAGGAGGCCAACAAGCGCAGGATCCCCGGTCGCCTGGTCGGCGTCACCAAGGACCGTCTGGGCCGCCCCGCCCTCCGTCTGGCCCTCCAGACGCGTGAGCAGCACATCCGCCGCGAGAAGGCCACCAGCAACGTCTGCACCGCCCAGGCGCTCCTGGCCAACATGGCCGCCATGTACGCCATCTACCACGGCCCCGCCCAGCTCCGCGCCAAGGCCCTCGAGAACCTCCGCGGCGCCCGCATGATCCAGAAGGCTGCCCTGTACTTTGGATACAAGGCTCCCGGATCGCCCCTGCAGCCCGAAGGCCTCGTCCTGTCCGATACCGTCACCCTCCAGGGTCTCGACGAGGCCCGCCGCCTGGCCCTCCTCAGCGACCTGAACTCGAGGGGCGTGGGCGTCAACTCCACAGAGAGGGGGACCATCTCCTTCTCCGTGTCGGAGAACCTGACCCCCGCCCTGTACAGGCGCATCGTCGGCTCCCTCCGGGCCCACGCCCCCAAGAACGAGAGCGCCTACTACCTGCAGACGGCCAAGAACTTCTGGCAGGAGGGCTACGCGCAGACGTCCGACGAGCTCCGCCGCTCCATCCCCGCCGAGGTCAAGCGCGAGTCCGAATACCTGACGCACCCGGTCTTCAACACGTATCACAGCGAGACGGAGATGCTCCGCTACATCCACCACCTGCAGTCCAAGGACCTGTCGCAGGTGCACTCGATGATCCCGCTCGGCTCGTGCACCATGAAGCTCAACGGCACCAGCCAGCTGGAGCTCATCACGGTCGACAAGAACGCCAACATGCACCCCCTGGCCGGCGACGCCTTCACCGAGGGCTACGCCGACGTCATCGCCTCTCTGTGCCAGCAGCTGTCGAGCCTCACCGGCATGGACGCCACGTCGATCCAGCCCAACTCCGGCGCCCAGGGCGAGTACGCCGGACTGCGCGTCATCCGCAAGTACCACGAGACGCGGGGCGACACGCAGCGCGACATCTGCCTGATCCCCGTCTCGGCCCACGGCACCAACCCCGCCTCGGCCGCCATGGCCGGCATGCGCACCGTCCCCATCAAGTGCATCGCCGACACGGGCAACCTCGACATCGAGGACCTCAAAGAGAAGTGCGCCAAGTACGCCGACCAGCTGGGCGCCATCATGATCACCTACCCGTCGACCTACGGCATCTTCGAGCCGGGCGTGCGCGAAGTATGCGACATCGTCCACCAGCACGGCGGCCAGGTCTACATGGACGGCGCCAACATGAACGCGCAGATCGGCCTCACCTCGCCCGGCGGCCTGGGCGCCGACGTCTGCCACCTGAACCTGCACAAGACGTTCTGCATCCCCCACGGCGGCGGCGGCCCGGGCGTCGGCCCCATCGCGGTCAAGAGCCATCTCCAGCCGATGCTGCAGGAGGCGACGCGGTACGTGACGAGCGCTAAGTTCGGCAGCGCCAGCATCCTGCCCATCAGCTGGGCGTACATCCGCCTGATGCGCGACGAGGGGCTCCTCAAGGCCACCAAGACGGCGCTCCTCAACGCCAACTACCTCCTCGCCCGCCTCAAGGACCACTACACGGTGGCCTACACCAACGCCCAGGGTCGGTGCGCCCACGAGTTCATCATCGACGCCCGGCCCTTTGGCAAGACGGCCGGCATCGAGGTGGCTGACATCGCCAAGCGACTCCAGGACTACGGCTTCCACTCGCCCACCATGAGCTGGCCCGTCCCGGGCACGCTGATGATCGAGCCCACCGAGTCTGAGAGCAAGGAGGAGCTCGACCGCTTCGCCGACGCCCTCATCAGCATCCGCCAAGAGATCCGCGAGATTGAGGAGGGCAAGCAGCCCCGCGAGGGCAACGTCCTCAAGATGGCGCCCCACCCGCAGATTGATCTCATCCGCGGCGACGGCGAGGGCAAGTGGGACCGTCCTTACTCTCGTGAGAAGGCGGCCTACCCGCTCCCGTACCTGATCGAGAAGAAGTTTTGGCCTACGGTTGGACGTGCGGATGATAGTGAGTTTCTCTCTTTTTTTCTCTTCTCTGTTCTCTTCATCAGCCCCCCCCCCCCTCTCCCAACAAGAACAACTGCTAACAATATTCAATAGCCTACGGTGACACTAACCTTTTCTGCACGTGCCCTCCCGTCGAGGACACTACATAAAAGGGGGACAACCAGACGTTATTTCTCACACACTTTCTCTCTTATATATCACTATTACTTGAATTTTTGTTTTGTTTTTGGATTCATGTTCAGGCGGATTAAACAAAAAAATTCGATTTTTAACAAATCGTTTTTAAGCTGGGCGTTTTTATTTTTGGCAGCTGTGGCCTCCCCTTCCTCCCCTTTGGAAGGGATGGCTACAATATAACATGACATGAAAATATTGTTTTTAACATTTATGCCAGAGAAGAGGAAGAGGATGAATAGAAATCAGGGTATGTCGGCATGATTAGGGTAGAATAGAGACCCTTGCATTGAGACTTTTGCGATTCATACAGCCGTACTTTCTCATGAAAATATCATGAGCAGAGGATGCAATTGATTCGTGCCATCCATGTGGTATTTTGTTATATATAAAAAAAAGCGCTCTTCTCGTTAAATTTGCTCTCTGAAAATCCCACTAAGCCTCGAACACAAGGGCAATACTATCATCACCAGCCGTGATTATCCTAGAGCCGGTCTCGCCCTGGACGAAGCCGAGGACGCCGCCCCCTTCACCGTCACCACGGTGACCCCTCCACTCCTTCAACAGGCCGGCGTTGTCGGTGCCGGCACCGGAGGAGGCGCCGGGGCCGGAGACGGCGCTGCCGCGCAGATCCCAGCGGCGGACGACACCGTCCATGCCGCAGCTGGTGAGGAGCCACGAGTCACGGACGAACTCGACCTTTACGACGGAGTGCTCCTCGTGGGCGCCGACGAGGTGCCTCCTGACGGCGAAGCGGCGGGTGGCGTCGTAGACACAGATGGAGCCGTCGACGGAGCCAGCGGCCAGCAGGACGGTCGGGGGGCTGGCGCTGGTCATGGAGATGGCGAGGGACTCGACGCTGTCGGACTGGGCCTGCAGGGAGGCGAGGATCTGCCCTCCCGCGGAGTCGGACGAGGCCTTGTTGCCGCGCTGGGCGCCGCGGGCCTGGGACCTGGACTGGGTCGGAGGGGTGAGGCGGGGGAGGGAGACGATCTTGATGACGCCGCCGGCGCCGCCGGCTGCGACGAAGCCGCCCTTGGGGTCGACGGCGACGGAGTACAGGCCGCCCGGGACCTCGAAGCGCTGGTCCTCGCCCGTCTGGGAGACGACCGTGGTGCCGCCGTCGCCGCCGGCGGTGAGACCCCTGGCGGCGGCCTGGCCCCACACGTCCCAGACGTACAGGCTGCTGTCCTCGGACACGGTGGCCAGGAGTTGGCCGTCGGGCGTCCAGCAGCCGGCCGTGCAGGGCATGGTGTGCAGGAAGTACGACTGCACGATCTGCAGCGGGTTGGCCTCGTCGGTCGGGTCGATGGTGTACACCCACACGGAGCCGTCGGACGCGCCGAGCGCGACGGTGTTGGGGTTGGCCGGCGACGGGCAGGCCTGCAGCCAGTTCACCTCGGGCACTTCCTCGGCCTCGCCGATGAGAGACACCTTCACGCCCTCGCCCGGCCGGACCTCCGTCCTCCAGGCGCGTATCCGCCCGTCCAGCCCGCCGCTGACGAGCACCTCGCCGTGCGGGAGCGTCCACGTCAGAGCGTTGATCGAGTCGGTGTGGCCCTCGATGGAGAAGAGGCTCTTGAGCTGGTGCTGCCCCTGAGCCGACCCGCCCGACGCCGACGCCGGGTCCGCCGCGTAGCTGGCCGGCAGCACCGGCCGCGACGGCGCCGAGGACGTGTCCACGATGAAGCCCGCGCCCGGGGCGTCCTCGTCCGACCCGGCCGCGCCTCCGACGGCCACGAGGGACGAGTGAATGGGGTGCTGCGCGATCGAGAAGAGAGAGTCCTGCGGCTCGTCGAAGTAGCCGATCGAGTCGTTGTGAAGCACGAGCTCTTCCTGGCCGCCGTTGCCGTCGTCGTCGTCGTCGTCGTCGCCGCCGCCGTCGCCGTCCTCCTCGGAGTCCATGGCTATGTCGTCGCCCTGCTCAATCTCCTCGGCTGCCTCGTCGGCCGCGAGCATATCGTCTAGATCTTCTTCTCGTCCGTTTTGGTGAGACATGGCTGCTTTCGTCTTTTTTCCCCCTGCGTCTCCGTTTAAGTGGTTTCCCCTTCCCTTTATTTTTTTTCTCCCCACCTTTTTGGTTATATTCAGTTCTGTTGGGTCGTGTTCTCCTCGGTGGTATGGAAGAAGGGGTAGATGGAAGTAGTATTATAACAAGAGGGGGAAAAAATTATAGAGGTGAAGGAGAGAAGAAAGAAGTGCTTGATAAGCAACTTTCTCGCCTCAGATTAGTAAATCTCTTGGAGTTCAGGAAAAGAAAAATCCAGATGGAGGGGCAGACTGCTTTTTCTTCTTCTGACTGCGGGGCAGTATTTTTCCCTTCCTTTTTATTTTACTCTGCCGCTGACTTTTTAATTAGTTTCGTCATGGGCCCTAGGCCCCACCAAATTCACTTGAACGGAGACAAGCCTGCCCATTAGACGATCTCGAACTGGGAAGATGGCATATCAGTACATTTTGTACTCTTCTTTCATTCATAAATGTGCTTCGTGGTACGGCCATTGGATCTAGCCCGTATGTGTAGAAGTGAGTTGCCGTCAGAGAAATCAGACTCGTACATGACTCCTGAGCGCCTCTCCCAGATGTAGACAAATCGCCCGCTTCATTCAGAGGAGAGGGACTCGTCAACATCAACATCCATCAATGACCTCGACCCAATTCCTCTCAGCCTCCTTCCTCCTCCAGCGCTCCGTAGCAGCCTCCTTGACGACGCGCTCCTCATCGCTGACCTCGGAAGCCTGTTCAGCCAATTCGCGAATCTGGTACTTGACACCAAAGACCAGCATCTTTTGCCATCCGGAATGCGCCTTGCAGCGTTTGCGCGTGCACATCCCGCGCGTCATACCATCATCGTCGTCATCTCCGACGCCGCCGCCGTCTTCGGTGGAATCAGCGTTGCTTTGGCCGGGTGGCGCCGGCGGGTTCCCGAGATGCTGGTCCCGGAACACAGTCTCACCCTCGGGACTCTTGACAAAGGCGGCAAAGGCGTCGCGGGCTGATATAGTGTCGAGACGGTCGTCGTAGCCGCAAATGTCGTCGCCTATGCGACCGGCGTCTATGGCGGCGCGGCGGCGCTTCTGCGCGAGCTCGATCAGCGTGATCATGTGGTCGCACAGGAGCATCTCCTGGGCGAGCTGGTAGCGGGAACTGGCGGAGCTGTCGAGGAAAGACCGCTCCTCTTCTGTCATGATTTGCAGCATGGGGTCTGCTCCACACACGGTCAGCACGGATCGCTCTCGAAACACGTCTGCCGTAGCTAGAGATGAAGACCAGAAGGAGAGAGAGCGACATACCATCTGCTGACCCCTCCGCCTTGTCGAGAAGCTGTGCGCCATCCTGAAAGGGCATCGTGGCCAGCCGCAGCATGCCGTCGGACCCGATGGTTGCGAGTCCACTGCTGAGCAGGGCCATGAACTCCTCCTGCGTCAGCTGATCCGTGAGGCCTGTCCTTGACCTGTCCCTGGGCATGCGCGCCAGGATATGCTCCCACCAGGCCTGGGTGTGCTCGTCTGAGCAGAAGACGCTCTGCTCGGTGCTCCCCGCGCTGCCACCCAGCGCTATGCGCGCCGGCTTCCTGCACGAGGGGAGCGAGCAGGTCTTCTTGTAGATGGTCGACACGCTCTCCGTCGTGCAGTTGGGGCAGACAAACTTCTCAATCAGAGACTCTCCTATGCTCTTGTCGAGGTTGATGCACTCCCCGTGAAACCAGTCCTCGCACCTCTCGCAGCAGATCATCCACCTGTGGTCGTCGGGACCTCGGCACAGACAGTACGGCCCATTGTCCGACTCGTCCGACCCGTCCTCCATCATCATGGCCTCGTCGCCGCCAGCAGCAGCACTGGCAGCACTCTTGGCTAGACGTTTGGCTTCCCTGGGACCACCCTTTTTGAGCCCCGGCACTGCTGTCGCTGCGGATGCTGATGATGATGATGCTGATGACGATGATGACTTGGGTTTCTTGCCCGCTGTCGATGCTGGCTTCTTGCCTGCCGGGGTGACGCTCTTCTTCTTGCTGCTGACGCCGTCAGTGGCAAATGTGGCGGACGGAGTCTTGCTGCTGCCGGAATTGGGTGGCTCGATAGGGGTAGTGGTGGTAGCGACTTCGCTCTTGATGAGGCGAGCTGGCTGCTCGCCGGCTGGTGACGAGCCCTCCATTGCCGCTTAAAGGAGCAGACCAGGTGAATTATGCCCTTATCCCGTACGTGAGATGAGCGATAGAGAGAGGGAGCGAGGGACCGGAAAAAAAAACACGAGGCTTCGAGGTTCATATAAGAGCAGACATCCACCCAGCAGTATTTCCTTGGCTTATGGGGTTTCCCTCTTGAAGACAGGTCTTCCCGATCTAAAAATGAATGATAGTTCAAGAGATGCCAATTGATATATTGAATTCATGACCCCAGTTTTGTAACATATAATGATGAGTTTCACCGACGCGTCTAATGAGAAAACGCGGATGTGCTGAGTCATACAACCACGGTAAATTTACGGCGGGTGGGTCTCAAGCCAGACAGAGCAGAGAGGGCGACGTTACGAACCAGGGAACTAAATCATACGTCGCCGATTTTTCCTCTTTCCCATCTTCTCGCTGTCCACCAACGACAAAACCCACCCGCCGACAACCATGTCGCAAGGTCTTGTCCCCCCGAGGACCGTGGCGAGCCTCGCTGCTCGCATGGTGGCGCCGGCCAGCCGACAATGCCAGCGGTGTTACTCTAGCAGCGCCATGCAGTCCAAGCAGATGCGGCCCACGGTCCCGCGCTCCCTGATGATGCAGCAGTCTAGACAGCCGCAGCCCATAATGCAGAGGAGGTCCAAATTCAAGACGGTCCAGCAGGCCAAGAGCCGCTACAGCACTGGTGTATGCTCGACTCCATCGCTCTCTCTTTCCTTCCATAGCTGGTTGTCTGCTGACCAAGTGCGTGTAGCCCTTTTCGTGGAAAGCAGGAGTTCTGTTTGTCTCGACTTGCGCCGGTCTGATGTGGTACTTTGAATTCGAAAAGGAGCGCATGCAGAAGAGGAGGATAGCGGAGGCGTCCAAGGGCGTGGGACGGCCCAAGGTCGGAGGACCGTTTGAGCTGATTGACCAGGATGGCAAGCCCTTTTCCAGCGAAAAGATGAAGGGCAGGTATTCTCTGGTACGCGCTCACCGTCATCCCCCACCCCCCCCTCACCCTTCTCATCCTATCTTCTTCCGACGGCAACTTGTCTCTGACCCCGATCACTCGCTAGGTTTACTTTGGCTTCACGCGCTGCCCCGACATCTGCCCCGAGGAACTCGACAAGATGGCCCGCATGCTCGACCTGGTGGAGGAGAAGATGCCGGCCAACACGCTCCTGCCCATCTTCGTCACCTGCGACCCGGCCCGAGACGACCCCAAGTCCCTCAAGAGCTACCTGGCCGAGTTCCACCCGTCCTTTGTCGGCCTCACCGGCACCTACGACCAGATCAAGGATCTGTGCAAGAAGTACCGCGTCTACTTCAGTACCCCGCAGAACGTCAAGCCGGGCCAAGACTACCTCGTCGACCACTCCATCTACTTTTACCTGATGGACCCCGATGGCGACTTTGTCGAGGCCCTCGGCAGGCAGCACTCCCCCGAGGAGGCTGCCAAGATCATAACCGGCCACATGCGGGAGTGGAGAGGAAGTGGCAGTAACAAGTTGGAATAGAGGGGTAGGCTGTATACATATCATGGAGAGAAGCAGATGAGGAGAGAGAGGAAGGGTGTGCGTGTGTGTACTGGTGGCTATATGTACGATGGCGAGCTTTTGTACCATACTCTCCCTTCACAGTGTATTACCAAAACATATTTCTGTACCTCACCATCTCTACCATTGACATGCATCTCGTCCCAATTGATTTATATATGTGAAATCTACGGAGTAACCGAGCGATTGATGTTTCCCACTGCTCTTTATGTATATATATATGTGTGTGTGTATATGTCTGTTTGCGTATGCTGTCACTCGGTTCTTGGAGCGACGTTGCGGAACGGCCCTGTATCAATCCGGACCGCTGAAGCGAGATTATCCGACGAGCAGGACAGAGGACCCTGGACCAATGTATGTTCATCGATTCATCTTGACCTCCGGTCACCACCCCACCCCCCTGCTCTCACAACCTCAAAACTTGCCATCTGTACATACACACATCTTCTTCCTCTTCGGAAACGGAGAAATGTACCGGTGAATCCGAACTGGACAGTTCCGAGTCAAGGGAAGCAACCATGATGTCTTCATCCAGGTTATTGGGTGGCACCGCCGCCGCCCAGCGATCGATACTCCGCGCACCGCGCTCAGCACAGCTATGGCACGGCAGCACCAATAACGCCTTGTCCAGGACGCGGTGCACGGCGCCCGCAGCGGTGCGTGGGTTCAAAACGACTCGGCTAGCCCTGTTCAAGAGCGATGCTGCCGATGACGATCCTGGTGACTACTTTGATTTTGCGTTTGTCAAGAGGGATCATACTGCCAAGGGGACTACTGATAAGCCTACGACGGCGACGGCGGCGACGACGACGACGACGACGTCACGTCTCGCTGCTCCCTCGGCGGCTCCATTCACGGCCGAGGCCAACAAGTTGGCAGAGAATTTTGGATTCTTGTTTGAGTGGGTTTCACCTCAATTAGCATCTTCCTTCCCCCCTCTCCCCCCTTTTTGAAAATCGCGTTTTTTTGAGGAAGGAACCCAAAAAAAAGCAATTAGCACTGCTGACATGCCTCCCAGCTGTGATGGCGTCTTACATAAAGGCAACCAAACCATCAGTGGAGCACAGGAGGCTCTCCGTCTGTGCCACGACCAGGCAACAAGGTATCTCTTCCTGACTAATGGAGGGGGCAATACTACCGAGGACCAAAAGGCCGTCAGCCTCAAGAAGAAGGTCGGCTTGAAGACGGGAGAGCTGGTGGACGGGAGGGTGATCCAGTCGCACACGCCGCTCAGCACATTCAAGGAGGAGAGTAAGCGGAATGATACTGTTTACGTCACCAGTTTGGATCCGAGCCGGGCGAGGGATATTGCCAATGCGTGAGCTCTCCTTTCTCCCTCCCCCTGGTTCCATCCCCCCTCCTTTACTCTCTCGATACTTGTGGCTGACTGAGCCGGAAAAACAAAAAACAAAGGTACGGCTTCAAAAACGTAGTCACAGCAGCAGACCTGATCCAACACTACCCGGACATTTTCCCCTTTGAACCCAAGATGATTGACGGGCACGCCGAGGCACAACCACTCCCTAACGGGACGAAGATCTGGCGGGGGGGTTCGCTGGACTTTGACGAGGCCGAGCTCGAGCGGGGCAACCACCTGAGGATAGACCACATCTTCGTCCTCAACGACCCACGCGACTGGGCTCTCGAGACGCAGATCATCCACGACCTCCTCATCTCACACAGGGGATACCTGGGTACCGTGTCCGAGTTCAACGGCGACCGCTCCTCGGACAACAACGGCTGGCAGCAAGACGGCCAGCCGCAGGTGTGGGTATCCAACCTCGACCTCCTCTGGAAGACGGAGAATCCCATCAGTCGCTTCGGCACGGGGGCCTTTGTCCACGCCCTCCGTGGGGTGTGGGCCGTCGCGTCGGGTGGTCGGGAGCTCCGGTTCAAGTATATGGGTAAGCCGTCGCAGATCACCTACGAGTACGCGCACGAGTGCCTGCTCCGCGGGACGGCAGCGGCCGCGCCCGGAGAGGAGAAGAAGGCCTTGCGTCGCGTCTACATGGTCGGGGATAACCCGGAGAGCGACGTTCGCGGCGCCCTGGAGTTTCACCCGCAGGACGGCACAGAGTATGTGCCCATCCTTGTGCGCACGGGGGTCTGGGAGGAGACGCAGGCTGAGCCGAAGCCCAGGGTCACGCCGGCTGTCATTGTGGACGATGTGCTCGATGCTATTGTCTGGGCCATGAGGCAGGAGGGTATCGACGTCGACAGGGAGATGGTCCTGCCGAATCGTCTGTCAAAGGATTGAGGGATTCAGATGGGACAGTATTGGTTGGATCATGATGGAGAGAGAGAGAGAGAGAAGGGAAGGTCTTGAATACGAATGAATCGGTGTCTTCGCATATGCAGAAAATAAAAATAAAAATCAGATAAAGTGGTTGATCCTCTTGCATGAATGCTCACCAATGATATACTATATACCGGTCATAAGAATCATGTGGTGTACAGACAGTGATGTGGGAGAGGATCGGCAGTGCATCTTTAATCTTTCACATGTGGATGTCGTCGTGACATTTGCTGTTTGGTATATTACATCGTACAACAATCCACGACCACGATACTCTGACCCCGACGCTGCCACTACAACGGGGTACTGCCAATTCTGTCCTGCCAATAGTTGCCGTCGATGAAGGGAGCTTTACTCGTAATATTGGTGCTATATGCACCCGATTGACTCCCTCGACGACCAAGAAACATGTGATTTTCCATGGGGCAGAGGTAGACGACTTGTGGGGGGGCGGAAAGAGGGTGTTGCATCATCCGTGTGTGCACCCGCATATTCCTCATACAGAAGAACTTGGCTGGTCAATCATGCACGATTTCATAGGCTGGCACATCGGACTATGACGCAGTGTAGTACCGTAGTATTACTCCTAATGGTGGTGATGCAGGAGTCCGAGTCGTGCGAGTTAGGAGCCAGGCATTCACTACTTACCATTACAGATTACAGATTACAGCTGTAGTAGTATCCGTACTATCCCCACTATTAGCAGTTAGGTGACAATATATTCCGTACGTACAGTAAAACGGAGCATTACAGGTAATGGTCCATAGGTACGGATTATTATATGTAGTGCTGAATACAGTTAGCACACCTGTAACACCGTAACAACCCCCCCGGGGTCCATCGCTATCAGCTGGCTTGTGCTCTGCGGGCAAGGTGAGGAGGGGCAAGTTGAGGAAAGAACACCCCGCCATCAAAAAGGGACTCTTTCCAACTTGTTTCCCTCCATATTACCTCAAGAGGTCAGAGCTAAAAAACAAAAAGCACATGACCGTCCATCCGTCTTATCTCTTCGCTACTTCTTTCCCAGCTCTGACGTCTTGTGGTTTTTTTTTTTTTTTTTGGGCTTCCATCTCTCTTGCTACATCGCCCCTCTACCTAGGATTCCTATAAACAGATATCTTACCACTCATCTCATCTCGCCCCAAGGGCCAGCTCAACATTGCTGTTCCGCCCCTCGAACCTCCTCTTCTCACCGCATCACATCCTCCTGTCCACCTTCCTACGCCATGCCTACCAGCGGCGCGGCTAGCAACGGCTCGGGCGTCGCCGAGCAGCAGCAGCAGCAGCATCAACCTCTCAGATCTGCTCTAAAAAACGAAGATGACGCCGACAAGGCTCTTTCTGCCAACGGCTCCTCCAAAGGTATGATATACACTTTGGCGTGCCCGTCCCCTTCCCCGTCTTTCACGTCTGCCACATGTGGCACCGTATATAGGCTTGAGACATACCTTGACCTCTCCAAGTTGAGAGAGTTCAGCTACCCGCGCATATGCACCAAACCGCTTTGTCTCTACGTGTCTCAAGGGGACAATTGCCATCCAATTCCATTCGCCCCACACGTCACATCCAACGTCACACCCAGATTATGACATGTTGGCTTACAGTTACCTTCTCCCCCTGCAGCCGTCCAGATCTCCGAACCTGCCACCGAGAGCTCGTTTGATGACGACGTATCCGTCAGACAGTTTCGTGCCGCTCACGGTCGCCGTCTGAGCGGCAAGCCATCGCCATCTCTGCGTCCCGCAGACGAACCGGGGTACCCCTCCCGCGAACACAGCCATCGCCAGCAGTACTACGGCGAAAAGCTGCTGGCCCAGGTCGGCGAGTGGCTCGAGTGGGAGAAGAAGAAGATTTCCAATCGCAAGAAGAAGTCTCGGCCGCATCCTACATCCGGCAGTTCCCAGCCACACGACCCACCCCCGACGTCGTCGGATTCCACCGCTCCCCCTCGCCGTCCCCGCTCCGACTCCCTCGACTCCCAGTCTAGCCACATCTCCTTGGAGAAGCTGCAGCAGATCCTCGAAGACTCGATGTCATCGATGGGTCTAGGATCTGCCGCCCATCTCTCTTCCAAGGTCTCACGCTCGCGACGAAAGCGCATGGGCTCCTTGCAGCGCGCCGCCTCGTCCGACACCGATTACCATGACGGCGACGCCATCGTCCCCGATTGCGACGTATGGCTCGACAACTCAAAGACGCTCGCCTATGCGGCCGGAACCCCATCCGACACCGGAGATGACGACCGCTCCCAGCGTGACTACGAGGCATGGGTAGCCTTCAAGAACGAGATCCTGCGCGCTGCCCATACCCTGAGGCTCAAGGGCTGGCGTCGTGTCCCCCTCGAGACCGGCGAGACCATGGACGTCCAGCGCCTCAGCGGCGCCCTCACCAACGCCGTCTACGTCCTCACACCGCCTGCCGATATCCCCCACCAGGAGGGGAAACCCCGCCCGCAAAAGGTTCTGCTGCGCATCTACGGCCCCCAGGTCGAGAACCTCATCGATCGCGAGAACGAGCTCAAGGTCTTGCAGCGCCTCGCGCGCAAGAAGATCGGCCCGCGCCTGCTGGGAACCTTCCGCAACGGCCGCTTCGAGCAGTTCTTCAACGCTTCGCCCCTCACCCCCAGCGACCTCCGTGACCCCGAAGTCTCCAGGCAGATTGCCAAGCGCATGAGGGAACTCCATCAAGGTATAGAATTGCTGCCGCAGGAGAGGGAGGCTGGCCCTTGTGTCTGGAAGAATTGGGACCAGTGGCTGGATAATGTCGGCAGCATCGTCCCGGCCCTGGACAAGCAGTTCGAAGCAGCTGCTGCTGACGGCAGCGGCCAACGCCGCGATTCGGCTACCAGTTCGTGGAAGGCCAACGGATACGTCTGCGGAGTGCCTTGGACGCAGTTCAAGGACGTTGTGCACCGGTACAGGGCCCACCTAGATAATTACTACAAGGACAGGGGAGGCCTCAACGAATCCCTCTTATTTGCCCACAACGATGTAAGACGACGGCTCCGTGCTCTCTCCCCCCCCCCTCTCTCTCTGTGTGTGTGTGTGTGCACATACAGACCGGCCAGTGTACTGACTATTCGGTGATGCAGACACAATACGGAAACATTCTCCGCTTCCAACCCGACGACGAAAAGTCGCCATTACTCCAGCCGGCTAACAAGCACAAGCAGCTCATAGTCATTGACTTCGAATACGCCGGCGCCAATATGCTCGGTCAGGAGTTTGCCAACCACTTCACTGAGTGGACCTACAACTACCACGACGTCAAGACACCCTGGGCTTGCACCCCGGCGGGGTACCCTACTCTGGAGGAGCAGCGCCGCTTCGTCAAGGCCTACATCGAACACCGCCCTCACTTCCACCCCACAGGCGGCTCCACGCCCCGACTGGCTCCCCAGGATAGCAACACCACCACCCCCGGCGCTGCCACGCCTGCCCAGCAACCGCAGCCGCCCCAGGTACAGCACACTACATCGAGCAGCTCCATCGTAGATTTCATGCTCGACTCGCGGGCCCCGCCCGGCGGGTGGGGTGCTGTCGAGAAGGCTGAGGAGGAGAAGACGGAGAAGGAGATCCGCCAGCTCCTAGACGAGACGAGGATGTGGAGGCCTGCCAACAGCGCCATGTGGGTTGCCTGGGGTGTCGTGCAGGCCAGGATTGACGAGGTGACGGACGACGACGACAAAGACGACGGCGAGGCTCCCACCGACGAGTTCGACTATCTCAGCTACGCGCAGGACAGGGCGGCCTTTTTCTGGGGTGACATGGTTCAGATGGGACTCGTCAAGCCTGAGGAGCTTCCCGAATCGCTGAGGGCGAAGCTCAAGATTGTGGATCACTAGTCATCTGGGGAGAGGTCATTGTATAGAAAGGAAAGTGATAGACAAACCTCTTGTTAGATGAATGGGGTTTTATCTTTATTTTTCTATTTCTGATACATGTCTTGTGTATATATGGAATGCTCTTTAATATATATACGCTTGTATGTACGTAGTCTTCCATTCCTGCTTAATGTATGTGTGGTTCTCTCTTGAACCTTTTTTTCTTTTTCTTCATTTTGTTTCCTATATATATATATATATGTTTGTTTGTTTATGCATCCAGCTTGAGGTGGTCGAGCATATCATCAATCTTTCCAAGCAAGACTTGATAGTTTATAGCGTCGGATTTGAACTCGTCGTCCTCTTCCTCTTCTCCATTGCCTTTGGCGGCCTTGTCGACCTTTTGTGGGGCAGTAGTGTCTGAGGCGATAGCAGCAGCAGAAGCGGCAACTTCACCCTCGGACCCAGGTTGGACAGCGGGGGTCTGACCATCCATGACGTCCTCGAGACCGGTATCTTCAAAGCGCAGACGGAACCTCTCGTCCAGGTAGTAGCGTATGTCGTCGAGCAGCTCGATGGTATCCGTCTCCTGGCGGGCTCGTAGGCGGGAGGCGCTCTCGCGGATGAGGTCGTGGAAGTCCTCATCGTCAATGTAGTCTTCGAGGCGGTAGGCCAGGTAGCGGGCCGAGAACTCCTCGAGGCGCTGGACTTGCAGGTCCCATGCTGCGTGGATGACGTCGTAGATGTTGACGGGCTCCACCTCCACCTTGGTGTGGTCGACGTCTGGGGAGGCACCGTTGCCCAGCGTGGACAGGGCGACGGCGGCTTTCGACTTGAGCGTGTCGAGGAAGAGCATGTCGGCGGCGTAGAGGAGGTCGAGGGCGTGGTCGAGGGTGATGCCGTCGGTGCTCTCGGTGTACAGGAACGCGAGGATGAGCTCGAGGATGTCGGGGGTGCAGTCGACCTTTACGACGCGCAGATCGTCGGACTGGCGAGACTCGAGGAAGTCGCCGGAGAACATGCGCTCAAAGTACTCGCTGCGGATGAGCATCGTCTTGTGCGCGGGGTACAGGACCGATTTGCGGGGGTGGTGGTGATTCCTAGACTCGTCGCTAGCACCGCTGACGTGCTGTGGGCCGACCGGGATGCCCTGCACGTTCTTCTTCTCCACTTCTTCTTCCTGCTGATTCTCGTAGCCGTCGTCGTCGTCGATGACGGGTTCGTCTGCCCGGAGGAGGACGTCGGCAAAGATGGAATTGTCCCTCTTCCACTTGACCTCCGGGACGCGGGCGGTGTCGACGACCATCTTGCGTCCCAGGACCTTGTCCCTGAAGAAGCTCTCCACCTGGGCCCTCGCCCTCTGCACCTCGTCCTGGTAGCGCTGACGGGCCAGACGACGGTCGTTGCCGGCCAGGATGGCCTCCCACAGCTGGCCGATCTCGAGCTGCTTGCTGATCTTGTCCAGGCCCCTGACTACGTCCTCCTCCGTCACGGCGCTGCCCGGTCCCACCAGGTCGCGCGGCAGATTGCCCAGGTACACGTAGCGCAGGGCGATGTGGAACGCCTCAACGGGGATGGAGGGTGACAGGTTCCACCTGGTCGTCTCGGGCTGCGCCGTGAGTTTCTTATAGAAATAGGGAGTGCGCGCGGCGAGGATGAACTTGTGTAGGTTGAACGAGTCGTTACCGGCTACTAGGGCGATGTCCGCCAGTGAGGAGGAGGAGGAGGAGGAGGAGGAGGAGGATGACGTACTGCCGTTGCCGTTGCTGTTGGTTAGGAGCGAAGATATGTGTGTCGACCAGTAGACGTAGGGGTCTGACGACTTGGAGAAGTCGTATTGGAGGAGGAGGTTGCGGATGCGGTCGTTCAGGGCGTTGTAGATGCACCGTTCGCCTTGGAAGGTGTTGCGCTCGGCGAGGGCACCTGGGTTGGATTCTTGTCAGGAATCATATTCTTCTTCTTCTTCTTTCTTCATGACCCCTCCCCCCCAACCCCCCTCTTCCTTCCTGCCTCCCGCTCTCTTCTTTCGTATTCAGGACCCCCCAGTTTGGTAGACAGCTTACCGCTCTCGAGGAGTAGTCGTACAAGCTCATAGTGACCGCAGAGGCTTGCCTGCCGTTTAGTTCCATCGTGTCAGCAGCCACTGCCACCAAATGTTGCCAGGCCTGGCGATCGGGGGAGAAGAGCAGAGTACAATGATGAGCGGCGTATAGTCGAAACGGTCCTTGCCGTTGATGTTGACACCCAGGTTGATGAGCTCCTGGCACTTTCTCAGATCCCCGTGGCGACAGGCAATCAGGAACTCGGCGAATTGTTCGCTCGTGTCCAATGGGTTCTCATCCTTTAGCTGGCCAGCCTTGATCATTATACTCTCCTGCGCCAGAGCGCCCTCCAGCTGATGTTTGGTGAGAACCATGATGGCCGTCTTCAATCTTTGGGAGGCCCGTCCGGTGGGTGATGGAGTAGAGGTGGCGACGGCCAAGGCGGGGTTCCGGACCACAAAAGAGCCTCGCCTGGGTTATATACGCAGTCGCCGCCGGGACAAGGAAGGACGATGAAGAAAAAAAGAGAGAAAAAAAAGAGGAGGGAAGAGAAGAGGATTTATCCACAAGATGTGATACACAACGAATTCTATGCTACGGAAGTGCACATCACAGCACAATGATCAGCAAAGACCATTGTGGAAGACGACGTCAGAACAGAAAGAAAAAAAAAGGGTATCTAGCCTTATCACTGATGATGCAAGGCAAAGAAGCGCTGTCCCGTGGCGTCGGTGGGTCCTGTCTCTCTTTTCCTTCTTTCCTTTCCCTCTCTCCATTTCTTGCCTTTGGCTTGCTTTTGCTTGCTTTCGCTTGCTTTTGCTTGGGTTATGTGACAAGCCTGCCCCACGTTGAAAACGGTCAACGGACCGGGGGGGGGGGTTCTTTATCGATAAGGCAATGAACAAGTCATCCCGACTCGGTGTCGGGAAATAAAAATGGGGCGATTCTCCTTCTGCGTGCACAACGAGGATCCCTTTCATCTCCATGGCAACAGTCTCACAGGTGGAGATTTGTTTACTTTCAAAGTACCTGCTAGCCTCTCGCCTTTAGCCAGGGCAACGGGCCGCAACGTGAATGAGCTGTTGTTCTTTTAGGACATCCTGCCTGACCGGGGGTTCTTCTTCTTGGCTGGGTTTCGGCTTGGTTACAACGACACACGCACACCAGCGGAGTATTAGCAGACAAGGTCCAAAGGTGAGTGAGTCCAGGCCAATAGAAGATACATGGGTCCTTGCATTCTACTCCATAATCCATAATATCCTTCTCCTCCTTCTTCTTCTTCTTCCCCTTCTCTCCTCTTCCTTTGCTACCAACTTTCTTTCTTGCAATCACTGCAGAATCAACCCCCTTCCCGCTCATCCGCCGCTCGACTAACCCAGCAGGTCAATATACCAAACATCACGATCACAAGGACCTTCACTCCTCTCTCTTGCTACGGACAGGGTCTACGAGAACGACTTCTCCCTCCTCCTTTCCTCCTTTCCTTCTTCTCTATCGTTCGAACCTGCGGCACTGCCCGGAATTGCGCGTACCGACAGCGGCTTCAAATTACTCTTCCACGCTCTCTCGCTCTCTTTACGATATCCCCTCCCTCC